TCGCTCAACAGCGCGGAGACTCCCAGTTTCTCTCCAATCTCTGTCATGGAGGCAAGTGTCGTCCTCACATGCGCTGAAAAGCTCTTCAAAACATCACCATTGGGATATTTTTCTTTTAGGGCGGCTATCAAAACATGTTAGAACCTCCCTAGAGCAGGACAAAAAGAGAGCAAGATGAACACTACTGACCTGGCTCTTTCGTCTTCACCTCGTCAACAAGAACATCTTTTCGAGATTTGACTGAAGTCAAAAGTTCTTGTTGAGAGGCTGACATCGGCTCGCTACTCGCATCTGCCGACTCATTCAGTCCTTCCAGCATAATCGTCTGCACCACCTCTTCTATTGATGGCCCATCTCCATTGCGTATTAGAAGCGACTCGATTGTCTTGTGTGTTCGGATTCCGAGGTAAAGCTGGGAGAGCCCAGAAGACAGGTCCGACAGCTGACATCGAAAAACGGCTGCGAAATGCCTATCGGCGGCAGTAAAGGAATCCAGGCCCCCCTCAACCAGCCACGTCCCAAACTTTGCAATGTTGGCCAACTCCAACAAGGTGCGAGCTTCCGCCTCTTGTATCTCTAGCTCGTCGGCGGACAGCACCTGGTCATCCGAGAAGAGCTGCCATGTCGCATCGAAGGATCGTTTTAGTCGTCCGTATGAGCGCCCATATCCCGAATCTGCGTCTCCTGCTAGCTTCGACATGTCATCAATGGGCTGCTGGAGTAATATCAGTAGTAATGAAAGCGCCTGCAACCACGTTAATCCTCTGGTGAGCTGAGCGCATTGATCGTATCGCATCTCATTGACGTACAAGGTTCCCTAGCGCATGCGTGTTGGCAATGCGCACGTACTTTTCCGGCTCCGACAAGAAGGATACAGGAGCCGGGCGGGCATCGGCGCCATGTGCGTCGTCCACTTCCATGGGATCGCTGCCATGCGCCTCTCCGGTCTCGATATTGAACTTGCTAACCAGGTCGCCAACATTGGAGAGCGCATTCTGCACCAGCAGCGCCAGCCCATCTTCGAGGGACGTCTCTTCTTCTGTGGTAGGGTTCTCTGTTTTGGGCCTCTTGGCCTCTTGCTCACGCTCATCGTGATTGTCTTGGGCTACGTGCTCGAATGGGCGCTTCGACGCGAGCTCGGCGAGAATGCTAAAGTCGAGGGCCTCGAGACCCGTCGGCTCATGTTCATGCTCCTGCTTGATCTCTGTGCGAACCAGAAGGAAAAGGAAACCCATTGTCAGCCACGGGAGAAAAGAAAAGAGAAGCAGCGCAGCAGCAGCAGCAGCATCATCTCACCTCTGGGAGAGCCCGTCGGCGCTGTCTGAACCTGCGTCGGCTCAGCCATATTGCCAATTGCCTCGAAACAGGCCCGTCAGGGGAGCATCTGCAAGTCTTTGCGGCCAGGAGCAATAATGCCAGGTCGACCAGGCGCAAGGCAAGTAGAATGGGAAGTCGAAATCGGTATCGGTATCGAGATCTGGGGCGAGGCCGTCCTTCGTTTCGCAATCCCGATCTGCGGGTATGATGGCGGGCGGGCGGCAGAAAATTTGCTGAGTCAGATCGATCGCCGATGCCCTTATTTCTTGCCCCGAAAAGCAGCTGCTCCGAGATACACAATGGGCACAAGAATTAATTGGGAGGGCGCGAAATTAAATTGCGAGTCGAGAAATCGAAAATGGGCCAAAAACGGTGTTGCAGAAAAGCGGCGGCGGAGCGAGGCTGGCGTGCACCGATAAAGAAAAAAAATCCTTATCCTTGCTTCCAGCCAGTCAGCAGCGTCCAACGGCAGCTGTCTTTTTTTCACCAGAGGCGGGATAGCGAGGCACTCATTGGATGGATTTTTGTCGCTACGGATAAGGCTTTGGTGGGTAATAATTGCCTCTTGCTGTTTTTTTCTCTTGCGCCTATGGATGGATGGCTTTTTTGGCTCGTGGCTGGTGAAGGTGTGGAAAAAAAAAAGTGGTAGCGGCATTACATAAGGCATTGAGATGTCACTCTTCTTTCAGTGTGCAGTGTGTGTTAATCGATGCAAGTCCCAACGGCTGTCCTCTGTATAACGACTCAGTCCAGTAAGGCAACTGCTTTTTATAACACAAGGCCTTCCAGTGTTTATTACTATAAGAAATAAATGAATGAACTTTATTTCTTGTCATACCATTGTTACTATACCTTTATTCTTGAATTGTAAACCCTCGCCTCTCTATAAGTGATGGCTTCATTGTTCTTTCTATTCATCCTCAAACACCACATCCCTCTTGCCAACCAATCCCAAATTCGTATACACAAGTAGACACCCTATGTAGAAACAATAATCATCATTTACTAATATGAATCGAATACATATCATTATCTAAAACATCTTCCATCCTCATCCTAAAAAACACTTCCCCTACAAACCTCATCAATCCCTACAAACAACAACAATCCTACAACAAATGATCGACAAACTCCAATGCCAAACCCACACCCGCACCCCCTGGGGCCAATCTCCCCACCGCTACGACCACCGCATCCGCTACCTCGTCATGGGCCTCCTCTGCGCCTCCGTCCTCGCCGTCTTCATCGTCAGCCTCGTCTTCATCGGCGACCGAGCAGTCCAAACCTACCAGCCATCGTCGCCCCCCGACGATACTCCTACGCCTTCACTTGAGCCGTCATCGACATCAAACGCCACTAACACTAATGCTACTACAAACATTTCGCTGTACGTCAAGAGTGGCAGGGTTACATGACTCTTCCATATGAGTCGTTGGAAGACGGAGACAAGCTGCAACTCCCAAAGGCGTCACGTCAAATAGAATGGTTGCTAGTTACAGGCTCAGTTAGAACAGTGTGGCACATGGGAGCAAGCTTCATCAATACTACGTTAAAACCATATCACACAATACGGAAACAAGGATATCAACAGCTGATGTACAACATATCTTCATGCATTAAATATAAACACCGTCATGCCTCGTTACGCGGCATATGTCATGTAAACACATCCCCTCTCCAAACATTCAGCCATCATAAAAAGAGCATTAGAGGAAGCAAGGCTAAAAGACGCAGTCAAAATGCCTGCCTCCATGTCCCGTGAATTTTTTTTTTTTCTTTCTCTGGATAAACCAGTTGCGTTGTATATAAACAAGACGACATCAGCATAACCAGTCATAGAGCCAAAAACCAGCTGGGTGACAAAGGCCAAGACGCAGTCCCTCTGCTGAAAGTCGCATGGTAATATTAAAAAGAGAAGAAGAAAGCAAAGATATTAAGTAGCTGGGTATCTGATATTCGTCTGACAAATACAAATCCAAAGAGTAACATCAGTTGATCTTACAAGAGGATTGCAAGGGCGAGAACAGCACCAACAACACCGGCACCGAATGAAGTGATGCGCTTGTCTGTGCTACCACCGGAGGTTGTTGTTGCGCTTGATGGGCCGGAGGTAGTGGCAGAAGAAGACCCGTCGGTTGCAGTCGAAGGGGGAGCCGTGATGGCCATGGTAGTCGCGACGACGGCACCATCGCTGGCAGTCACACTAACAACTGTCTCTGTCGCCGTCTCCGTCTCCGTGGCCACCTCTGCCGAGTGAGTCCTGGTGTTGACGGCAAGAATCTGGCCCAAGGTAGGCAGGTCGACATCGCCGTTAACTTGCCACCAGCCACCAGCAGTAGATGTAGGGCAAGCGCGGGTAGACACCTTGCTCGGGTTGTAGTCAGACTTGTGGACGCCGGCAGGAGTGTTGGTCGCCCACTTGGACTTGAGAGCGCTGAAGTCGGGCTGCTTAGGCGTAGGAGTTCCCTTGCGCAGGAATCCACCCTCGACATCAGGGCCAGCGGGTTGACCAGCAGGGGCGTAGGTGATGATTCCGTAGCTGTTTTCCTCCTGGATCCACTCGTAGATGATGGCACCGCTCCAGTCATTAACCATCTGGGGGCCAAAGATGGCGTCCTGGTCATCCCATGCGCGAGGGCCGGGGACGATGCATCCAGTCTCGGAAAGGAAGATGGGGACGGGGAAGTTCTTGGCGTACAACTCCAGCTGGTCGTAGGTAGACTCGGTGTATGTGCTGGGGTCGCACCACGAGTACGAGTTGAGAGAGAAGAAGTCGACAGTCTCAGACGAGTTGCCACCGCAAGTGAGGTAGTCCTGGAGCATAGGGCGAAGCTGCAGGATGTCGGCAGCAGAGTATCCAATGGGAATGTCACGGTAACCCTGGGCATCGCGGTACGCCTTCATGTCACGAGCAGCAGCCTTGAGATAGGGAGCCGTGGGAGAATCATCTTTAGTAGCAATGTTCTCATTTCCGACGAAAACACCCAAAAGGTTGTCGTACTTCTGGAAGGTATCCAGGACCTCGGCATATCTTTCGAACTTTGTCTTATTCCAGTAGTTATTCTCCTATACAATTGGTCAGAAAATACAATTTAAAAGACTGTGAAAAAGGAAAAGAATGAATTGACGCACGGGAATAATGTAAGTATCAAAGGTATCCAGGTCAGCAAGGACGTAAATGCCGGCGTCGTCAAAAGCCTTCATGCAGCCATCATGGTCCGCCGAGGGGTCGACGTGGTACACGCGAATGGTGTTTGTTCCGAGCTCGGTCATGAGTTTGGCATCGCGCTCGCACTGGTCAGTGTCAACGAGAGGATCCGTGGGCCTGAGCTGGTACGCAATGCCTAGAGAAGCAGCTGTCAACACAAATCATCCTCCCATCATGAACGTCTCAGATGGCCATACCCTTGATGAAGAACTGCGAGCCGTCCTTGTTGAAGAACTTGTTTCCAAGGGCGGAAACGGGATCCAGAGCCACGACGAAGGATTTGGCGCTGGCGAGCGCAATGGCGGCAGAAGACCAACGCATCGTGTATGAATTAGTTTGGGGTTGAGAGAGTGGTTAAGGAATCACTGTTCAAAACTCGAGACCAAAAAAAAAGGGTCCAAGCCAAAATTGTCAAGGTCAAATTAAGCAAATAAAAGCCGTCGAGGGAATCCCAAAAAAAGAGAGAAAATGCAGAGCACGGCGAATTTGTCCAACCAAAAAGGCGAGTGTCCAGTTCACTGAATGAATCCCAGGGGAAAAGGGGAGACGAAAGTGAGAGCAACGTGACCCAGAGCGAGAGAGAGAGAGAGCGAGCGAGAGAGAAAAAAGAAGCGAGTGCGGTCGGACGCTCAGGCAGTTGGCAGCCAGTCAAAAGAGCGAGGCCGAACAATTAAAACCCAAAAAAAAGCACAAGCACACACAGCTGCGACTCCGTGATGCGAGAAAGAGCGGCTGGAGAGACGGAGGAGAAAGAAGAGCGCAGATCCCGTCGACAAAAGAGCGATGATGAGATTGTTATGGCATCGTGCAGCACCCCCATATATTTTACGAGTGAGAAGTGCCAGGCCAGTAAAAAACGAAACAAGGTTGTTGCGGATCGGGCTTCGTCCTGTGTCTGCATCGTTGCTAGCTGCCAAAATGCGGCTAGGCCGTGGGAGAAAGAGTGTGGAGGGATCCAATTTGATGCTGCTAGCAGTTACGAGTGGTTTGGCGGAGGATGCTAGCAGCATTGGATCCAGGCACGGACATGGACAGGACAGGGCTCATGGGGGTCACGAGGCAAAGGTCCATGTCTTCGATTTCTCGTGTTGCATTGATTGACTCTCTCTGTACGATGTTGTGGAATGGAATCAATCAAGCCTAATTCCCAAATCATCCAATTCACCAATATGGATATCAAAGACGCATAAACATGCTCGTAAACACAAAAGATCACCTCACCTATCAAATGCCGCCATTCAAACGTCAAAGGACGCCCTCATGCACCATGACATGCTACACTTTTCCTCTCTCTCCATCCCACTCGGGCAAACACAAGCACCCAGAGCCAATAACATCAACGTTCTCCCCCGAAGATAACGCCAAGCGCCTCCTCGTATAAGCCCAAAGCAGCACCACCAGCTAGTCTCCTCGTTTACGATATTCCCGCACGTCCAATCGCGACCAGGGGCCCCCTCCCTCGACTATTCAGTAACGCTCGAACTCGCCTTTTACCCGCCAATGTGTTTCTGGCTGGGGTAGCGAAAAAAAGATAAACCTATCCGTTAAAGACTAAACAAAAAAATCTGCAGCATTCTTTGCCCCTGACATGAAAGCGGCCGGCGCTAACGCGGTGCTAGCGAGTGTCTCATTTTATGAACACGGGTTTCTGCATGCTGGTAAGCCTTGGCTCTCGGGAAGAATTGTCACGGTCGCATTGTTTTTTTGCGCGGAGAGACTGTAAGCACTGTCCTTACTTACTGTAGTATGCTATCGATCGCCTTTCACGTGGCTTGCTGCAAGGGGCGGATATGAGGCCCTCATATGGCATCCATGTGGTTCGGGTCCTCCCGACGCCCTGGAGCACGCTGTGGCTCATTTCCAGCAATACGATATCAATTGGCGAGTCGCGGTTTATTCCACTTGCAGCAAGCTCAGCGATAGTATGTCTACTGTAAGAGGCAAATGGTCTGTAATATATCGTATGATGCTCCCGATTTCATTTCGCCTATTCGTGCCAGGCATTCCTTTCTCTACGTCATCCCGGCAGGCGTTGTGCAAGGTAAGCTTCTGTTTAAGCTACAACACTAAATGCAGTCCAGTATATATTTTGAAGCCATACCGTGGAGTTTATGGCAAGGTAGATAAAAGAAAAGATCGAGTAGCCAGGACCCCAACTCTGCTACCTATCCAGCATCACATATCTCAAATTTAAAGCTACATAATTATTCAATGATAATACCAAAAACAAGAGAAGCATCGCTATAGCAGCAGATACTAAAAAAAAAAAAAAAAAGGTAGCGATAGGACTCTAGATTAAAATCTCGATAGTAGCAGAAAGGGGTGCTGGAAAGCAGAGTTGGGGTGCTAGCTAGCACTTCCCCAGATATAAAGCACAGCCATTAGCTAACCTTTTCCTTTTCCTACGATACGTGACATCGAAGCAAAGAGTAGAAATATTGTTCTTGTAAAATGCCAGCCAGTCTAGTCTACCATGCTAGGGCCCCATGAGGCTTCATTATTGTAGCTCTAATATGCATCAAATCATCAACAACTCTTTCTCCTTTTTTCTCCCACTTCTATAAAACAACCAAACCACAAAGAAAGAGAACACGCCAGCGCCCTCTCCTTCTTGGTTTCCTCTCTTCTCCCCTTCATCTACCTCATCTTCTTCGACTCCTCCGCAGACCCCGTCCTCCCAATAAACGTCTTCATCCCCCTATCCACACCAGCAAGCTTCCTCGCAACGAGCTGCACCCCCACCGGCAAAACATTATACCAATCCACCCACCGCGCGTAAAACGGCATCGCAGCAGTAACGCCCTTTCCGCCATCAATCGCCGCCACAATCTCCTTCGTCACGTCCACGGGCTCGACCACGGGCGCGAAGAAGCTGTTTGGCGTCTGCACGCCGTAGAAGAGCGGCGTGCTGAGCTGGCCCGGCGTGACGAGCACGGTGCGGATGTCCGGGTGCGACTCGCGCAGCTCTGCCGCAAGAGACTTGTGAAGTGCCGTGAGGCCGGCCTTTGCGGCAGCGTAGTCGGTCAGTTGCGCGGCGCCCAGGTGGCCGATGACGGAGGACACGTTGACGATTGTGCCGCCGCGGCCGCCGCGGATGATTGCTGGGAGGAACGTCTTGAGGCAGTAGAAGGGACCCAGGAGGTTGGTGCCGATGCTGGTCTCGATCTCATCGATGGAGAGGTCCAGCAGCGGCTTGCCCACGACAATAGCAGCGTTGTTGATGAGCACAGTAGGCGTACCGAGCTATTCAAAGTTCAGTCAGTCAACTCATTCAATCTCATCGTTTAAGGTCGTCATCAAAACACTCACATCCTTCTCAATCTCAACGGCAACCTTGGCCACCTGCTCCTTATCGCTCACATCGCACTTGTAAAACGTCACGCCCCTCGCCTCGCCATTCTCCATCTCATTCACATCCAGCACGGCCACGCTCGCGCCCCTCATGCCGTACACCTCGGCAACCAGCATGCCCAGCCCGCTCGCGCCGCCCGTCACCACAATCACCTCCTCGCCCAGGTCCACCTCGCGCGGCGCGCCGTTAGCAATGCGCTGGTTGACCGCGCTCGCGATCCACATGACCGAGATGAAGATGGCCCAGGCAATGGCGCCCACCATGGGCGGCGCCTCCCATTTGGTCGTCTGGGCGCGCAGGCACAGCGGGATCAGCCAGCAGATGAAGGGGTGGAAGATGGTGACGTTGAGGACCTTGAGGATTAGGTCGACAGATAGCGGCGCGAACCACGAGTCGTGCTGTGGCGGGCGCGAGTAGCTTGCTGGAGGCATGATGGCGGTGATTTAGGTTATGTGGTTGATATGAGGTTTAGATGTCAGGAAAGGAGTATAAAGGAGATGAAATCTGGTGATTGAACTAAAGTGGCCGCAGTGGAGGGTATCACATGAAAAAAAGTACCACTGGCCCAATTCACCACCCAAAAGACAAACGCAGTAAAAATAATGGCCTCAAGAATCTTGCCAATAAATAAGATGAAGAAGAAAAATCATTAATATGTAGAATAAAATAGAAAGCGTCTACTCTACCATCATAGAAAAAGAGGAATCAAAAGCTCTCTTATAACAAAATCAAAGTCACAGCGTCCCATCTCATGAAACCGTTTTAGCGCTCCCCCTGGGCTCCAGCTAGTCAGTTTCGCGACGCCGCAGCCTGTGCCCCTAGAAATTTAGGAATTTAATTGGTCAGACGCATTTCTTTGTCAACACCTTTTCTTTTCGACGGATCTGGTAGCGGAGATGAGATGAAACGCTTTGGCAGTGTCTGAGCTTTTGATGTGCTGCCGAGGGGATTTTGGGGGTGTCCATGATTGTTTCACTTTGCGGTGGATGGCTGAAACGGCCTCTCATGATCTTCTCTTCATTATGGAGTGCTTCTCGTCGGTTATCATTCCAAGGTATTCATTCATTCAGTCTAGATTTGTACAAAAATGTCCATATGCAAAGCTTGTGCCGTGATGATGCCGTAACCCATGATATATCCCAGAGCAGAGTCTATCCCAAACCAACAAATTTATATAAGCCCATCAATGCCATGCCTCCACACAATCGTACACGCAAAATCATGATAAGTAACTTCTCACAACTTCCTCTTCCCCTCCGCCTTCTTCTTCATCTTCTCCCGATACGCCCTATACTTGCGTATCTCCTCCTCCTCCCACTCTTGCTCGCGCTGCGATGCCTTCTTACTCCACTCGTGATACGCGGGATCTCGCGCGATGCCCTCCATCCGCCATCTCTGCGGCGGCTTGATCCCCAGCGCCGCCTTCTGCTCCCACACTTGCTTGCCTCTCTTGAACCAGCGCTGCTGGCGGTCCTCTTCTTCATCTACCGAGGGCCTCCAGTTGCTCTTGAGGATTCGTCGAATCGCTTCGCGCGACACCTGAAATTTGTCCGCTAGCGCATCCGTGGTGTAAATGTCGGGGAATTGTGCGTTGAGAGCCCGGATCCCAGCCAGGGCGTCTGGTGAGAGTCGTTTGCGCGGCTGCCATCCCTCTGGGAATTTCTCTTTGAGTGCTGCTTTCTGGACCTGCCACGGCTCTTGGGTCCTAGGCCTTGACTTTGACGACTGTCCTGTTGAATCTGTCGGTTGGGTTTCGGCAGAGCCTGGCCTGACTTTTCGTTCCATTTTTGCTCTTGATGTCGTGTTCTTTGAGCCCTCCTCTCCATCTGCAGCAGCAAATCTTCTCTTCCCACTTCCATCCCTCCTCGTCCGTTTCCTCTCGACCGGTTGTGAATCCGCCTCAGCATCTATACTCGACGCCATCTCATCCAGCGCTTTCGTCGTGCTTGGCTGCGCATCCTCTCCAATCGCACCCTGAGATCCCTCCTCTCCATTCTTCTTCGTGTCCACCGCTGTCGCCGCTCCATCCTGCCTCTTAAGTCCCGAAGCGTGCAGTCCACGATTCTGCCCCAAGACCACCAGAGGACGGGCCGGCCATCGAAACTGTACGGCTGGAGAAGCGTCGGGCCGGTGAATCTGAGCGAGACCACGCGCAAACGTCCGCCATGGGACGGCGCGGCACGAGCAGCTCATTGTTGGGGAGCACGTGTGTGAGAGCAAGGCAAAATGAATGCTCTTGTCTGTTGGAAGAAAAATATGCCAATGCGCAAGGCTGCAAGAGGAAAATCAATTTAGGTATCGTTAGTGGGGGGTCGATGTGGGGCCAGCCGCACTGCTGCAATCGCTAATCACAAGCTGGATATAAATCATCAATGCATGGAACTCAATGCCGCAATACATGTCACGTATAATGAATAACAGTCACTTTGGAAAAAAAAAATGCAAATAATATGTGCTTGATCAAGTTAATTGAACTAGACAATTCTATCCAGCCACTTGGTATGGCTGTTGATGTTACGCCCATCTATCGGTTGGTACACATCTAGGTATTCTGAGACAGGAATCTTTGTTGCTTTTCAGACAACTCCATGAAAATAATAAAAAGGAAGAAAACAACCCCAACTCCATATCCATATTAATAATGAGGTCCACACGAAGAATCGACAATCTCCGGAAACCAAAAGTAGTAGCCGTGCGTCATATCTCTGCCAACGCCAACCAAGAACCGTCTCCCCAAAAAAGCGTACAGAGAAGGAAAAAAATAAAGAGAAATGATAAAAAATCCGTATGCACACCGTCCATCATGTCAACATGTCCAAAACTCCCCATTTATAGGTCGTTCATCAGCTCAACGGGAGGTCGAGCAGTCTGAGCCATGATGGGCTTCGAGACTTCGAGCGGGCTCAGGGCAGGCTCATCCGTCATGTCCTCAACAAACACAGCAGGAATACCGGGGCTAGTCTCGGCATCGGGCTTGTAGATGAGAGTCGAGCTGCGACTCCGGGTGCCAAAGTTGGGCACACCGCCGTCGGTAGGAGTAATGGGTGAATCATAGGTGGGGATAGGGCGGTGGTGAAGCTTGGCCAGAGCTTCGGCAAGATCATCAGCGTGGACCTGCTTGTTGGGCGCATCCTCGAGGCGCATCTCCCAGCCATGGGGAGGGCTGGCGGGCGGCGAGATGAAGAACAGCTTGCCGGCGTCGGGAAGTTCCAGGTGCTCTGGCTTGGCCTCAATGGGCGTGGAGTGGCCAAAGTAGAGCTTGATGCGCTCGCCCATGACGGCTTCACCGTCCCATACCTGGCGCACCGCTAATGAGGCATCGATGTCGAAGAAAGAGACGATGATGCGGCGGAAGGACTTGAGCGGCGCAAACGAATGTATGGGTGCGGTGTGCTCGATGAGGTCGCGAATGGTTTGCAAGTTCTCGGGCAGGAAGATGTCGGTGTTGTTCAGGTTGGTGAAGATGAGTGTGTTTGAAGGAGGAGTGGGCTGAACCAGTGGCGGGAGGTTGGAGAGATCCAGGCTCAGGTTCGCCTTGTTGCGGGATGAGGTGGAAGAGGACCTTGATAGATTAGGTGTCTCCATTGTGATGTAGGTTGTGAAAAAGTTTTAGATCGCGTTGTGGTTAACGTCTGATCGGAGTCATAAAATGCAGATGCGTGGTCTAACGATGCCCTTGATATCAAGCTGAGCTCGGGGTGTCGTGTGACGTGTTCGGTGCAAGTTCGGCGGTTATAGAGCTGCTATAGCCGTATCTGTAGTCGTCCAAAGATGCAGTATTCGCTGTACTCGGCAGTCGAGATGGTAGAGCAGGCTGTTGGTGTTTTTGTCTTGTTCTTGAGGAGAGGGAAAAAGAAGAGGAGAGAGGAGGCAATCTTATAACAATCAAGCCCGAAACAGAAGGCGGAACAGGTGCAAAAGGTTAATGGAGGCCACGGGACTGCAGTGGCTCAGGATTGGCTGCGCAAAAAGGGCAGATGGAAGCGGTGGAGCCGCGATTGGCGTGGCCCAATGCTTAGCGCTGGCGGTACCCCATGCAACTGATTACAGCGGCGCAAAGTACCTGCTACGGGCGATATGGGCGATGGAGGTACCTGCGATGTACTGGGGCAGTGCAGCATGGCCCCGAGTAATGAGTAATGCAAGCAGCTCAACCAGTCAATGCGGGCGGGCGAATTCGTGCGAGTGCGAATTTCTTTGTCCTTCTTTTTCTTGTGTGCCCCTGCAAGGTGAAATTTTTGAATCGCCACAAAAAGCCCCGGGGCGTATTGCTTACGAGTACGACTGTGTGTATGAAGGTACAAGTAGATGACAAGGCATGATGTGCCCTGATTGGAGAAACCAGCAGGTAGGTACCTGACCGATGGCTGCGAAGTGGCCAGTGCAGCATTGAACAATTGAACTCGTTCCAGTTCCCCATTTTGGACACCTCAGTCTAACGGCAATACGGCGCAGACGAGGTACATGTGAACAATAGGAGGTGCCTGAATTTGTGACTAAAGTAGTACTTTCACTCTTCATATTATCATGATGAATTTAAGGTATTTCATAAGTATCTTTCAAACAGCACACAAGTATCACATCGTTGAGAGAAAACGTCCCCCGCCTTGAACCCACTGGCACATTGAGGCTGTGCGATGACTTTCGCGGTACACCCGATGCAGCAACTCTGAGGTTTCCAAGCAAGTCAAGGTACACACACGCCGTCACCGACGTTTTCCTGCCAGCAGGTTTTGGAGTCTGTCCAGACACAATTAATCAGTGACAGACTAAGCATAACCTTTCTTCTCCTCTGTGGCTGAAAGCCTCTTTTTCCTTCTTTTTCTTGTCACTTCTACAGGACTCGGTATTGACTCGGTTTCTTCTCCCATGGTCAAGCCAAGCCCTTGCATGGATACTGGTTGGTATCCGCCGTCCCTCGAGTAAACTCCATCTCGTGCAACATCACATCAACAAAGAGCTGTCGCATGTCCAATCCATCCCGCACTCCGCACTCTGTAGGGACCTACCTATCCAGTCAACAGTACCGTAGCCCGCCATGGGTACATTGCAGAAAGTACAAGTACAAGTTCCAGCAAACGCATCCCAACCCGGCGGAAATCTCGCCCCGTCAACACCCCCCCCCCCCCCGTCTTCTCGTGGGCGGCTATTATCCTTGGCTTACATAGAACTAGCAGTAGCAGCTTCACCATTCACCTATCCCGCTTCCTGGCCTTCCGAAGCGAGTTCTTGCATCAAAATCAAACCCCCCCTCGGGAGTGGAAATAATACAAAGCATTCGAAACGATTCAACTAGCGAAATCCTGCAGAACGTAACAGAAGTCCGAACCCACTTGTTATCTTCCCCCTCACCCATTCGCCTTTGAGACGGCGGTGCAATGAAACCAGCCATGTAAAAGGTGGAACCTCTTGGTTGTCACTGGAGACGATTTTCTTGAATCTTCCTATTGCGCATGATCGCCCGCCACCATAAACTTACGTACGTTGCTCCGTATGCATGTCCAGCCGGACCATGTGTCCCGATCGCGGTTTGCCTCGAGGGCTGTGTATCGCAAGAAACCGTTTCCAGCTAGGTGGGCTTGTTTGATAGCCCTCGTGCCTGTATCATGGTATGGTATGGTAATGGAGTCGGCGCTACGCCTCAAGCACGAGCTGTTGTGCTAGCATGTACGAGTATCCCAGCCCTCGGCGCAATATTCCCCGAACAACGTTTGCAAGATGCAATGCCCATGGAATCCGCTTACGCTTCCGCCTCACATATATACAATCACCCTGCAGTTGTCGTAGCCTGGCATAATCATAACCTCTGCATTAAGCTTTCTACATGATACATGACAAACTCTAGGCTGAGCATGATAGAATATCAAACATCAGCCACGCTGTAACCTTAAAAAGCTGCCTCTTCACCTCCGGCCCATCCAATGGGATGCCTCACAAACGTCATCCGCAGAACAATCACATCGAATGACTAATCCCCTGTATCCTACTCATTCAACTCGATTCAGCCACACTCAGCACAAACGGCTCTCTGTGGCTGAGCCGTTCAACAACATTCCCAATACATCGTTTGCCTTTAGACAACCTCATTTCGCTTAATCAAAACCCCAACGCCCATTTTTGTTTTCTTCTGCATTCAACCTTCAACTGCCCGGCTTTCATCGTGCCGAACGTGCCGCTTTCCTTTTTCCTTCCTCTTGTGCCCCCTTGTCACTTTTAATCCCAGATCTAGCCTTGATCCGTTGGAACTTGAGCTCAGCTCTTTTTTTCATGTGCTGCTGTCAAAGCGGCGAGGCGCAGCAAGCCTGTGATGATGCGTATCCTGCCAGGTTGACCACGAGGCGTATGTAAGGAGGTCAATGCCAAATATTTCAACTGTCATTTTTCAATTGCAATTTTGCATTCGGGCTATGTTTGTTTTGTATAAGGGGAAAGAGTGCGGAGTACATGTGTGGTAAATCATCAATGTGAGTAGTCTAGTATACAAGGTTGGCTGAGTTGGCCGTATTCCACGTTTTCAAGCATGCACACGGCCACCTCTACGGCCTGCCAACCAACGCCGTTCCGAGATCTCGATCAAAGCTTGCCAAGATTAGCCCGGCCGAAGTTCCCACTCGTCTTAGCATAACATATCTCAGCCTCACTGCTAAACGCTATATCCCCCCTCAGAGCAAAGCTTCATGGGGCAGAATCTCCTCGCCTCTTTCTCCTCCCCCCTTTCACACGTAATAGCGCCAGCCAAGCCTCACTCAGCCCCCCAAAGCCCAATGGACAATGGAATCCCAATGTTTCCTGCAAGAGCCATCGCCAGTCTTTCGGTTATCATCCGCTCACCGTAGTTCAACACCGAGTCTGTCCACCAAGGCTTTCCTCACCCTCTCGTGAATGGCGTTCGTCTCCGCGCCCGTCAGCGTCCGCTCCAGATGGCGGTAGACGATGCGGTACGCCACGCTCTTGCGCCCCGTCTTGGGGTGGACAAACTCGTCAATGAGGCTCACGCTCTCGACCTCATCGCCCCCGATGCTGCGGACCAGCTCCATCACGTCGTTCTCGTGGAAGACGGCCTTGTCGTTGCCGCCCGCCGGGGACGTCGAGCGGATCCAGAACGACACGTCTCTGGGGCTGGGCGGGTGCTTGGAGAAGGGCACAAACGGCTTTAGCGTGTCCAGGCTGGCTGAGACGCCCGTAAACTGCGACAGGAACCTCTCGTCCTCGGACCAGAAGAGCCGGATGTCCGGGATCTTGAACAGCAGCATGGCGATGCGGTCGATGCCGATGCCAAAGGCCCAGCCCACCTGCGATGGCACGTTGGCATTGATGTAGAGCTCCTGCTTGACCACGCCACAGCCCAGCACCTCGAGCCAGTCGCCCGCGTAATACACCTCCAGCTCCCACGACGGGCTGGTAAAGGGAAAGTAAGCCTCCACCCACCGCATCCTCAGGGGCTCATCCACAAAGTCCGGGTCGTCTTTGATAGCCGCCGCCTTTGCTCTAGTGAAGATGTCGACCACCATGTTTTCGAGTGACCGCTTCAGGTGCTTGCCGAGCGCCTCAGCCTCCGCCGCCGAGTGATGAGCCTCCTGCAGTGGGTTTCGCTCAGGATGTATGGGCGGGTTAGGATCCTCCACTACTACGTCGTGCTTGGGCAGACGCTCGATATCCTCCATGACCGCCGCTGCAATGTCTCCGTTGGGCACCTTGTTGCGATCCCATGACCGCGCGCCCTCCATCTGATGGAAGATTGGGTAGTGGCTTCGGTCAATGGCGTCTCGTCGATACACGTCCGCCGAGATGAGGTAGCCGTCGCTCTCGTTCGCCCTAAAGGTATCCGCCTGATGCGCGCTGGTGTGTGTCCTCAACAGCAGTTTCTCATTGAGATAGTACGTGTCAGTGAGAGCCCGTCCTGGGTGATCTACCGGGAAACCCAGTGAGTCAAAGTTTTGCTTTGTCGTCACCACGGGGCTGTATTCGTTGTAGTACTTGTACGTTGGCTGCGGGAAGTTGGCCTGGATGATCTGCCGCGTGATGGCGATTGGGTGGTCATTCTGGAGATGGAGGCGCCTTGATGTTTTGGCGACAATATTTTTCGGCACGTTGAACCAAGGCTTCTGTGTGGGATGAGTGGCTCCGCGGATAGTCACTGTTGATGTTGATTCTTTAGACTCCGTTGAGGTAGCTGGAGATGTTAGATCCAATGCTTCATTAGAACCAAAATTGAAGTACACAGTATTATATCCCTTCCTTTCTCGCCTCGTCTAACAGCAGGCAATTCGCAGAGTGTGTCTAACCTTCAGAATAAAAACGATAGGCAAATCCCTGTCGCAACGCTCTTGAGCTCAAAGTGAGCTGCCGAGCTCTGAGTGACGGGCCAAGGCGGCACCGCATGCTTCCTATTCCGGCCAATGACATTGTTATAATAATAAAAAATACAAGACGCCTTCAATGCCTCATCCAGAGACGGCCAGAATCACCTGAATGTGTCCAGCACCGATTCAGCCGTGAAAAACTCACTCTCATCGGCCTCAAGTTTGGACGTCTGAGCTCATGCCATCCCACCAATGCCCGCTTAAACGCATATCGCCAAGTGGGGGAACCAAAAAGAGATCCGGGCTTGTTACCCTGGAGCTAGGCCTAAGGGCTGGCTTCATATCCACATTCTGCTTCATCGCCTCAACATTAATCGGATTGGCGAGATGGCCGAGTTGGTTATGGCGTCAGGTTAAGGCTACCTTAACAGCAATTCCTGGTGGAGCAATCCGCGTGGGTTCGAGTCCCACTCTCGTCAGATTCATTTTTTGTCGTTCATTGACAAATGGTGACTATCACATCGTTTTCTCTTTTTTTGGTATGTGTAAAATGTGTGGTATGAGTGTGCTTTTAGACGATATAAACCTCCCAACAACATCCTGTAAAGTTCATATGTACAGATCCAATCTCAAATATGACGGCCTACCTATAAATCATAACCCAAGTGCTATGCAATCCGTACCTGACTCCGAACAATGCAATCAAACGCCAGTCATAAACAGATCATGAGTCATGCTCATGGCCTTCATCCAATAGTCACTTAACCTGGACTCAGATTAACCACCTGAGGTTCCAAGTATAACAGTCTCAGGTCAGCCGAGTGATTATCCCGGCTGTCGTCACTTAGTACCGCTTGATGATGGCCTCGAGAACGCCCTCTGGGCTAGACGCCCACAATTTCTGCGCATGTGCACAAATCTTGAAATGCTTCAAGAAGTTGTCTCGCGAAAACACCCTGTCCCACGGAGCGGTTGTCGCTCTCGACGGAGCCTGCCCGGGAGCCTGCCCGGCAATACTCCTCTCACAGCCGGCACATGATATTCCATACTCGACCGTCCGGGCCCGCGGATCATAGTACGGCAGTTCGCACGACGCCATGAAATTGTGGATTGGGTCCCAAAAGGGCTGATGCTGCGAGCGTGCCGCGCTCGTGTCCAGCCGATCGCCGAATTCCTTCATGGCAGGGAAATAAGGCACCAGCTTGACACGGCCTCTCTGGTAGGACTTCTCCATCGAGTACAGTCCCGTGGTGTAGATACCCGGCAGTGCTTGGAACGACCGTTGCCGGCCGACTTCCGCGCGGGTGAGCCGAAACAGTCTCCGTACTTCGGCAACGGTCACCATTCTCGTCTCCGGGTCCTCCTCGATACACTCGAAGCAGCAGCGGATCCACGTCGGCAGAAAGACAAAGCCGCCAAACTTTCCGCAAAAGGTACAGTCCTGAGAACACAGCACTCGGTAGAAGTCCAGGAGGGTGACGTGAGCCGCGAGCCTCATCCGCAACAGCGCGCAGTAAGCCGTCAGGCCGTAAGACACGGCGGCTTTGTACTCTTTCAGGGAATCGACGACTTGCCGCGCCCGGAGGTTGACCCGACGAAGGTCGAAGAGCGCTTGCATGTCCATCTGACGCAGAGTCTGTAACAGTAATTCCACCGGCAGCCGGTCAAGGTCTCCCAAGCCCGCCCGAGAGACGATGGACGACGTCAAGATGGACGACCGCACCTTGGAATGGTCGCTGGGCCAGACATGGACAACAGACATGCCATAGTCTCGTCGGTGATAGCCTGTAGTCCGGATAATGGCGTCATCCTGCTCCCTCTCTAGCATTTCACGGGTCGTCTTTCGTGACGGGTGCGAGAGCGAGTGGAATGCTGAACCGACTGAGGCCATGTCTTGTCTTTTCTTCTTCTTCTACCACTCATTCAATCATGCAAGATGTTAAACTCAATTCACAGCACAAGCATAATGTCAAAAATAGCGGAGCAGCACAATCAATGAATGAAAGCGACGGGGCAAGACGAGCACAAACACAGGCATAAGGAGTAGAGAAGAAAAAATCAGATGCAAGAGTACGGGGGGCCCGAGAGCCGTGGAACAAGTTTGGCTCTCCCCCCGCCAGGTCTTGCTTTCACCGACTTGCCTATTTGACACGGGCTTCCCATACGTAATAATGCATCAGGACATGATTTCAACATACCACTCACGCCTGCAGGGAGCAGTGCCACGAGCTGGTTAGCACGCTGCTAGTAATCTAACGGATTAGCACATGCATGCATTGCAAAATCCCATCTGAAATACCTGTAAATTGTAATGAACGACATGCAAACCAATCCAGCTGCGACGTCCTCACCGCCTTTCGGCCCCGGGCGGCTGCGTTTTCTGCCACGCCGACGTCAACGGACGGCTGCAAATTAGCCGATCTGGATAAGAAAAATCTACGGGGCTGATAAAGTTGCTCCGTTTAAGTGCCAGCAGAATCAGACAATCCTCCAAGTATTTCCAATCAATTCACCAAGCTTGCAGTTTAAGCTGTGCCGGCTTCGCTCCTCGCCGTTTGTTCCTTTTGCGCCCGTCAGATCTCAACCCCCCTCTTCCTTGCTACCGCTACCCGGCTCCAGTTTTCGGATATCGTGGGAAAGGAGAAGAAAAAAAGCAGCTGAGGAAAAAAAAAAGAACGGGGAACTAGGGGTTGCGGAAACAAGTACAAAAACCCCGACCCAGAAACTCGGAAATAAGGGAAAGAGAATATATCTTGAATGCTTCCTCAGCGGAATGTCCCTTCCGTAGCTCTCTGTCGCCTCTGTCGTTCATTGAACCCTCTCGACTCGACGCTGTTGCGCAACCGGCAACGATGACCTCAGCATCCGCAGCTCAGACGGCCGAGCCGCAGCAGCTGCAAGCCGAAAAGAAGAAGAAGCTGAGAGCACCGGCCGTGCGGTATCCCTTCTGGTTTGGAGGAAGCGCAAGCAGCTTGGCCGCCTGCGTTACGCATCCATTGGACTTGAGTATGTTGTGCCTTTTACCTCCTTTTTTTTCTGCTTCTTGTCTTTGCTGCTGCGCCCTTCCAATTCCCGTGCTGACCTAGTTATAATACAATAGTCAAGGTACGGCATTTTGAGATGTGACCCCAATTGCATCCGCCGATGTTCGGCGCAACCCCCCCGTCGTGATATTCCACGTCCTGAATTTTTGAGAAAAAAAGCTTCATGTGAAACAATCGTTTTCCCTTCTTCTTCTAACCCTCTCGAAACCAGGTCCGCCTGCAAACTCGCAAGCCCGATGCGCCCAAGTCCATGAGCGGCACCTTTGTCCACGTCGTGAAAAACGATGGACCACTCGGCCTCTACAGCGGCATCTCGGCGTCGCTGCTCCGCCAGCTCACGTACTCGACCGCCCGGTTCGGCATCTACGAGGAGGTCAAGCAGCGCTACATCGCCCGCCACGGCGGCAAGGAGCCGTCGTTCCCCGCGCTGATAGCCATGGCCGTCGGCTCGGGTTTCGTCGGCGGCGTTGCCGGCAACTTTGCCGACGTGATCAACGTGCGCATGCAGCACGACGCCGCCCTGCCGCCGGCCGAGCGCCGCAACTACAAGCACGCCCTCGACGGCATGGTCCGCATGGCCAGGGAGGAGGGCGCCCTGAGCTGGTTCCGCGGCTGGCTGCCCAACAGCTGCCGCGCCGCCGTCATGACCGCCGGCCAGCTCGCCACGTACGACACCTTCAAGCGCCTGCTGCTGGACTACACCCCCATGGGCGATTCCCTCACCACGCACTTCACTGCGTCTTTCCTGGCCGGCCTGGCTGCTGCCACGGCAACGAGCCCCATCGATGTCATCAAGACCCGTGTCATGTCCACGTCGCACAAGCAAGGCATCCTGCATCTTGTAAGAGACATCAACAGAGCCGAGGGTATCCGCTGGATGTTCAAGGGCTGGGTGCCCAGCTTCCTGCGGCTTGGCCCGTAAGTCGACAAAGAAACCTCACCCCCTTGTGTGTTCCCTCATCCACTGACTTTTGACAGACACACCATTTGTACATTCATCTTCCTAGAGATGCACCGCAAGGTATATAGAAAGGTAAAAGGCTTGGATGAGAAAGCCACATAGACGACAACCGGCAGGCGAAAAATGCTTTAGGTAAGGGGAGAGATAAGACGAAAAAAAAAGGGCAATCAATCAGTCCAATGAGTGAGTGGATGGGTGACGGGTTTGTATAAAAAATGCGGGCGGCGTTTTGATAGATTTCTCGGCGGCTGTTTCAGTGCACATCACCTCGGCATTTCTCTGTTTCCATTCATCTTTCCTTTCCTTTTCTCTTTTCTTTCGATTCGCATTTTGTATTTTCTTGATGAGCACAAAACCACACTCACATCACAAGGGGCCGTGGCGCCCCTGACTCTTTCTGGACATATCCATACATAGACAAATTGGTAGAATGAACAAACGACTTGGCAAGAGGGTATCCATGGATAGTATTTCAGAGTGTCTGCTTTTGTTTTGCTTTTTTGCTTACATTCCTTTTTTTCTCGGTTTTCAGAAATAGAATCCGACTCACCTCTCTAATTAATACGCTGTTGGCCCCCAAAATATTGTACAATCCAGAAGCGTGAAATCATCCTTGCTCATGCGAGATAAGAAAAATAAAAAAAGGTTCCCAGTCATCCCATCAAACGCCCTCATCCGTTTACTGCCAAGAGTTGCCCTGGCTATAAGGTCCCGATCCGTATCCTGCGTTCGAACCGCCTGCTGCGGAGCCACCATACGACGTCGAGCTGCCGCCATAAGCCGTGCCATTTCCGTAGGCTGTTGCGCTGCCGCCGTATGAAGTGCCGCCTCCATAGGCCGTGTTTCCACCTCCGTATGCCGTATTGTTTCCGTATGGAGTTGTGTATCCGCCGTCCTGCCAAGGTGTGGTGCCGCCATCCATGTTCATATCGGGACTTCGGGGGCCGTCCATGTCGGTATCGTCTCCACCGTATTTCCTGGGATCCAGTCCCTTTAGCAGCCCTCCAATCTTTTGCTGCAATACTCGAATGCCTCCTTGGATAATCAAATCCGGTTCCATGGTTCCTGATGCCTCAACTTCGAAGTAGAATCGGTTCGGCACTGCGTCATAGTCAAAGGGCTCGCCTTCTTGAAGAGGTTCCTCCCACTGAGCATATTTGCTCTTGGGCCTAGAGCACATGTTAGATTACCACCCTAACCGCCACCTCAGAAAAAGATTGTCTGCTTACCATTCCTTCTCTGGGTCAGTATTGTTTTCGAACCACATGTCGAGATGGTGCAGCTTGTTGTGAGGGTCGTATTCGAAGCCAACTGCCGACGTCGGCATCCACTTTGCATGCTCCTTTGCAATGCCCTTCTTCGCAATACACGTAATCTTGAGCTCCTGATCCTTTCGCAGCTTGGCAATCAAGCACCCCAGACCCTCCGGATCCGTAATGATGGGAGTTCCAACCGAATTCGCATGACGTCCATCAGCAACCAGATCCCGAGCATAGACCTTCATGATTTCGTCGCTTGTGCACTTTGCGTGCAGCGTGAGGCTGACACTGCATTGCTCGCAGTACTGTTCACAGTCGCAGTCACGGGAGTAGTTGAGTTCGTTGACCCCCTTGGAGTCGAGAGGAATTAGGCCAAGTCGATGTGCGATGAACTCGTCGGCCAAGACAGAGCTGTTGACTTCGATTTCCACCAAGTCGATGGCGATTGTCGGCACTTCGGCCTGGATGATTCGTCGCAGGGCGTTGGCGAACGGCAGGTTCGTTCTTGAGAGCTCAAAGTCCACGCGTGTGCTATCGGCCTGGAGTACGGTAAAAAAAAAAACAGTCAGGCCAATACTCAACTATGCAACCCATGAGAATCTGTCATACCGCTGAAATCTTGACCTGGGGCTGCTCGGGCTCCCCATCCATAGCCATCGGATCATAATGCAAGGCATCCATCCTGACGAAAAAGCTGGCCGGACTCCGGCGCACGAAGGGCAATGAAGTTGGATTGGTTCGATTCGATCTTTTTTCCGTTCGAGCGTCAAAGAAAGCAAGGATAAGAAATATGCAGAAGCTTGCCGCGATGAGGGGGGCAGACTCTGATAACAAAGTGCCGTTAAGAGAAAGTGAAGGAGAATTGACAAGCCAGCAGTTCAAGGTGCAGTGTTGAGAACGCGCCCGCCATATCGATTAGGAGCAAAGTGAGCCGGAGTATTAGTAATTCCGCCGCTTATCGGGACCTCCCCAGCATGGCGATAAGAAAAAAAAAGTTCTCCCCGCGAAAGCAATTGAGAACTACAAGCCAGCAGCAGCAATTGGAGAAGTGCTAAATTCAGAAGCTTTTGAATCTCTTGATTAAAATTTCGATGCATCCCAGTTGCGCCATCCACCAACTGCCAACCCTAAGCTGAATACCATCACAAACAACAATTGCATAGAAAATCAGCAAAAAGACAAAAACACCAAACATGAAGATCAAGGCCATCAGCCGATCCGTATCGGCCCACCAGCCTCCCGGCACCGACACCGTCAAGCAGCCGCGAAACCTCGACTCAGCTGTCCACCCCTTTGAGCGAGCGCGCGAGTACAAACGAGCTCTAAATGCCGTCAAGCTGGAGCGCATGCACGCCGCGCCCTTCATCGGCCAGATGGGCCGGGGTCACGTCGACGGCGTCTACTCGCTGGCAAAGGACCCCAACTCGCTCGAGCGCTTCGCCAGCGGCAGCGGCGACGGCGTCGTCAAGGTCTGGGATCTCGCCTCGAGGGAGGAAGTTTGGCATACCACGGCGCACGAGAACATCGTCAAGGGACTTGAGTGGACTAGGGACCAGAAGCTGCTGACGTGCGCCGCCGACCGCACCGTCAAACTCTACGATCCGTACAACCTGCCCAGCGACTCGGCTCCGATCTCGTCCTGGCTGGGCGCCGGCGCCTTCACAAGTCTCTCTCACCACCGCTCGCGCAATGCCTTTGCCGTGGCGTCGAGCGTCATCTCCGTCTATGATCTCGAGCGGCACACAGCCGCCCCCGAGGTGCTCCACTGGCCGACGTCCACCGACACAATCACAAACGTCGCCTTCAACCACGTCGAGACGTCCGTCCTCGCCTCGTGCTCCAACGACCGCTCCATCGTCATCTACGACCTGCGCACCTCCGCCGCCGTCGCAAAGTCCGTCCTCACATTCGCCTGCAACCGCATCTCCTGGTCCCCCATGGAGGCCTTCAACTTCGCCGCCGCCTCCGAGGACCACAACATCTACCTCTTCGACATGCGCAAGATGGACCGCGCCCGCAACGTCCTCAAGGGCCACGTCGCCGCCGTCATGGACGTCGAGTTCTCCCCCACCGGCGAGGAGCTCGTCTCCGCCTCCTGGGACCGCACCGTCCGCCTCTGGAACCGCGACCGCGGGCACTCCCGCGACATGTACCACACAAAGCGCATGCAGCGCGTCCTCTCCGCCAAATGGACCCCCGACGCAAAGTACCTCCTCTCCGGCTCCGACGACGGCAACATCCGCCTCTGGCGCGCAAACGCCTCCCAGAGGCAGGGCGTAAAGTCCACCCGCCACCGCCAGGCCCTCGAGTACAACGACGCCCTCGTCCGCCGCTACGGCCACATGCCCGAGATTGCCCGCATCAAGCGTCACCGACACACGCCCAAGGTCGTCAAGAAGGCCGGCGAGATCAAGAACGAGGAGCTCAAGTCCATCAAGCGCCGCGAGGAGAACGAGCGGAAGCACTCGAGCAAGCAGTTCCAGGCCCGGAAGAGCGAGAGAGAAAAGATGGTCTTGGCTCGAGAAAAGTAATCACTTTGCGGGTTTCTACTATTGCTTGCTTGGTTTGGTCCTTGTTTAATGGAGGTCTATAAAATTGGCAAAAGGGGGTTTTAAACTTGGGATTTTGTCAAAGGTTGTTTGCATGGCACGGCGTTTAAGGAATGAGAATTCTTCTGGGAGACACCAAATAATTACTGTCTCAATCTGTAAAGCTAGATCTGCTGGTAGCATAGTAGGGAGATCTTTTATTTGTACATTTGTTTGTTCTCACCATACTACTATAGTAAAAAGAAACGCTACCAGTCTTCTCTTCAAATAAAACAACACATGTGAGAGATTGCTACCCTCCCCTCAAAGATTACAAGTGCATATAAGACGACATCACAGGCTAGACGTAAAATCTTAAGCAATCTGTCTTTGAAAAAGTTCATAAAAGACAAAACATATCGTTACTTTTCGTCTAGTCTTCATCGCCTAAAGTAACAACGCGGCACACAAATCAAGTGTTGCCAATCAATCAAGTAGAAAAAAAAAAGCAAAGGCAAATCCATAAGCAGGCTAAAATTCCGTATTTGCCTCTTTCTTGTGTCCCCTTTAAACGCCGTAAAGCTTGCCTCAAGCCGGATGAAGAACAAAAGAAAAAAAAGTCTCGGGAAAACCAAGCAACAAAGAAAAGAAAAAACAAGAGGGTGTTCTCGAGGCATACCAGCGCTCAGTCACAGGAGAGCTCGTGTCCACATGTGGTCAACGAGCAATTCTCTTCCGCTCCGTAGGTTGTAAAGAGTGTAGTCGTAATGAAGTTGTCCTGTTTCTCCCTGTATAGTAACTTATCACCCGCCGCCGTAAAAATCCCTACCCTTCCTCGCTTATCGTCCCAACGCCAAATTTGTTCCGTTCTTGTTGTACAACTAATGCATTGCCTGGCCTGCTTATCCCGGCGGATATCTTAAAAAAAAATCGAGAAAGAAGGAAAAGAAAAAAGGAAGAAAAAAAAAGTAACGAGAAGAGAGAATTAGAAGAGGCGGTATGAAAAGGGGCTTTAGACGCTGCCACGAGCAGCCTTTTGAGGCTTGTAGTTGGACATCTCGTCAAACCAGCCTCGCCCTTCGTTATAGCGGTAGGCGTGGAAGGCAATGCCATAAGGCTTGGGTTCGATGGAATAGAGCATGCCCAGGGGCACGTCCATGTCGGTTATGTCCTCCCGAGTCAAGTCCATGAAATAGGCCATCAGGACGCGGCAAACAGACCGGTGTCCGATGATCAGAACGTGGTCAGTGATGCGCTCAATCTCCCGGACCATGTCGCGGAGGCGGCTAATAACCTGAAGGTAGCCTTCACCGCCGACGCCCGGGTAGATGTAATTGAGCTTGTCGTTGGCACGCTTCTTGAACTCCTCGGGGAACTTGGCCGCAATCTCTTCGTATGTCATGCCCTCGAACTGGCCCGAGTTAAGCTCGTTGAGCATTTCCCAGTTCTTGACGTCGTAGTCGTCGTCAACGTCAAAGTATTCAGCCGTCTCCACGCTGCGCTGCAGCATTGATGTCCAGACGCAAAAGTTCTTCTCATCCACATCGCTATACATGTCTGGATAAGGTGGGGTGTTGTCGCCTGGGAGAGGGGGAAATGACGCCTGCGCCATCTTGCTCTTCTGCTCCATGATCCACTCCTTTCGTTTGTGCGTGATGAAGCGATGGAGAGCTTGGGCGTAGCAATGGCCTCGCTCGGTAAGAGCAGAATCACCACCTAATTTGCCAAGCTCGTTGTCGATGCTTTGGCCATGGCGGGTGATCCAAATTTGGCGGGGGGCGAGGTTGAAGCTGGAAAGGTAAGTGCTGAGCCCGCCGCTTAAAAATCCCTTGAGTCTGTGCTGAATCAACTTTCGCCCAACATCGACCATCTAAAGGAGGTTAGCGAAATGATGAAGAAAGAAAGGAAAGGCTTCTTGCAGCCTGTATACCACTCAACGTACCTGAATGTATTGCATATCGTGCTCTTCCTCATACTCTCCAAGGGGCTCGTATGCACTAGCGTAGGCCTCAACTCGGGCCTTGAAATCCGCGAGTGACTGGATTGGATCCTTATCCCGATAATCGGGGCCAGAAAGCTTCAGTCGCATGTTTGCTTCAAGCAAGTCTGGATCTCTGCAGATACTCTCGATAAACAAGATACCAAGCTTGGGTTCTCTCTGCTTAATGTGATCCACGACATGCTGTCTTCGCGCAATAGTGCTATTTGTAGCATCAAGGATACCCACGGCACCACCCTCGTTCAAAAGGTAGTCCAGGAGCTCGTCCAGGGTATCCATAGCCACCTGCTCTCTAAAGGCCGCAGCCTTTTCGTTCTTGGGGTCGAAGAATTGGGCAGATTGGTCTGCATCCTGCTGTGATTCGGCTTGGTTGAGATCGAATGCCGTAGGCTCTTCTCGGTGTCGCGGGCTCAACAAACCGCTAGGGGCTGGCATGCCATTCAGTAGAATCTCAGCAGCTTGAACCGGAGGATCAAGGCAGTCGGGTTCTGGTGCCAGCTTGGGGTGAATCGAGACCTTGCGACCAGCCGTCTTCCGCCGCCGATTGCCCACGTTGAAGATGCGCGATTCGTGCTGCTGCCATGTCAGATAGCGCTGGAGCTTCTTTGTGATGTATGATTTTCCGCGAGCCGGCAAGCCGACCATGACAATGACGAGCTTGGCGGCCACATCGCGCTGAGGTATCCGTCCATCAGGTGAAACCTTTGACCGGGTCATGCCCGGGATATTGAGAGTCGTCGCATGCGGTCGAACTCGGGGAGTCTGGCTGCCAGAATTCTGTCGCTGAGGAGGCCTATTGTTTTCCCGGTATATTAGCCTGCGTTCTTGGCGGGTGACGTAGTCGCCGTCATGGATTGAGCCTGATTTTATGGTGGAGAAAAAAAAACCCTCCGAGCCCAGAACAAAGGCGAAGCAAAATCGCCGGGATATATGGGGAATCCACCACAACAATAAAAGGACGTTTTGTAAGCACTCACATGCGTGGCGAGCTGGGAGCAGTCGACGTGACGCTTCTCGAATACGGCGGCGTCTCTGTCAAATCGTTCATAAGGTGCGCGACATTGACCATGGCTGGAATCGGTGCGATCGGGACCGGCAGCGTGCTGTAGACATCTTTGGCGGGGGGCGGCAGCACAGCCAGATGGTGGGGATGCTGCTGCTTCAGTTCGGGAGAAGCGGGCGAAGTCGACGAGGGAGAGGTGGAAGGAGGCGACGGCGGTGATGAGAAGAGCCGGTTGTTCATGACAAGCTTTGCGAGTGCCGATTGCTTTGCGAGTCGTCGTCCAGCGTCTGTTGCGAGGAGGAGCAGGTAAGCAGGAAGTTTTTCGATGATGGGGGCGCAACTCTGGCGCAGAAAAAAAAAGTATGACGAGGCGAACCAGGTGGGTTGGAGGGGGAACAAAAGACCCGGAAAAGAGTGAAGCCGATGCAATTAAAAGAGGAAAAGATAAAGAAACGAGATTGCGACTGGCGGAAGCGATGGACAGGTTACACACCTTCTCTGCTAAAAGACACTGCGGAAGGCATTTGGAGAGATACAGATGCAGGATCAAGATTGGAGAGCAAATGTAAATGTCCAGGCCTGTGTTTTGACGCAAACGGGGGAGAGCCTAGAAGGCTCGCACTCGCAGGGAAATAAATGGCCTGCAGCATTTGGCGCGTCCAATAGCGTGCTAGCCTGCTGCCGCACCCTGCGAAACCGGCTCGTGGGTTGGATGAGTGGGCTGGAGCGCTCTGTAGGGGTGTGCTGTGTTAGCGGGCCAGGGCCCTGTGCCAGCGGCGTTCCAGGGAGCGCAGTGCGAAGTTTGGGGGTCTGAGGTGGCCGCAAGTACCGGTACTTGCAGCGTGAGGCTTGCTAAGGGAGGGGCTGACGCTGGGGGTGACTGTGACCGGCCAGCGGACGGCGATATTGTGTGGTCGAGCGGTAGAGGGGCAAAAGGTACAAGGTACAAGTGCAGTCACAAGTGCAGGCACTGGTACAGGTACAAGCGCGGGTTGATAAGTGTTGGGGTGGAGTCGGCTGGCACTTTGTGGTCGAATCCGGTGCGAGGAGATCGAGTCCGTTTTGAGACTGGAAGAAGATGGAATAGGTACAGTAAGCTGGCTCTCGGTGGCCTAGGCGAGACTTGGACTGAGCGTGTGTGTGTAGTGTGGGAGAGCGAAGATGCCGTAATATATGGCCGACGTGAAACAAAGAACAAAGTCGCAGCAAATAACAGAAAAGGTTTCGTGGACGGCGAAAATGCTAACCGCTGCGTAATAAAATCTCGTTAGCATCATGCCGGCACCTGGGTGCATGAATAAATGAGATGCCAAAAGATAAGCTGGGATCCATAATAGGGCAGCGTGCTCGCGCCTCATCCAAAAAATCGCAGCCCACAATAATAACAACACAGGTGATTGATCAGGTGTGCGCGGGAGCCAACATACGTCAGAAGCCCGTTATATGGCCACCGGAAAGGAGGCTTTGATGACGGGAGAGCAACTGTGCCCAATTTGGATGATACGAACCGTCTCAGGATTCAGCGAGGTGAGGTGACGTTCCGGGTTGTTAGCCCGAACCAGGGCAAGTCGATCGATAATGACGGCGAAACTCGCTGAAGAGGACGAATAGCAGAAGCAGATATTATCGTCGAGGTTCGCCGTTGGGGCTGTGGACTCGTAATAAAGTACAAGTGTACAGAGGCCACCCTCTGAGTGGTGAGAGTTCGAGTCGTTCGCAGTCGAATATGTTCTCTTGTACTAAAGATAGACACCGAAACAAGGACAAGGGATGCTGTGGTTTGTTGATATCAAGCAGGCGTCTTATCTTTCAAGATGGGCAGAGAGCCTATGGAGCAGAAGACGAGTATTGAAAATCAGAGTCAAAAATGTAGCCTCCCACATGGAGCACCAGGGCTTTATACAAGACCACATAGACAACCCAAAAAAGGCTCCTACATACGCCTACATGTAACGACTCAGAGGTGCCAACGCCAAACTCCGTGCATGGCATGGCGCTTCGAATGCACCATCTCACCTTGGAAAAGACCAACCCACTCTACTCAGCCTATGCTCTCTTCTACATCGGACATATTCCTCGTCCCTCCATCCAGACAAGCGTTGCCAAGTGGGCGGCAGCGTGCCCTCCCTGGGCTGGGCCAAGCAAGTTACATGCCCATGCCCTCCATGGAGTATTGGATGTACATACTCCTTCGTACATGTCGTACTACCCATCTCTAACAATTTATACTACCTCTAGCAAGTAATAGTAAGATCCGTAGCATGCAGGCAAGCTGGCTCGCGTCATGCAGTTAAGGCGGAATACACGGCCCTAAGAAAAGAAGCGTATGAAAAGACGTCCATTTCAGCACCGAAACGGCCTTTGTGCCTCGTGTCCCTGTAGCTGGACCTGATCGGATTCGCGCCGAGAGACGGCCGGGCCTCGCTTCTCAAACGCCCAGGGGGGTGGCTTCAATTGCTTCAAATTTCCGCCGTCCGAGTCCAGTATTACGGGCGAACCAACTTGTTGCTGGTTGGCAGCTTTTTGCTTCCTTTTTCCATTGGTCTCTGATGATTTTGCTCCTGCTTGGCGCTCGGCGGCTTCTGTGAATATTTCTTCTGCCTTCTCGGGATACACACGCCTCCGCCATGTCTCATCCTTTTCAGCCTCTGGTGCCGCACCCCCAGTCTATCCCTTCCAAGGATCGATGTGGTGCTGCCTTGGATCTCTCTCTATCTCTCCATCCCCGCGATTTTCATTAATAGCAGCATGCCGTGCGCAACCACCAGCCGCAAGCCGCCTGCACGCCGCCGGAAGCTCCAGTGCCGGTGCTGCTCAGCTATCCCGTGTTGCCCGTCATCGCCCCCATCATATGCTCACAATGCTCTGTTTCTGTCGCTAACCGCGACAGCCTGCGAGATTGAGCGGTCGTGATGCTGTCAAGCCTCATCAGTGGACTTGTGCGACTACGTAATTTTGCACTCACCGACGGGGGCTGCGTGACAAGACCAAGGCATGCAAAATGATGCAGCTTGCGGCAGATGATGGCGATGGATGGACGCCAGCGATGATCCCCTTTTCCTCTCTTCTTGGCTTCGCCACCCTCACGTTCCCATTCATCGTTCTGCAGCAGTGACAACAGCGGGCAACGCAAAGGCTCCCCAAAAAGGCTGCTCCAGCAGGAGCAAGGAATTTGGCCGTTCCATTGGAGCACCAAGAGGGTGTCCCAAGCTTGTCTCCGGGAGGGTGTGCATATCTCATCCCCAGCTCAACAACCCACGGCCACCTCTGTACTTGACACGTGCTAATTTGGTTGTTCAACCGCCTTCTAACTGGTTTGAAATCCTCTGGGCCAATCATCATCGATTCCCCCCACGGGTCCTGTGGTTGTCTCGATCCTCCCAAGCTCACATCTCTCCAAATCCATGACCGCTCGTCCCAAAGCAAGGGCAGACCGTTGGCCGTAATCTTATCATGCTCTTTTGTCCTCCCTGCAAGGCATCAGTCATTGCTGTGCACTTTGTACTTGGTAGAACCATTTGGAACTGCGAAACCCATGTCTCACGGGTTTGTCAATGGACTTGCTCGACACCATAGCCCCTCATCTCTCCCGTGTCGCCGATAGCGGACCATTTTTCTTCGCGTAGTAGCATCGGACATGACGGATCAAGGCCCAGCTCGCAAAGGGCGCTCTGATGCGACTCGGGCGCTATGATTGGCAGGCTGGCCATTACCCTTCCTCTTCGCGTAATAATTTTTGGGCTGCGTGGAATTCACATGCATGCTGCAAAAACGGGAAATCTGATAATAACCACCACCCAGAACCAACGGCTCGTCACGACACCGGATGTGATTCATGTCGAGTGCTACCCATGCTCATGGTTCTTGTCCTCTCCCATGTACCCAGCACTCGTAATTGTGTCAAGGTGACCACGCCAGCCTCACTTTTCTTTAGCCACGTTTGACACTCTTTGCATCCTCCTGTGCCGTCTCGCTCTGCAAGCGTGGCCCAACAATATGCACCGAAAAAGCATGAAGTGTTGAGCCTGCTTTGGCAGAGGCACGGCATTGTTAGCACCCGGCCGACGTCATACAAGACCAGGGGGAAGCGAAACGGCTCGACTGTGTGCAAAAGTGAGTGGACGGAGCACTGCTCCATAAAAGTACCGGTACGCCGCCGTCCACGCACTAACTTGGTGCCTTCACCAACATGCCTTGACGTCTTAGTGCTTCGTAGTGAGGCGGATGGTTGTTTACAGGGGCTTCATCTATTGAATCGGTAGCGCACTCTCGCATCTCACGTCGATGTTGCATGGATCCAACGTAATATTAAGCCCATACGAGTACGGCGCTGAGCCTGAACCGTACTCGTACAGTACAGTACAGGCCAAGGCCACGGCTGAGACAAAGTGATGGCCTCAACAAGCCAAGACGTTGAGATTAAGGTGAGACCTGGTGGCACAGAGGACTCGTACAGAGCAGCGTGCGCAGATGAAGGGGGCTCAGAGACAAGTCAGAGAGACATGGCTGCGTATGCTTAATTTACGCGCCCCTTTTACCCCATCCAAGCACCAGCTGTTTGTCAGATGGTTTCACGCCATGGTAATATCCCAAGACATTGTCGCTGTTCCAAGTACGACAGCCTAAGCAGAAGGCATATCGCATATCTTACCATTTCTTGGCGGATGCTGAGGCAGACAGATAGCTAAGGCTTGGTGGCCGCCCCCTTTTTGGTCCACGCCCAATGGCAGTGCGGTGCTTGAGGGATCTGCCTTTGCCAGTCATGAGACAACGTGGGCATCTTGATGGCAGGTAGAGATGACAGCATCGCTGCTGCGCTGTCGTGTCAGGCGAGAAATGGTAGCCATTCCAGCCCCCATGCTGTGCTGTACTACTTGCTCAGATCGATCGCTACGCCATGCTGTTCGACGGCGCATCATCATGTGCCCTGCTGACGAGCGCGCGCGCGAACAACAGACGACCGGATATGGGGGATGGTTTGTGCTCGTGCTCGTGCTCGTGCCTGTAGTATACTGTATGCTGCGTTGATGAATCCAGCAGGATTCGGCGGTTATGCCCACCTTCGCTGAAGCTGGCGCGGCCCACGGGGAGTTTCTCCCGGGCCGTCCAGGGTTTGGCCAATTTCAGTGAGCCAGCCAAAAATCTCATCGTCTGTCGTATGTCAAAGACGAGCCTCACGCCGAAGCTTATTTCGGTGTCGGTGGCAGAACACGCTACCGTAGCTCATCTCTGTCGACCAATCTCACCACTTAATCTACGTCGCTCAGGCATGATAGTGGAAGCGGAAATCTGTGCCTTTAGAACAAGCCCGTGCTCGCATCCTCTCATATGCCCCGTGTGCTGCTCGTTTGTACCGCACCCTTCTCGTGGATATTGGATGCCAAGCTGCCGTAGAGGTGCTGTAGAGGTTGGCTGCTCGGTGTTTCCGGACCGGTTTGCATGCTGAGAAATGGATGATCCTTGTTGGTGTGAGTCTTCGCAAGCTTCGCAAGCTTCCCCAAAGGGCCAGAGTCGGCAAAGCTAGCATGGCTGACAAAATGGAATAATGAGCTGTAACATTAGTGCAAGTGATCGCTTCGGGGTCCGAGGGCACAAGAATAGAGCGTCTCCGGAGCATTTGTGACTGAGTGGGTTTGAGCACTTGAAATGGCTTGCGAAATCCGCACCAAGCGCCAGATGCGCAACGTAAAATGAGCGCAAGACCCTGATCGTCAAGCCAACGATCTCGGTGGGCTCGGGGGACCACAAAACTAAATGTTGCATCAGCTTGGTCTCTTCCTCCTGCTTGCCTCTCTCACTCCCACGCAGTGAATTCCGCAATAATGCCAAAATCGCCTGTTGTCATGCCCAGTAATAGAACCTGTATGAGTCGTACTTGTACGTACAGGTAAGGTAGTATCTGTAGTAGTACTGGGTAGCACTACCAAGACACTCGCTTCCCCCTCCCATCATACCCCGCGTAATACTCGCAAAGAGTGAGAAAGGACAGCGATCTTGAGCACGCGTGTTACCCAGACGGAGACGGGCGGATAAGGGATTCCTCTGACAAGTCCATATTTGCAAGATACAAAATGGGGGTCCCCAACGTAGTAGCTCCTCCTTGGTCTTTCTAGGCTTGCTAGGCCAGGTTTTGGGCGTGGGGGGCGTGACGCCAGCTACAGTAGCCCCGAATTCAGCGAACCATTTGCCGTTCCTGCGTTGAAATCACAGTTGAGCAAGACGATCGGTGCAAGGCTGACAGGGGAGAACGGTTCCGAAAGCGCAGCATGCAGCGTTGGTGGCGTCGCCCGATATTAAACGTTGGAGGAACAAGTGTTGGAAAAGCATGGGGAACAGCAGTTGGAGTTGCATGGAGCCTGTTCCCTAGGCTAGTTCGTGCGGAGTACTCTGTGCTAGCAACTGATGCTTAATTTGCAGTTGATGCACGAAGTAAAGTGGAAGTCGGATTTTTGGGTACTAGCTGCGGTGGCTGCAAGCAACGTTGGATGGAGGAAGATGTTGGATTACATTGCCCAATGACTTGATGATGGTGTCTTGGGTAAGTTTAGAAGGAGGTTCCCAAGTTGAAATCAGTAGTAGCAGCATGGGAGAAATTTGTGGAGGGCATTTTAGAGGGAACCACCTGCAGCCACAGCGCCTCAAACACTTCTAGAATTCCGCAAATTCCAAAGTCACCAACAAGTCTCTTGAGACTCGCCACATTTTTATGGTATTTTGTTCTTATTCAGCACTTAATGAGCAGATCATCTATAAATCACTATTTTTCTCTAAATGCCGTTTTTCACAAGAAAGAAAACAAACAAATGCTGTGTTACCATATGAAACTCGCCGTGACTCTATATCTGAGATTCAAGTGAAGATTTTAGGTGGGGCGCTGTGCCTGCCGATCTCATGGCCAACCAGCGCCTGCGTTTTCCCATCTAGTCTCCACTTTTCTCTGCGATCCTCACCGGCTTCTCACCTGAAATGCGCAGAGTTCGAACATCTCCAGTCCAGCTCAGCCTTGCCCATATCAAACGCACAATTTTCAAAAGCTACTCTGGTAAGCCTATTATATTCTCTCCAGCCTTGTCAAATTATTCTCTCATCATCCGGCCACCTTACAACTTGTCATCGGCATCTCATCAAAAAGAAAGAAAAAATTAAAATTTATGCGTTCTCTATTTCTAACAAATTCCCAAGCGAGCTGCCTTCAGCAACAGCCCCAAGTGGCAAGAGAACCCATTCATCTTATCGCTCCCACTTTGTGTCTTTGGACAGTTGCTCTTTAGAGTCTGGGTTAAAAGGTACTTTCAGGGCAACCTTACCCCGGCTGTTGGAGCTTCTGTGCCTGTTCAAGTCACGTTCAACAGATCGCCTTTTCCTGGCCAACCAAAACAACTATCGCCGTCGCCTAGGCAAACGAGACTCGACCTCATCAGAGCAGCGCCTAGCCATTTTATTTTCTTCTGAAATTGCTAGCACCTTCCCTTCGTTTCTGCTCCAAGTCGCCAAGTCTTAAAGTCTCCCAACCTATCAGAAATCGCAACCGATAGCAGTTGGCTGCCAGTTGCTTTTTCACACGTGGGCTGATCCAAATCATCCCCCCAGTAACGCATTCAGGCTACCCTTATCTTCTTTTGACGCATCATAAGCCATCAAAGGGTTTCCTATTTTATATCCTCTCACTACTGCCAAGGCACCTGAAATCGCGAAGACAGGATAGCTTGTGTCCACTGGTGATTCGAACACATTCTCTTTTTCTTGCAAAGAAGTCCTCGTCAGCTGAATCCAACCCTTTGCCTTGAATCTATCCAAGCAGAGAATCATCTCCTCTTCCTTGACGAGGACGAACCCAAACACGACAGATCATTATGGCTGTCGAGATGGACTACTATGAAGGAAATGGCGAGGCAGGACTTGACCTTGAGATCAAAGAACCCCGTCAATTCAGAGGCGCCTCGCCTAATCCATTGATCGATGATCTTCGAGCTCAGAACCTGCCTCGAGGCGTGCTCATCCCTCTGAAAACGACCCAGGAGGTTCGCCAAGACCACACTATTGTTCAGGCGTACATTACAAGAGCTCCAACCAAGTCCGCCAATGACGTTATCACGCAAGTATTCATTTCCATGCTCACAATCCACTGTATGCTAACCAACCTTTAGCCTCCTGCGCGACATGTGTCCTGACGGTAACGCTAATACCTTACCGCACCTTCGTCGATGCGCAAAGCCATCAGATCTCCCTGCTCATCTCAAGACGCAGTTGATGAATGACACACCTGTTGGACGGCAGATTCACACTGCAAAATCTACCTGGATATACATCATCGTCGGAGAGGCCAAGGACTTTTCCCAAGAGGAACTCATTGAGCTGCTGTCTGGCGTGGAAGGAATCGAGAAGGAACCCTTCATAAGTCTCATTCCAGTTCCATTGTTGGCACCGACATCCCAGGTCCAGGCCGCCATGTGGTCTTCACAGTTCTGGCCAACTGTCTATCGCAAAAATAACCCTCTGGGACCACATCCGGGTATGGTGGCCCGTGGCACTGACGACATCAAGCATGACACGGCAATTTGGATGGCATTAGCCCATCGCGTCGCCCTTCAAGCCAAGGAAGCAGGTATTGGAGAGGCAATGGGTGCCGTGATTGTCCAGAGAAGCGAAAGCGGTACAGAGCTCGTTGGACTTGCTGGCGATGCCAGACACCACCAAGGAGGTGCCCTAATCATGGGTGGCAACAATCCCATGTCACACTGCGTCCTGCGCGCTATTAGCATGGTGGCTCAGAAACTCGTCCGATACGAGCGATTGGCTACCGAACAACCGATGGAGTACGCCAATTTGGATTTCGACGCCTTCCAGGACGTGCCCTTAATTGAGCTGGAAAGAGAGTGTTACAAGCAAGAACACCCAAACAGAGACGGCTACCTATGCCACGGACTGGAGCTCTACGTTACTCACGAACCATGCGTGGCGTGCTCCATGGGTGTGCTCCACTCACGCATGGGAAAGGCGGTATTCTGCAACCATATGCCTCAATCAGGCGGCCTGAGCTCAGATGATCGTCCTGATGGAGGTGGACGAGGATTGGGTCTTTTCTGGAGACGAGAGCTCAACTGGAGCTTACTGGCCTGGGAGTGGGAGAGTGACGGCGTACCTGAACTCCCCTCTGTTGACCCAACCACTCACGTTTAGGATTACCACCTCCGAGGACGATATGAGACTCGACACTGCCCTCGCTGGCTGGAGCAGTGCAGGACGATGGAGTCCTCCGGGCAGGGGAACGCCCAAGCTACGTGGTATGGTTTTGGTTTTGGTAAAAGTATAATGCGCGGTTGCTGCATCGTGTTGCGTCTGTTTATACGAGTAATTTATGATGGAAAATGCATATTGCTACGACGCTATTGGCGACGACCGAGAGGAGTGTTACAAGGAAAGGGAGAGGGGTTAGATAATCCTCTGTTCGCTGAAGGGACTCGGTACGAATTACGAGGTATCAGATTACTTTGTGGAAAGTTTGTGATTTTTAGTACGGCATGGAACGGCGAACGGATGGCTGAATTGGCATTGGCAAAGATGTGTATTAGTAGCTTAGCTCATCAAGGGAGCAATAAAAAAAAAGGGGGCATTTACATATTCTTGATGTATGGAAAATGGGGAGATGCGAAGGCTTTCAGCTTGCTGAGACTCGTGTTGACTGATTTACACTCGGGCTTTTACACTTTATTACAGGGTAGGTTCATGTTCATACACACCTTGCAACAGCCTCACATATCACATCTCTAACGCTCTTCATCACCAACAATAATACGAAGCACAGCTACTACGCTTGGAGGGCTGGGCGGCAGAGATGCCCCAAAGCTGCCCTAACCACCGACATCACAGGGATCCGGCGCCTCACTCTGCTGAGGTCGCATCGCGGCAAATGCAACAGACCCCGGCGTCTCCACAGGCGGGAAAGCGGGCAGCTGCCCCTCCTAAAGTTTGCGCGAATCACGCGGCTGCTCTGCCTTGCTCTCCAAGGGCAGAACCCCCCCCCCCCCCCCCCNCTTTCGCCTTCGCTTCCTCGCCTGGCATCTCTCGTCTCTCCGCGCAGCTCCCGCAAAGTCTCTTTTAAAATACCGACTGTCCGAGCGCCCGCTCAGCTCCCAAAGCCCGGTCGGCCTCTTCCTCGTTGGCTAATCGCCATGCCATTGATGTGAAGTTGATGCGCCTTCGCCCTCAGCCTTGTGCGAACATCATCGCCAACGGCATAAGCGCGGCACGCTCCGAGTTTGGCCCCGAGACGATTCTCTCCCGACGCCGCTTTGGCTGTGTGGTGCGGCTGGCCGTGACCAGGCTGCGATCAAGCCCTTTCCGAGCTCGCACCGCAGCGCCGAGCCTGGCGCGAGAATATTATGACCTGGCCCCTGGCTCGTCTGTTTTCAGGTTTGGCTTTATAACTTACACGACGCTCAAGACCAAGACCATGGGCAGCAACAACAAACGACCGGCCTCTACTAGCGCTGCGGCGCCGAGCCTTTCGAAGAAGAGGAAGACGGACAATATGCAAAAATACTATGCCGTACAGGCGGGCTTTGTCCCCGGCGTGTACCTGACATACTCGGAATGTCAAGCGCAGACGGCTGGCTTCAAGGGCGCTATTTGTGAGTGGTCATTCTCTGGCGAGTCCACGACGAGCCTTGGGCGATTCAGCGTTTCTAATAATTGCCCTATTCTCTATAGTCAAATCCTTCATTTCTAGAGACGATGCCGAAGCGTTTGCCGCTGGGAAAAAAGTTGCTGTGGCCGATGAGCCCGCGAAATTCTATGCCGTCGCAGTCGGCAACCCCACGGGCATCTTTACAGACTGGTCCGAAGCTTCAAAGTCCATAACCGGCATCAAGGGCCCCAAGTACAAGCGCTTTGGAACCCGCGCAGAGGCCGTCGCATACATCCGACAATATGGTAATCGAGAGGCGATAGAGGCTTTGGGAGAGAAGGTGGTGGAGCCGGTGAAGAAGGTCGAGGTTGAAGAAGAGCCTGTCACCATTAAAAAGTTTACTCCCATCCAGGAGGTGGCCACGAAAAAGCCCGCAGAAGACGTTCTCGACGTATGGACAGATGGAAGTAGTCTGGCCAATGGCACAGCCGGCTCCCGCGCCGGTTTAGGCGTCTACTTTGGAGACAAGGATCCTCGCAACCTGGCGGAAAGACTACCTGGCGAGCCACAAACGAACCAGCGAGCGGAACTCATGGCCATGCAGCGCGCCCTGGAGATTGCGCCGTTGGAGCAGCATGTCCGGATTCACAGCGATAGCCAGTATTCGATCAAATGTGTGACTGAATGGGCGGTCGGGTGGAAGCGAAAGAATTGGCTGACGGCCAACGGCGAAAAGGTAAAGAATCAGGACATTATACGGGCCGTCCTCGACAAGATAGATGAGCGAAACAAGGCGGGTGGCCGAACCTACTTCCAATGGGTAAAGGGCCATGCCACAAATGTTGGCAACATTGCTGCAGACCGGTTGGCCGTTAGAGGCGCCAATCTTCCCTGAGGCCAGCGGTATTCTGCCCCCTATGACCGATAGAGATGAGAGTAATGTTTTTTGGGGGCCATTTCCTCCCTCTTTCTCCCGTTTGTTTCCGGCAGTGCTGTTACAAGATACAGACTGCGGAGAAGATACGAAGGTGTTACGGGAAAAGCATTCATACCACGGAGTTGGGCATGAGAATTAATGATTGTAACGGCAACTGGAGGGATTTGTGAACTTGTAGGGTAATTTACATATTAGCTGAGGAAGGTCGTGAATTGATACCTGGAGTTTCGCTGTTAATGTTTGCTTGAGCGGCTGTCGTTTCCCCCAGTCCGAGCTTTTACAAATACTACCAAGATTTCAAAGAAAATAGAAAGAAGATAAGGAATAAAAATAGATAAGCCTCGGATGCGACTCTGCCAAGTCAGGATGACTCTCTCGCCGACATGTACATATTTTTTACATAACTTCTAGGTATCTAGCATCAGTAGGATTGGTTGGCTGCTCTACAGGGATATTGTGACGAAATCTTTTGGATCGGGAAGCCAAGGTGTCTTGGTGGTGGAGAATTTTTTCTGGGCTGACTGGACAAAAACGCCACTTACCGACATTGTCGCCAAGAGTCACCATCTCGAGATTTTTCCTGACCGACACTCTTGAACCATTCCTTACTCTGTGCGCGTATTTGCTGCTTTTCAGAGATTGATAAGATTGAATCTTGACGTTAATTGGGCTTTTCTGCCTCTCTTATCTGCTCTACTATACCGGCTTTGCGCTTTTGTCTCACCTGAACCGGGGAACCTTTTCTTCCGACTTTCTCCTTGGGGCGAAATCCTAAGGGAGCCTGATAAAGAGAGTTGGGGGGCGCGCCTTGGCGAAAGTTATGGCGGCTGCGGCCTTTATCATTGCTGTTCACTCTTCACGTTGCTAACAATTAGCTGAGGCGTCATCACAATGGCCAACATCTGGGCCGTTCCGCTGGCGCTGTCCAACTTCAACATTGTGGTTGCGTTTCTGGGGGGGTTCATATCGCTGTTTGGGCTGGTGTCGTATCTCTTGAAGGAAAATTACTACTTATCGGAAGCTCGTGAGTGCTCCTCTCTTCGCCCATGGTTATTTCTTTTCTTTTCTTTTCGCTGTCTTTGTTTGTTTGTTTCTTTCTGCATTTCGGTGGAGATTGTCTCAGCTGTTTGGCATGCCCTCTGCGAGTTGAATTGATGTCTCTCCCTCCCCCACAACACGCCGATGTCCTGTGGTCTGTATTGGGTTGCTAATCGCATGATACAGTTATTTCTCTTCTCTTTGGAGTTGCTTTTGGGCCTCATGGAGCGAATTTCATTCGGCCGGATGCCTATACTGAATGTACCACGCCTGGCGGCCTCGACGTCGAATGCGCGGACAAGCGTCTGAGCGACATCACGCTCAACTTCTCGCGACTTGTCCTGGGCGTGCAGCTAGTTCTTGCAGGGGTGCAGCTGCCAAGCAAGTATCTGTGGAGAGAGCGCAAGTCTCTTGGGTTGCTGCTCGGCCCTGGCATGGCCTTCATGTGGATTGCCACGAGCCTGCTTGTCTGGGGCTTTGCCGGGACGCCAAGTTTCTTACACGCTCTCGCAGTAGGCGCCTGTGTCACGCCTACGGATCCTGTGCTGTCTGCTGTTATTGTCAAGGGGAAATTCGCCGACCACAACATCCCCAAGGAGCTGCAGAACCTCATCGTTGCCGAATCCGGTGCCAATGATGGATTGGGCTATCCGTTCCTCTTCTTCGCCCTGTATCTGATTAAGTATGTTGGCTCTGGAGCTACCTCTGGCGGAGGAGGCGAGGCCATGGGGCTTTGGTTCACGTACACTTGGGCGTACACGATCCTCTTGAGCATCATCTATGGTGCGGTAGTGGGATTGCTGGCCAAGGAGCTCCTCCGCTGGGCTGTGAAGCGCAACTACGTCGACCGCGAAAGCTTCCTCGTGTCTGCCATATCGCTAGCCTTGTTTGTTCTTGGCACATGCGGGCTCATTGGCACAGACGACGTTTTGGCGTGCTTTATTGCTGGAAATGCATTTACTTGGGACGACTGGTTCCGTCTCGAAACATTGGACGACTCTCTGCAGCCTACAATCGACATGCTCCTCAACGTCACCATCTTCTTGTGGTATGGAGCGTATATTCCTTGGACCGAGTTTCGCCACAACACCATCATTCCTATTTATAGACTCATACCTCTCGGCATTGCAGTGCTGCTCGTGAGGCGCCTCCCATGGATCTGGGGTATGCATAGATGGATTCACCAAATTACCGGCACGCACCAGGCTCTCTTTGTTGGCTTCTTCGGCCCAATTGGAGTCTCTGCTGTGTTTTATTTGTTCATTACTTTGGAATTCATTGAAAAGTTCATGAGTGATGAAGACGGGAACCCAAGGAGCGACGTCAAGGAACTGGGCGCCACGGTGAGAATTGTGGTTTGGTTCCTGGTCGTTTGTAGCGTTGTAAGTTGCTCTTTATTCCCGAAATCAAGGTTTGACATGGCCTTATTAACCACTAACTTTATCAGATTGTCCATGGCTTGAGCATTCCGCTGGGCAAAATTGGTTACTTGGCCCCGCGAACCATTTCCCGTGTTCTCACCGAAAACAGCAACGGCGGCAATGTGTACTACGGCACAGCCATTACTACCATGTCCAGATGGTTCTCTGTCGCAAAGGATACCGAGGAGATACCGGTAGTAAATAACCCTGCCGTCCTCGGAAGCATTATTCGTACGAATAATGACGCCACTTCGGAACCTGCAAGGCCGCGGTCCACGCCTCCGTCTGATGCAAATACACCGAGAATCGTTTGGCAGGATCTCGAGCCGATTCGGCGAGTGAGGACTGACGGTTCGAGGAGGAGCAACCCCCTCCCATGACGAACTGGCGTCCGTCAAGCCGACCGAGTCTGTATTCCCGGGATGTGTTGGCTTCTACATGGCGCTGGGTGAGCTGAGCATGTAGAAGCCAAAAATATGCATATTTTCCTCCTCCCAAAAGTCAACTTCGTCGGCGTTCCTGCATTATGCTTATTTTGGGCCTATTCTCGATTATTTCCGTACCTCATGAGTGATGGCTTACGCCTCTGGCCAAAAGCCTTGATGCTTATACTTTCGCATACTTTCTATAACGTACCCATTTTGAGTGCCGGTGGCTTATTCCCGCGATGATTTTACCTCACCATGCCTCTTCATATATAGATGTATATAGGCAGCAGCAAAGATCTCTTTCGTCTGATTAATTTAGATAACAAACAATTCAAGCATAATACAAAATACCCAATAGGGCCAGCGTTCAAGGAGAGCGGAAGCCTTTTTTCATCCGTGAGGCCGTTCCGAGTGTGTCATGATCTTCCAGTCTAACTGCATACAGGCAAGGGGTTCGGTAGCAGCCGTTATAACTCGTTCAAAGTCAATTCCCAAATCCCCAACAAACCGCAGCCTCAGCAAAACACGCGTCGTTTCCATTTGAAATCTGGAAACTGTGACATGCTGGGTACGAAGGAGTGCTCCGATCGAAAGGTGGCATTTATGGGGCAGCTTTTGTGAGTGGGCATTTCATGATGTATTGGAGGGTTCGCTTGAGTGGTCTTGGAATTCGCGATAAGGCCAGCAGCAGGCGGTAAAACTCAAATCAAGGGCTAAAGGCAAGATTGGCAGAGGATGTGCCTGGTTTTAGTTCCGGTGGCGCTGTCGGGCTGCTGTTCATCAGTGTCCTGGCTTAAGCCTCGAGATACTGTATACTTGGATGGATGGATGCTGTGGCTGGAGATTGGAGGGCCGATGATGACAGAGTGCATTGCATTGGTCTCGTGGCGCGAGCTCACAAGGGCCCTGTTGCAATTTACGCAGGTACTTGGGTGGCCGGGGGTATTGGATTAGCCGTCCGAGGACAGTATTGCATCGTCGTCATTCCTCTGCCTCGGTATTCATGGTCACGATGCTTCGTATACTAGGTACTATAGACAGGTAGATCCGGGGAACGTCACGAACACGTGGCTCTTTGACAGCTGGTGGGTTCAACAGAACAGAACAGAGCAGAGTCACAGCTTCGGCCTTGCCAACAGTCGGAGCTGAATCGAGTCCACGATTGCCGAGTCAGCAAGTATGGGGATTAATACTGTAGCAACTCTTTGGGGTTTGACGAAGCGGTGCCAAGTCGGCCAATGAAGGACAAGCCAGAGTCAGATACCCTTGGCAGAAGCGGCGGACGAGTTGCGCGGCGAATCTATGACACTGTATGCGTCAGCGCCATGCTATTGAACGACTTTAAAATGGCTGCATATGCACGGGCAAGGGTTTGTCTCTCGCGGATGGGGCACAGTGTGTATGACGACAGTTTAGAGACGGTGTACTACAGTATTATGTACACTGGTGCATCGTGACGGGCCAGTGAGAGCGAGCCTTGCCGGTGGTGTGCAGCGCACACATGCTGGTGTGTATATTCTCGCAGCCCTCAGGGCGCCGGTGGCCTCGATCGCTACCTCCAGCGCCTGGCAACTGCGGTGGCGACTCAGGTATCTGATGCTAAGGTTTTGAAACGCAGCGGCCGACCGCCAGACGCATCGCGGTACAAAGTATACTCCAGGTGGCCTCAGTGCACGAATAAGCTTCTTCAGATTCCAAGCTTCTGCTAAGCATTACCGCTGGCAGGTTTATGCATCTCAACTTCGACTTGCATTTTTTCGAGGAGCCTCACGCCCGTCGTTGCCGGAACGCATAACTTTGGCCTCAATGCTGGTCCAGCTGCTGTCCACTCACTGTTTGCACTGCCCGCTGCCCACACCGTGCCTATAACGGGGGCCCCAGTGGATTGTTTACTGCTACTGTACGAGTACAGCGGTCGGATTCTTATCGGCGGCCTGCATCTTGTCTTGTCTCCTCACATCAACCATCTGCATTCTCCGGTCATTTCATCTCATTGCATTGCACGATCAAAATTCACAGAAAACGACGCGAATAGCATCAGAATACCGCACGACACTCTCCTTTCCCTCTCACGTCGGGGCCGACCAAGCGCCCCAACCGCGGTCTTCTGACCCTCTGCACTAAAACACAGGTGAGTGAGTGAGTGTGTGCGCGTGCTTGCTCTCCGCCTGTTTATCGGCTGGCTTCGCCGACGTTCGTCGACTTCCGCCCGGTCGCCAGAAAAAAACCCTCTCTCCCCTTCTCCCATATTCTCTCCCTCAAACCTCCCATCCACCACCCCTGTTTCTCGCTCCCAGGCTGCCTTGTTTACCGTGTCGCTGCCACCGTGCCTTTGGAAAACATGCAACTATAGGGCTTTTGCATCTGGGACAATCGATTTTTCACCGGCCTCGACGATTGTTACCCCCCAAAAAGGACCCTTTTTTTCTCCTCCATCTCGCACATAACGTCTTCGACTCCTAAGACACACCCCCACACTTTCGAGCCCAACACCGTTATCTCGACCAGCTTATCTGCGAATCGCACCGCTGACACAAGGGAAGAGAAAAACAAACGACGAGACAGGCGACAAAAGCAGGCTCCTGGTCGACGGCCGCTTCCATCACCAGCCGCCGTGACGCAGACGCGCACACCAGATCGCCCCTGCCAATCATGGCCTCGACTTCGACTCCATTTCGATCTGGCGCTGGCGATCCACTCATTGCACGAGCACAATCAATTCCCAGAGACGAAGAAATTCGAGATTTGAACGATGACATGATTGCCGCCTCAAACACCTTCTTCAGCCCCGACGATCTCCAACAGCACATGAGCGCCATTGACACCGACCATATGAAAAACTTCTGGGACGCGCAGGGACTTGTCGCGACCGGACCCTTCCTCGACTCGCCCAACGGCTCCCTTTTTGACGAGGAGTACGATTCCGGCTCTGCGTCTCCCCGGGCACCCGGTAAAGCAGTAGATACGTCCAACTTCGAATTGAGGACGAATGCTCATCTTGATTTGATGGCCGCCCTTCGCAAGACCGAGATTTCTCCATTTGCTCTCGCTGGACAGTCGTCGACCTTTCTTGGAGCCCCTGAAAACACTGGCGCATCGGAGCTATTTGATTTTGGCGGACGCAACGAAGCCGTGACGGACCGGCCGTTCGTTTTCGGTGCTGTCCCGGACGGCTCTGCTGCAGCAGCATTCGCCACCCCGACCAACAGCCCGATGAATGTGGAATCGCCGAGGTCAGAGAAATCAGGCCAGCAGCAAGAGAGTTCGGTATGTTGATATTTTGTTGTTTTAATTTTTACTTTTTTTTTTGTGTGCGTGCGTGTGTGGCGGAACATCATGACGGGAAAATGAAGAAATGGCACTTCACAAAAGTATTGACTAACATTCACCTAGCAGCCCACAATGGCCATTCCGAGAGGACAAAAGAGAGCGGCGGGCCCAGAGTTATCACCACACAGCGTCATGTCCTCCAGACCTTCATCCGAAGCAGACCAAGATTGGCCATTTTTCATGCCTGACTTTTCGCAGACCGGACAGCCGCCTGCCCAAGAGCAAATGCACCAAGCCTTGCAACAAGAGTACATGCAACAAATGCCAGTTTCCGACAACCCCGTGTTTACCTACACGGGTGAGTATGGGCTGCACATCCAGGAATCTACGCTCAAATCCCGCGTAGAGACGCAGATGGCGGTAACCATGACACTGTCTCATCTACCTTTTGGCATCACCAAACTACATTTGCCTCCCCACACGATTTCCAAACCTAAACTCAGGGCCAAACCCCTTCCGCAGCCGTCCCCCGATACGCTGGAGCTGTATGTCAGCTTGGTTTGCACGACCCCCATGGATCAGCCTGAGTTGAGAAAGAAGGCGCTGGAGAGAGCTGCCACGGTTCCTCACGACTATCTTCCTTCTCAAGAAGAGGCTGAGCACGAGACACAAAATGGCTGCCAAATTCGCATCTGCAAGAAATGTATCGAAAGAGAGCGCAAGCGAGCTGGAAGAAAGAAGAACCACACCAAGTCTGACGAAGAGAAATCCTGGTATATGGATGAATCGCGCCGCATCATTATATTCAACACCAAAGAGATGAAAGATTGGCGACCCCCCAGCAACGAGAAGGAGAAGGACTCGGAAGGACCATCGCAAGCAGAGTTGTTCCGACAGTGTCCCACCGCCATGCAAGTTGTGGTTCCTATGCGACTCGCATGCTACTGCCGTCACCAGAAGGAGAAGACGGGCTTCAACGTCATCTTCACATTCAAGGACTGGGAAGGCAAGGTCGTTGCACAGGCCATGTCCGGCTCGATTATGATCACGGACGACCACAAGACGGTGGTCACCTCACCCACGGACGATGCTCCTGAGCTTGAGCCCCAAGGCCCGGCCAAGAAGAGGAAAGCGAGCACCCCAACCCCTACCAGAGTTCCCCAGGCCTTGACCATGACGCCCTTGGATACTTCACCAAACATGGCTTCCCAAGGCGCTTCCACGCAGGTTACCTCCGCGGTCACCTCGCCCTTCGCTCCTAACCTTCATTCTTTCCAACAGCCAGAAGCCGTGCTTGGTGCGGTTACCCCCCAGTTATCGGCTTCCAATGGGTCCCCCGTAATGAACTCCATAACCAACGACCCGTGGTTTGCCCAGCGACGTTCCCAGAGCATGGACAACTTGTCCATGGATAGCTTTGTCACAAACAACTCGGTCATGACTGGGCTCTATCCCACGCCAGTATCATCCAGCTCTACACGCCCTCCTAGCCCGAGCAGTATGCGGAGTGCAGTCAACCTGGTGCCACATAACCCGGTTACCCAAGCCTCGGACGCTGATCTTTATTCTCTGGGTGTTGCCGCTAGTAACCCGCCAAGAGCGCAGTCCACTGTCCACAAAATCATTCCTGCCGAGGGCTCGCTCAATGGCGGCATGGAAGTGACCGTGCTTGGTGCTGGCTTCTACCAGGGACTGGAGATTTGGTTTGGCGACCACAAGGCCACTACAACTACCTTTTGGAGCGAGGCATCACTTGTATGCCTGCTGCCTCCTTCTACGGTTGCTGGCCCAGTTCCTGTAACCTTTGGGCCGCAAAGGGCCGCGGCACCGCTGGGCATGCAGCCTCCGGTGTTTACATACATCGACGACAATGAAAACCAACTCATGCGCGCAGCCATGTCGTTCTTTGGCCGCAGATTCATTCCTCCCATGAACATGAATCTCAACCTGCCCATCTACAACGCTTATATTCCAAACCCGCCCATCTTGCGAAAGGTACAGGATCTGATGGCTGCCATGCCCGCCATGCCCACCATGCCCGGTGGCCGCCCAGATAATGCAAGCGACGATGGCACAAAGGCGGACGGGCGCTGGTGGGATCTCTCGTCGTACATGAATACTGCGGCAGCTCCTCCCGCTTATTCTGACATCTACCCAGGAAAGGATGCGGACGCGAAGGATATGGATTCCAAGGCTGTTCTATCCGTGGCCCGAGCTGCCGCTGATGCCGAGGCGGATTTGAAACGCTCCATCCGCCATGACGAGTCAGAGTCCTCGGCTGCTGCGGCCGTGTTCCAATACGAGGACGAGGCGGAGTCATCAGCTTCTGCAGCCATGTTCCAACATGATGAGTTTGAAGATGATGAGGAGGAGGTGGAGTTGGTGATGAGAGGCAAGGCTCCGGCTGTCGAGCCCCCTGCAATCCTCGAGATTGGACGCAAACATGCCATCACCAAGGAACAGCAAGAGAACTTCTTGCGAGCCCGGGAACAGAAGTTGAAGAAGATTAGCAATGATCGAAACCTCTTCTTCATTTGGGTAAGTCGAGACCATTATTTCTCTATCTTCAATCCAAAGTCAGTAACTAACAATTTCTCTTTCTACCAGATCCCTCTTCTCTTGGTGATGATTTGCGCGCTGCTTTACAGCTACTTCCCCGAGCTTTTCCCTTTCATCTGGGCTTCTATCAGAGCCATCGTCCACACCCTGTTTTCTTCACATTCTTGAGTGATGAATTCCGAACCGGCAACGTTTAGTGCTGCTAACGACATGCCACGATGAAGAATAACGGCCAAACTTTGTACATTTATCTCATTTCTTTCATCTCATTTCAGTTATATCTCTATTGATGAAGACTATAACGAGGCATGCGTGCTTGCTTATTTCATCTTTCTTGCCATGTTCTTTTTCTACCGCTCATCACGAACATTATAACACACCATTTGTTCCTCGCCTTTGTTTCCTCATTTCGACTTCATCCATACCATACATCATGACAACACATACAAAACAAAACGACAACCAAAAAAACCGGGAAAAAGAAAAAAAGAAAAAAAAGCGACGGAAAGACACAAACAAGAGACAGACAACGTGATCTGGACTTGGGTGATAAGAGGAATGAAAGAAGGATATCGTTGCTATACCGGTGAAAGAGCGGGAAAGAGAGAAAGTCTGGTTTTGTTTTTTTATTCGCATGGAAATGGACGGAACGGGATGGTTAATGGGGGCTGTGCAAATCGGGATGGGTTTGTATGGTTTCCTTCGGGCTGGGATATTAGGATAATTTGTGTGACGTTTTTTTTTTCTTACTTAACTTATGGGAGTTTTCGGAGGGGGTTTTAAGTTCCCATACAGAGGGAATTTGGGCAAATAGCGTTTTAGATGCTTTCGGTATGCGGCACTGCACGACTTTTTTTCGTTTGACTATTGTTGTTTTCCTCCATCTGTATGTTCTTGATGGAAACAGGTCTTACGAGATATGCCGGTGTGAGAGTGTCTGGAAGGGCAGTTTTGGATACGGTTTGAAGCGCAGTCCGTAGAGAAATACCAGTATTAATTAAATATAATATAGTTACTCATTCACATACTTGGAAAGGCGCAGCAGTTTTTTGATGTAATGTCTCTTGTCATTCGTAAAATATGTTAAAAATACCTATTAGTACAATCTTGTCCTCCTCACGTCCCCTGAAAATCATGATATCATCAAGATCCCTCCTCTCCAGCCTCTCTTTTTTCTTTCTCTCCCGCAAGTCATACTTACTGATCCCACGAGAGAAGGAAAAAGAAAAACAAAAGCCAGGCAGAAAGGATCTAACATGTGAGCGAATGTAAAAAAAAAAATTGAAATCAAAATCAACAAGGATTTCCTTTCCCCTTCGCAAAAATAAAATCGAAATCAAAAACTCAAAAGACAAGCAAGCGGCTTTGATTCCACAAGAGAGCCCCCCGTCTCAAACCAAGCGAAGGGCCAGGGATTCCTCCCCTTCCCCTTCCTTTCCCCTTGTCTCTTCCCCCCGTTCAGTAAAGAAGGAGAGAGAGCGATAGAGAGAGGAAGAGTAATTTGCTCGTTTCCGCGCATTGTCCTCCATGGTCAATGCTCATAAAAAGAAACGAGCTGGAAAAAAAAGGAGGGGGCTGGGATAAAAAAAAAAGAGGCTGATTTTCTCCTTTTTTTTTTTCATGCCCTCCCCCTGCCTGGTCCTTGTTTGCCGAAACGGCTCTCTCCGCGAAAAGGTCCGCCGCTTGCTGCTTATTTTGCACAAATGTCGTCAAAGTCGTATATACGTAGAGTTTCATATATTGTTCCTTTTGTCATGACACATAACGTAACAGCAACAACGTCCTCGGTTCCAAAAACGCATGTTTTGTTAACAACGAAAGATAAAAAGCTTTGGCCTTGCTACTGGGAAGCAAGACGTTGGATCATTACATCGGTTGTTGAGGTTTTTTTTTGTGTTATCTTCCATTTTTTTTGGTCTTTTCTTGGTTGGTTTTGTGGTAAAATCAACACCCTCCGAACAGATGGGGGGTATATGAGATAAAAAGTGTTTTTTGATAAAAATCATATCATGTCTCGTAATAGAGAAGAAAGAAAATTCGTTAAAAATCGAATCATTGCTCGATCCAAATGCTTTTTTTGATGAGAAAATGGCGGATCAGACAGGTATCTCGCAAACAGAAAACTCCGATAGATGATGCGAAAAATAAAATCTTGAAATCTTCACCGTTTCAGGCCCCGCCAGGCCTGTCCATTTTCTCGATCTTCTCCAAAGGTATACTTGGCGGGAATAGTTGGGACGCTGGGAATCCCTCGGTTTGCGTTGGGTACCACTTTGAGGGCATCCTGAGTTGGGGTAGAAGTAGCAGCGGGAGCAGCTTTTCTTGGTCTAAGAGCGCGAGAGCTCTTGGAACCCGAGCCAATAGCCCGAACACTGTACACGCTCTCGCCGCTCTCTCTGGCCGACGACGTGGAGTCGAAGGAGCCGCGGGGAGATGACGCCGCAGATGAGGAGGGCGAAGTAGCGCATAGCAGGTGAGAAGACCGCTTGCTGTGCCTTGAATCCCGACTCGACGTGCTGTTGCTGTGATAGTGGTGGATGACCACGGGTGTATGGGTAGCACTGCCTCCGCTCTTACGAGCCTTTGCTTGAGAGCTCGTGAGCTTCCGCCGAGATCTGGCGGTGCGGAGAATTGGAATGCCAAAGTCCTTGGAAGCCGTCTTACGAATCTTCTTGCCCCTGGTACGTGCTGACCTCGGCGATCTCGGGGGCTCGTCCTGATGGATTTGGATATCCGCGTTGTTTTCGTTTGCCGTCCGCTTGGTACCTCTAGAGTCGGCACTGGCAGGGGTTACCGCGGATAGAGACGTCCTATTGCTCCTGGGCGTTATGGGCGTCGAGTTGAGCGGCCATTTTGGCGGCGGAGGCAACGAAACGGGTGTCTCTAAAGGCGGCAGCCGCGGCGGGGGCGTCCTCAGTGTTAACGTCGGAGAAAGCGCCTGATGGCTAGTAGCAGGCCGTTGCCGTACAAACCCCGGTGGAGGAGGTTGTCGCGTGGATTGAATGGCATGCGTGGTGAAGAAGCCAGCTTCGACCAGCAAATGGTAGCTCGCCAAGGCCTCTTCTCTAGTGGGCCTGTCGTCGTAAGCTCCAGGAACTGGCTTCGTTGGAGACGGAGAGTCTGGCTGCTGCTTCTTCTGCTCGGGCGAGGGAGCTTCTTTCTTGAGCTTGAATCGACCCCGAACGCCCTCCCATACCTGGCCCAGCACGCCCTTTTTCGGTGAGGTGGCGGTGCTCGGTGCGACGCTGGGAGCGACACTAGGCGCGACACTCGGCGCGATGCTGGGCGCAATACTCGGAGCTCCCCGCGACATGAACAGCTGAAGTTGGCGGGTGGTGTCTTGGGACCGGCGAGAGCTTCGCAGATTGTACTGATGCTGCTCTAGCTCTGCTTCCAGCGGTCTTTCCAGAGCCTCTAGCTCTTCGGGCCCGAGAAACTGGCTTGGTGGCACGGCAGATGCACGGTCATTCATAGAACCCTCTTGGAAGCGGCTGCGACTTTGCGCTCGCGGCCTGAGGCCCCTCGTCTTGGGGGGGCCCATTGCAGGCAAAGTGAGGAGGGTTTACTTGAAGACGCGTGCAGGATGTGCGGAGATGAGAGTCGATAAGGGGAGGGGAGAGAAAAGCCCCCTTGGCTATACAGCTCGTCGACGGCCTGTTTGACCACCGTCTGTCCCGCAGCCAAGCGAAGCCGGATGCTCGTGATAAGTTGAAGTATCGTTAATCAGAAAGCATCCATTCCCCCTTTGATCCTTTTTGTTGTCGGGTTGTCTCTCGTCTGCCGCCACCACCAGCGCTTTTGTCGAGGTCCAAACAATGGCCAATAAACAAACAGGCGAAAACACGGGCCAGCGCTTGCGGCCGGAATGCTGCTGCTGTTATGTAGTCGTTGGCTTTTTCCTCTTGTTGTCTCTTTTTGTCTCGGGCCTCGGGGGGCGTCGGGGGAAATTGGGATAGCTCTCCGCAATCTTTTAGAGTTTAATGAGGGATCGAAGCTGGGTCCATGGAGGAGGATTTTAGTCGAGATTCGGGTATGATACTTTCTTTTTCTTTTTCTTCCGCCCAATGGGTGTTGATTGGAGGAAAAGGAAACAATGCACTTACGTCCAATCTGAGGCCGGCAATCGTATATGCTCTGTTCTTATTTGGCTGTTTTAGTTGAACACGACCAAGAAAGAGTGCAGAGCTCAAAACGGGCCCCGTTCAGCTGCACCTCGCAGACACACGCACGTAAGATTGAAGCAGCTCCGCCTGGGGGCCAGCAAAAACTGCGCCCGACTGTTTTGTTTTATGTGTGGCACTGAGGTGGCCCATCCGCACCGCTCCCCCAGCCACACGTGACGGTTGTCCTGGCAACCACCGGGGGACCCCCTGCTAGAGGCCCTGCTAGAGCCCTGTAGAGGCCCTGGACTTAGTGCGGAGGCCCTGTTGAAGGTCCCCCCGAGTGGCAGGGATTGTTGATTGTTCGCAGTCCAACTGGTCCCTTTTTGCATGGCCGTAGTCCGTACTCGTATATACTGGTGGCAGGACGGGCTGTACAGTTGCGGCGGTCGCTTGCAGACTTGCAGTGCCGCCGAGTGGCTGTCACAATCGTTCCACATTTACGGTGTCGAGACCACGAGGGACCGGCAATTCCTTTGGCTTTGCTTTTTTGCCTTTATTCTACGTGAGATGGAGGGTTGGGCTGGTGGTTGGGGGAGGTTGGAGAACGGTGACAGCATCAAGTGACAACACAGCACAACAACGCATCGAAAAAAGAATGTGACGGAACTAACCAGGCCAGGTCACACACACACAACTAACACAACACAGTTCGGCGTCCCACCTATCGACCACGTAATTAATAGTGCCGAACAAACAGATTGACACTTGACTTTTTTTTCGCACGGGGAAAAAAAGAGAGGTGAAAAAAGAAAGGAAACCGCTCACTCTTTATCTTCCCGTCCCCCTTCTCGCTCTCATTAGGAATCTCGCTCCGGCCCTTGGCGCCAGAACATGCCTGCAGGCCAACGGAGGCAGAGGTTAATCACATGTGCATAGCCGCTCTCAAGGAGGGTCCCGGTCCTGCGGCCGGCTGCTACGGGAGGCTGTCCTGAAGCAGAAACAGATTTCAATCAAATCCCATATGTTCTGCTTCCTTGTAATTGCCGCGAATCTTTTCTCCCCCATGCATATGCTGTAGAGTTGGCGCGAATCGCGAGTTTCAGACAGACAGACGGACGGACAGCTGGACAAACGGACCTCATTCCATACCACAGCATATACACAAGCCAAGACAGACATCTTCCCATCTCCTCATTCATATGTATCTCGCAGTCATAAAACCTAGTCACTTGCTCGGTGACCAGACTCTGATTGTTCTTTACAATTACTAATACAATAAAAACCAAAGGCTAGGACGTAACCTTCCTCTGAATCTACTATTGCAGCTTTAATGGCTCTCTTATTATGATTATAAAGGTCGACGCCGATATTCGTCAAGAAATCAAGGCGTTGTTTTTCGCTGCCTTGATTAATGATTTGATATGTTGAAAGTTGACCACCGGGCACGTGGAGAACATGCTACGATTAAAATCAATGACAGAGGGGTTCACATGGATTGACGCCAGCAATTTGGATATAACCTCCATATTACAATAAAATACCAAGTGAAATACTGCTACCCATCTAATACCCAGAAGGAAAAGGGGTATTTTGACTTCAATCTCAACTCCACCCTCTCTTCATTCACATTCCCACACCCAACCAACCACTTACACTCACCACCCAGAACTGGAACATTTCACATTCACTCATAACTCCATTCAATCAATTTCCAAGCAAGCAAATAACACTACAATAACAACATCAACATCTCCCATCACAGAAACAAAAAAACCACTAAGTAGTAGTGCTAATAAGTTGTATCATTTAAATATATAAGAAAAAAAAGACAACAAACAACAAAAAAGACATCAAATGTAGCCGTCCAAAGCAAATGGCTTCAAAGGAAAGAATATTGAACCGCCCAGCTTTGACACATGACATGGATATAATAAGTCCAGAGTTAAACAAGCGCAGGCGGGAAATCCATCTCCCAGGTCTCCCTCTTTCTCTCTCCCCCTTCAACAATCTATATATAAAGGGCAGCCCTGTCGGATGAAAAAGAATCAAGAGTCCAAACACAAAAGGGACAAAGTTAATAACGAAGAAGCGCACAATTCGATGTGTTCCGTTGAGCCATCTCACTTTGACAGAAAATGAATAAATAAGAAATCCCAGATAGCCTCAAGCTGTGTCGTATCCTCCCAACTCCATAAAATCACAAGCTCCATTCATATTGCCCTCTTCCAGGAAAAATAAGATAACAAAAGAGGTATTTAATAATGGTAAAAGTCCCAAAACGCCTATGAGAAATCTGTCACACATCAAAATGCAGATAATATACTCCAATAGTTTTGAGTTGCCCAAGAATTTGTGAGCCGAAATCGCACCGCGCCCCAGAGGCTTACACTTGGTATTGGTTGAAAGTAACGACACCGATTTGGCCGTCTGCTCTGGAGTAGAGGCCCTGGTCCGGCTCGGGGGTGAGCCCGCGGTATCCGTGGCCAAAGTGGGCATCGAGCTGGCGCTGGCCGTTGTGCAGCGCCTTGGTGCTTTGAGAAAAGACGTGGTCGTGTTTTCTCTTGCCACCCGTTGGCAGCAGCGGTGGGGGAGGAAGGGGCTCAGTTTGGGCCTCAATGGGCGGCAGGGGAGACACCAGGGAAGCAATCTTGAGAGGTGCCAAAGATGACTGGCTTGGCATCTGTCGCCTGGGCGGAGGAGGAGGCAGGGTATTGTAAGGAGCTGGGTGGTGAGGAGCTGGGTGGTGAGGAGCGGAGTATGGCGCTGATGATGGAGGAGGAGGAGGAGGAGGCGCAGAGTAGGGCGTCATAGGCGCAGGAGACGGGTAGGAGACAAACGATGGTCGTCTCTCGGTTGATGGATATGCGGAAGGCGACTGAGCGGCGTAGGGCTCACGACTGTCATAACCAGAGTGCCTCGTTGGCGGCGCTGGGGATGGGCTGGGCATTGAGTGCCGAGGAGGATAGTTGTATGATTGTGAGTCCTGCTTAGCATATGGAGATGGCGCAGATGACGTCGGATATGGCCCGGTAGGCGTTACAGGAGGTATCGGAGCGCCCTGTGGGTGGGCATATGGTCGAGGAGGAGCAGGCGCGCCATATTGATGCGGCACGTTGTGGTCGCCAAATGCGAGGTGTCCAGGCCTGGCAGCGGGAGGAGGTGCGTCGTAACTCGGGGGAGGAGGCGGAGGTAATGAAGGAGCATGGTAGCTCTCGGCAGCAGAGGGTCTGCGTTGTGAATCCTGTGGCATGTACGGCGCGCGGTGCTCACTCGCGTTACTAGCAGATCGGGCGCGCATGGGATCCTCAGCGGGAGCTGGCGTCACGGTCCGGCGACGAGCATACTCTTCCTCGCGTCGGTCGTAGCCGCTACTGCCCTTGCCGTCGCGCTTCCTCATACGAACGTCACGGCGAATGCGAACTCGGCATCCCTGGTCAGCAACTGTCTTGCTGAGAGAAGTACTCTCCATGAGTCCGGGGAACTTCTTGGCGCTGAAGACGTTGAAGGGCTGCGTCTTGATCTCCATTCTCCAGTCGACTCCGGCGGGGAGGTCAGATTCAACGGGCTCCATGTCGAAATCCTTGGACTCCTTGGTCGTCTCGTACAAGCTGAAGGAAAGACGGAAGTAGCCTTCGTGACGGACAGACAGGTCGGGGAAGATGAAGTATCCAGCCTCAGTTGGTCGGTCGAGATAGGCCATGCCAGATGCCGGGACACCAGTCAGGATGGGGGGATTGTTGGTGGCTCCATTTTGGACGCGGCCGTGGGCCATGGGGCGAGCCTGCTCCAGACTGGCATAGAGGAAGAAATTGGCGTTGTAGTCGAAGGTAATGTCCTTGCCCTCCTCGACGGAGGGACCCTCAATGATACGAAGTTCAACAACAGGCGGCGGGTCAACAGGTCGTCGGTCGCTGTTAGCTGCGAGGGAGTAAGTACACGGAGAATTCCCAAAAGGCAGACCGCGATGCGTCATTGCCACATCCGTCGTGTTGAAAACGCACCTTTCATGCCCGAGCCACATGCGCGAGCACGCTCCGGCTGCTGCAGAACGGTCAACTGGTACCATAGGTGTCGGTTCTCTCTTGTGACGCGGTGGATGCGTTGGACCATGTCCCGCGAGGCGGAAGAGGCCACGGAGGTAGGCGTCGCCATGATGCCGCGTGGAATAGCTGTAGTCGAGCACGATTGCAAATGAGACAACAAGTATAAAAGGCTGTCTTGCTCAGTCAGTACTACAATTCCCAGCTGGCAGCAGTGCGGAGAGAGGAAAGGAGTGGATGGGTTGGCAGCTATGAAACTGCAAGAGGCCAAGGTGTAGAACGAGACCACGACAACCATCCAGTGGGAAATCACACATCACTCACCTTTTTTAACAGGCAGAAGCCCAAAGTTCAAGACACTCTCCGGCCGCCAAAGTATTAGGGGCGGGAAGAGCCCACTGTTCGAACCAGGCCAGGAGACAGTAGTAACTGTACGCGGGGAGTCGAGAGTGGTGTGATCATGTATAGCAGCGGCGACGAGAGGATATCATGAGCTCTATCGTCGTCTCTCGGGTATGATCGAAATCGAAACCGAGTCGAGTCGAGAAAACGGGTTTTGCAAAATGGAAGAAGGCCAACGGGAAAAGGAAAAGGAAAGATCTGGGTGGATGTGCGACCGTGGAGGAGTAAGAGTAAGAAGAGTCCAGTGAGAAAGACACTGGCCTGGTCCCCAACCCACCTTTTTTTGGTGTGTGAGGAAGGGCCCCGGGAATCTGGGACTAAGGGGAGCGGGTCGCAGCTGAGGGAGCCTGGCATGTCCAGGACTCGCCAGGTCAAATAAGGTAAGCCTTGGCCGAAGCGCGAAGGGGGGGCTTGACGCTTTTTTCTCTCTCTTCTCTTCCTTTTTCCTTTTTTTTTTTAGGAGCATGGGGAGGGGGGTTCTCCAGGGAGGGGGTGCGGATTGGATGGGCTTGGACGAGATGGCGGTTGGCTTCCAACGGACGGGGAGGATCTTCCCCCAGCTTCCCAAGGGCAGACCTTTGGACATTGTATAAAGTGGAGAGGTTCATGTTCATGTTCATGTCGAGGATAGGAGGTGCTCCGTTTTGTCCGTAATACTTACTTGCAGTACCACGAGTCTACCTTGTTGATATTAATGGATATTGATCAAATCTGTCCCAGTTGTGCAAGACCTGCAGGTACGAGGACGTGATGGCAGCGCGCGGAGATGCTAGTCCTGCTGGTACGGACCGCTCCTGTGATCTACTAACCCACAGGTATAGTACAGTGTATAATACCGTCCGCGATTAATGAATGGACGGGAGAGAACCCGACAAGTTGAGTGAGCTAACGACCCCTGCCCTGTTGCTTGGTAGCAGCGATTGTGAGACTCGCCGCTCTGAGGCACGGTACATACTCGTACGGTACGGCACTGCAGGTCTGGCCAAGTACTGTACCTGTGTGTGCGGGTGCCTGTACATGTGATACAGTACAAGTCCGTACGAGTACAAGCACATGGGAGCACATGGGCAAAGCAAGAAAAAAACGTCCCAGGAGGCTGCAATGATGAGAGGCTGCGGCCCAGGCGACGCAGTAATTGGACGCGGTACGGGGGCCCTTGGGTGGGTGGCGGTTGGTGCTTCTCCACGCCTCCGGCTCTTCCCCAGCGGGACCCAGACGGTCGGTCGCAGCTGTTTGCTTCCAGCGGTGGCTTTTGACAGCGCTAATGCTAATGCTTGTGCTTGTGCTTGTGCTTGTGCCTGTGCTTGTACTCGTGTGCTTGTGTTTGTGTGATTGGGCTGTTGGTTTTTTTTGGCTTTGCACGCCTCGACTATCTTTTTTGGCTTTTTTGCTTGTCCCTCTGCGCTGGTACCGAGAACCCCATGGCCGGGTCAGGGTTAAAAAACGTAAAAGGCGGGCTGCGGTGCGGGCAAAAGCCCAGCCCAGGCGGGCGGCGCCTACAGGTTCCCAACTGTGCGCAAAAGCATGGAAGCATTCCGTCCCAGCCAGCCCAGCCAGCAAACTGAGTCAGGCCATGGCTGAGTTAGCTGATGGCATGAGCCGGGATTGTTTTGTAAGCCCAGCGCAGCGGTTTTTTTGGCTTTCTGTGAGCGAGCGCCTCCTCCTCTCGGAGACAAAACGTTAGGGCGGCTCGAGCACTGGCAGTTACTGGACAAAAAGGCACCGGCCGTCACACTTGGTGGTGGATGGCGCACACAACGATAGCGAGAAGCGCAGATGCCGTACATGCCTGGCGGCCCTGCAATCGCCGCACCGTGGGTACAGTACAAGTCACTGGCTGATTCTCATTGATGCTGCGTAAAGGTGGACGTCAAGTTATCGCGGTTAGTCGGGCAGGCTAGCGATGGGAAATGTAACCTCTAACAGCCCCCCGCCGTTCCGGAGTGCAGTGCGTGCTGCTCTAGCACAAATTGATCCAGGGTGTGCGAGAAGAGCAATCGAGGTACGGTACCCCAAGGTGGCAGGTACTTGACAAGCCCATCTCAGATGGCCCAAGCCTAGGGCCAGTACACGAATACACACTGGACAGCTTCAGTTCAAACGAATTCTTCCGGGTACTTTTTCCTTGATGGCTTTTGAAGAACATCGTCACGGTGGCGCAGACCGGCTTGCTCTGGCTAAAATCCTGCCAGCCAGCTGAAGCTTGCCCTTGCCCCGTTCGACTCTTTCTCTCCCTCGGGTCCGAAGGCCCAGCAAAAGCGCTATTGCTGCAAGTCAGGTCGGGTAGATACTTGGCATTGGGCAATCTATTGCTGCTGGAACATTGCCTAGTGGTATACCCAGCAGTCAGGTAAGGTAGTCTCGGCTCTGAGGTCTTGTCGGGTCCCATGCTGTCCTCGTACCCTCTGTCACTGTGCCGTACTGTGCAGGTCTCTGTACGAGTCCTCGCGCTGATCGGAGACCAGAGGTACCTCCATCCGCCAGCGCCGTCGAGGGCAGCTGGTGCGTACCTCGCGTCCCTTGGCGACGAGAACCTGGGCCACGGAGCCGGGGTGTGCGCCACACGTCCCAAAGAAGCGCAAGCTCTCCAGTCTTTCTATATTGCAGTGGGGTCTGCTAGTCGCCAAGCTGCACGGGCGTCTTGCGTCTCTTGGGGGGCGTGTATCATCATTCGCTGCCCATTGATTTGGTTGGCACACGGCCTGCGGGCCAAATCTATCGGTGATACCAGGAGCGGCCCAACAGCCCGTGCTCCTGTTCCCTGCCGCTATTTCGCTGTGGGCTCGTTCTGGCCAGACGGTACGGGCTGGGACTGGCTGGACGCTGGCCATGGAGGGAGGGCCGCGGGCTGTGAGTGGCCGGGCTGGCAGGCGGATAGTGAGCCATGCGTTGCCGGTATTGCTGTGCTGGGAGCCGCGTTGGATGGGTTTCGAAAGCCTTGGGTCTTGGGTTGTGGTGGTGTCGATGCAACGGCGACCCAGTTTGGACCAGCAAGTCATCTAGCAAACCAGAGGCTCGTATGATAGAGCAGAGCAGAGCACTCAAATCCTGTTGCAGCGTGCACAAGAGCCTCCATTGCACAACGGCAAGCACAAGCACAAGCACAAGCATGGACTGATTGACCAACCTGCATCCGCATCGGATAGCAAGCCTGCCTCTCTCTTGTCCCAGTCCCGTCCCAGCCAGCGCCTCGTGGAGAGAAGAACAAGCCCCCCGGCGGCTGCACCCAATCCCAGCATCTCGTTACCTGCGTCTCAGGTCTAGACGCTGCATGCTCACAAAAATGCTCTGCCCATTCTCGTCGACACACATATAATATGACGACTCTGTGCTTTTGCTGCGGCAAGACAACTACAAGTACAAGCCCCGACATGGCCATCGTCAATCTCTCTACTCGCACTGCTCTATATCATACTGCACAGTATCTATCAGGTCAGCTTCAACTGTACAATGTTCTAGCAACCCGCCAGATCTTCCGTCTGATGCTAAAAAAGCACCGCAACCACTCGGCCGACGCCGGCCCGTCATGGGTCTGCCCTGCTTTGCCTCCTCCCTGGCTCCCTGCTCTCCCAAGCCAAGGTTCGCACCAAATCTCCATCCCCATCGTCAGCCTGGGCCCCCCCGTCCTTTTCTTTCTTCCCTCTTTTTTGACACATGGGTTTCCCGGCCCCTCTCTCCACCGCCCCAAGCAAAAAAAGACGGGAAGCTTGTTCGTTTTTGGGCTTGTCATCCTTCAAACTCGCGCATTGATTTGTCCATTCGTATCTTTTGCTGCCCGCTGCTTCGACCGGGGCTCCTCTAGCTCTCTGACTCTCTCTCTCCCGGTATCGTACAGGCACTTCTATCAAGATCGCACAAAAGAAGCCGCTGTTAGTTAGTTTCGTTCTGTTTGCGGTTACGCTATTCCCAGTGTGTGTGCGCCTCATCTTTGCTTTTTTTTTTTTGTTCTCGCTCTTCCATGTTTCTTTTTTTCTCTTTCCCACCCCCGCCCGCTGATTGTCTCTCATTGTGACCCCCCTCCAGTAATTTTTTGATGTAATGTGCGTTCTGGTGCGGTCCGAGTACACGCAGCGCAAGTACCCTGTTGAGCAGGTCGCACAAGCACAGGCGTGCAAAGGCAGGCAATTGGACCTGTGGATCTTGTACTCGGGGGGGGGGTCCCAGTCCCATACTGTACGAGGCACTGCCGTGTCGGATCATGCAACCTGACATGTCATATGCAGAGCCGTTTACGGCACATCCACCTGCAGCCGTTGCACGACCGCTTTCGACTGCGTGCAGCTCGAGCTCGGTACCTCGCCGAGTGATGGCAGAGTGCTGGGCAGGCTGGGTACCCGTACCTTGTCGTCGTCTCCTTTGTCTTGTTTGTGACGCTTGAGCACAATTTCTTGTGCAACCTGGTGCCCTTGTCCAGTCCAGCATGGTGAGTAAGTGACACGACTGCTACAGTAGCTGTTCCGTCTCAGTCAATCAATCAATCAAACCATGTCGTGCTAGCTAGCTATTTGACCATTCAACCTCCATCCAAGAGCTGTCCTGCAGAGTCATTCTCGTCCACATGGTTTCCTCCTGTGCCTGTCCCTCCCCATGGCGGGCATTAGCTTCTGCCCAGGAAGCCCACCGCGGCGGCAACTCTGGCAGCACCATGACCTATTTTCATCGCCACCGGCATAATCACGTTTCTGCCATGCGACCCTCCCACAGCGGGCGAACACCGTCATCGCACACTTGTGGGTGAAGCCTCGCCTCGATCATGTACTCATACATACACGAGTATTTATATATATATATATTGTATATTAGGCAGTGTATTTATATAAATCAGACGTATCTTACTCTGGTGCGAGAGGCGTGCGTCTTTACCATCGAAGTGTGTCTGGGTCCGTCCTGACTGCGCCAACCTGCGAGATAGGCGCGCCAACAGCAGCAGTTGGACGGGCTTCGTGAACAAGAATGCAAGATGCCGTACTGTACGCCAGACACCATCACCACCACCCCATGCTTGCTTGCAATTCAAGTTGTACTCAATATTCCCGCTAGCCCTGGCCTGGCCTGGCCTGGCCTGGCCACACTCCATCTCTGTATCCTGCTTGCTAGGCCTGATCGACGGTGCGGCCGGCTTTGCTCACAGGACCTTGAAACTTTTCCCGGCCGGGCCATATCGTGCATGTGGGCAAGGCAAAAAACATCCATGGGCTGCGTTTTGTTTCCTAGAAGCGTAAACAGTACGAGCGGCGCATGCAAGCTAGCACAATTTTACCGTGCATAGGCCTGGCAATAAAGCCACGGCATAGCAGTCATTGATGCAGGACATTGATGGTCGAGCTTCAACCGGTAAAAGATTGGATCCCCTTGTTCCCCAACATTGTGTATCTCATGCGCATCCCCGGTGGGAAGAGAGACAATGATCAACCTGACCACAAGCAAGAACAGGCACCGGGATAGACGGGAAGCGGCGAGGTGGGCTCCGAAATTAGGTGGGATTGTCCTGTACTGTAACAAATTTTTTGAGACTCAGATTTGATGGCTCTCCGGGAAGCGAGCCGCTTTGCTCCCTGGTCCCGTGCAGAGGGATAAGAAGTGGTTCTCGATGTTTTAAAGAAACAAGTTCTACTGTAAGTCGGTCAGCGTGACATCCATTACCTCGCAGCCACTGGGGCACGTTCAAGCACCGGCCCCGTTCCCGGGCCGTTAGACTTCTTAGACATGCGGTTCTGGGTTGATACATTGAATGCATGAGCCGCATATCAGAATGGAAAAGAGAGGGAAAAAACAAGGAACAGGCATGCTTGTTGCTGCATGGCTGTGGATATTGGTTAAGTGAGAGGGCGAGTGTCTGTGAGTATTATTCCGTAGACTTTAAAGACTGTAAAACGAACTGCCTCTGCTTTAAGACAAGGGCAGCACTTAGCAGTCAAGCACTGCTACTATTGTAAGAGTTATATTGAAGTCCAGTGCTAACAGTGCTAAACTTGACTAAATCTCTTGGCCTCTCGACGCTACTTGTGCTCTATAATTAGTAGGTGCAGTAGAGCATCTGTCTACTTGTATTCTTCTTCACATTCGAGCCTTGGAGACCACGAGGCTCTCGTACTGCTCTTTTCAATACCGAGTGCATAGCCCTAGGATGTCACAGTCATTGATTGTCAACCTGCCTTTCTGTAAACCCTTGCGAAACGATTGCGGTGCCGAGGTTGCTCCTCGTGGCGGCTGCCTTTGAACCCTCGCCTCTCCTCTTTGGGAAACTCTTTCGGAGTCCAGATGCAAAGAAGAGAAGAGAAATTTCTTCAATGGCCCGGTCCGAGTTTCTTGCTGGGCATTATTGTCCCCATTTTGACAGATGCTATGCCCATGCCCATGCTATCCCATGCCCTGCCCTGCCCTGCCCTGTCCTTCGGCATCGGATGAGCGTCAGCAACCCGATTGAGTACGTCGGCCGAGATCATCTCGCGCCTCTGACCAGATCGCATGCTGCTGCCTTACAGTAACTGCTACTGTACCGAGTTTAATACCTGCACAAGCACGGGCAAATACAACCACCACCACTTCGATAAAAGCCGAAGTCTCATACATCCATCCATACTGTACATACAGTAGGCATCTTTCTCGCACTCCCCCCATGTCCTTGGGGAGCCCACTAGCATGCAGCCCCCTCGAGCCTATCAGCGTCGCCCGGCTGCACGAGGCCGTGGCCCGCGAACCCCTTCCCAGAGGTCACTCACTCACCCCCCCTTGCCTGGACTGCGACTCTCGACTCTTCTTGGGGCGTTTCGTGTCTTTGTGTGTCAAGTTCAGTTGTTGGCCGGATCACAGCCGTGCGGTTCGCGGATCGGCCTGTCCAGCCTGTCTGTGCTGGCGCACAAGATTGCCAGTGCGTTTCTGTTTCGTTCGAGGCGCAACGAGGCAGGTAGACGGACTACTGCTGCAGCACCAAATGAATACTTGCACAGGTTGTATTGGCCGCACGTTATCACCGACCTTGGGCCCGTCGACGGAGTATTACTTGTCCTGTCTTGTTCCTGTTGGCGGTAGCAATGCTTCGTATTCACCACCTAATACACGCCCGTCTTGACAGTCCTTTCTCGACTATTGATTGACATGAGCACCCCCAAAAGGCCAATAGAACCACACACATTCTATTTCGCAAGAACAGGTTTAAACGGATCGGAGCGTCTGAGTAAGCTGCGGCCGCCCTTGCCACCGCCGATTGGCCTGTTCGTTAAGCCCCAAAAAACCCGAGGGCAAGGTTTCGGTGTCGATACCAAGGCCACGGTACGGATACTCGCCTCTCTCTCTCTTTGGCTCTCAGCTGAGCATTCCAGCCGGCTTGCAACAGCCCGCCAGACGACTCGTGCATCCGCTCGCCACTCGGCTGATTGGGAAAGGCAGCAGATCCGGTGACCAGTACGCTGGTACGGTGGACGGAACCAACAGCAAAACGTTTTTCGCGTAGCCCTGGGGCTGGCGGGGGGGGGCCCTTTGTTTGTGTCCAATTTCGTCAGTGCTGGCGAAAGGGCAACTTGCACTACAGTACAGTGGATGGGCATTGACGAGTGGCACGATGCTTTGCCGCTCCGATGAGCCCTGGCCAATAATGGATCGGGTGCCCAAAGCTTCTTGGTTGCTTGTTGTTGGTCGTTGGAAACGTTTTGATAGTAGGCCCAAACACTGTACGAGCCATGTTTGAAGCCTATGCTTGACCTTGAGGTATTCAACGCGACCAGCGCTAGCGGTGTCACCGAGTTCAGCAACGTGTACGAGTGCATGTAGTCTATGTGATGATGCGACGACGCTCGTTGGAAGCGCCTTGCACGGGCCTCTTCAAGGGGCGTCAGGTTTTGCATCTCGTTGAATCTGCCACGAACATGTTTCCCTATGGGTACAGTTATATCGTCACTGGCAGCCTTGCCTTGTCAAAGTACGAGTAAGTCTGCGCTCCGCATTTCGTCCGTCCCAATGCAGGTTCGTGACCCGCAGATCGTCTCAATGGCATTTCTGTCAAAGTTCAAAGCGGGCATCTCCCATGTTTGCGGGTGACGAAATGGCCGCGGAGAAAGGCGCTTGTTCTTGTTCCGCCGTGGATTAATCACTGCAGTCATCATTCCTCCTCCCAGCACTAGAAGTTGGTAAATGCAGATCTGTGAACACTAGCCGCAACTCTAACCTCAGCTCGGGGCGCCCATTTTTCCCTTGAAGCATCGAGCCACTCAACTCAAAAAAGAAACGCTGGACACTGGATACTGAGCTTCTAGCCGCCCTTGGCCCAGTTCGCCCATCCACGTGGGAAAGGAGAGCAGACAGAATTGACGGCGCACCGGGCAGTGACATTCTGGTCAAAGACCGCCACTCTTTTTACGCATGTCTCAGAAATGGTGTCGCTCAGAGGGTTTTTACAAGTTTCCGAACCCCCCCTTACATTGGGCCTTGTCATTTCGGGGCCCGGCGCGAGTGGCTGGATTGACAAGGCTTTTTGTTGGCTCTTTGTGTTCTGGCCAAAACGCCTTTTGATTTGAATCCTTCGTTCGGGTCCCTGATGGGCCTGGCCTGGGTAGCTTCGAGCGAGAGCCGTTGAGCTAGACTGAGGCGCCGATGTGTCACTGCCAAGCCAAATTTCGTCTCTCCAAGAGTCCTTCAAGAGCACATGCTTTGTTCTACAGCAATCGGGCGGGCACACATGGGGAAATGTCTCGACAATTGGAAAGCAAACCATCAGACAGTCCGTCTACTGGGAAGTACTAGCTAGCTAGAATTATCTCGGGGCAGGCCTTGGTTGACCAACTACTACTAGACTGAGACATGGCATACTCCATACTCATATGAGTGCGTCCTCGTCCCAAGCTTCGTGAGAGCGCTACGGTAGCAAGTACGAGTAAGAACAGCCGGGCTGGCACGGCATCATGCCTATTGCTGCAGAGCACAGGTAGCACAAGCTATTCTGCAGCCGTTATCTATCTATCGGAATCTCGACTCCCCCAGCTTTGTCGCCTCGTACAAGCAAGGCGGATATCGAGAGGGGGTGTGTTCAAGTCCATGTTCACGTTCAAGAACAAGAACAGGCCGGAACCTGCCTCCCACCGCCTTGGCCAACTGGCCATTCATTCTCCCTGCCCTCATGTCTCTCGTCTCTGAGCATTGGACACAAACAACTCCGATAATCGTTTGCCCCCTCCCCTCTTTTTGTCTCTCATTCATGTCTGACCACATGCGTTTATTTGCAGCCCTACATGTGAACAGCTATGTGGAATGTTTGCCTTTCTCTCTCTCTTTTCCCCTTCGCCCTATGAATGAGCACATGAGCCGTTGCAGACTAAGAACCCTTTTGCTTCGTCTAATTTTGGGGGAGGTGTTGGGTTGCACGTCGTGTCTCTCCGGGAAAAAAAGCAATTTGCTTTTAGGGGCTTTCTTTTTTGGTCTGATCGGCAGGGTGAGTCGCTCTGGCATACCTGTGCAACGGATGGCGCTGCAGTTCTTATCGTGAGATTGGTGTTGGATCGATGATTATCGTAGGTATGCTGTAGATGGGTTATCAGATTCAGATGACTGTTTGTTTTTACATCATCAGGTAGATTGTGCCGAGGATCTCCTGGTAGATGGAGAATGGGCGAACATGTGTAATGGTGTTTATCTGCCTGTTTGCCTTGCTAGCCCGTGAAAGTGGGCAGGCGTGAAAGCTGTTTGGAGGGCCACTTTGTTTGGATGAGAGAGTCTGTCCTTGTGAGACCTTGTCTCTTCCTGTAGAAGTGATGGTAGGATACGATTCTACCCCAGACGGTGTGAAGAAGAAGAAACAAGAATTGCGGGCTTGTCTTTGCGACGGGATCGCGGATGCTATCATAGCCGAGTACATTGTCTCAATTTCCACCTTGGCGACGATGGTCATCTGTCTATCGCCACGTCACATTGTTGTATAAACCAATTCTCCAATGTTTCGAGAGTGAGCATCACTGAGTAAACTCGAACTACTCCGTAATTCATTTCCAAGATTCAGTGCGAAACCTCGTCTCTCCTCCCTGCATCCGGAACGACAGCCACCGTCTAAGACAAGCGGCTCCAGGATCAAGGATTTCTCATGGTTAATATTAGATTACAGTACTCCGTATGTATTTCCTTTTTTTTCCTTTCAATTGTCGTTGCCTGGAGGAAATAAAGGCGTTGGTGACGGGACGTGCAGATGACAGATTATTGAACCAACAGGGTAGTACTAAGGTAGGGGACCCAACGGGAGGATGTGGAAGGGGGGTTTGTTGATGTTTTTTTTTTTTTTTGAAGAACTTTGTACAGAGATTACTACTTTTTGTGTTTATGTATGTATGGTTACATTGGAGGATTGATTGTTGGGAGTAAGGGGGGGTGAGTGGTGAGAGGATTTGAGATTACGGGGTGCAGGGTATCTTTTTGACAAATAACTCATTGAGCGCGACGAATTTGATGTTGAGATAGATGCTTGCTCAATTCACTTCGCTGGAACGCCTTTTCAGCACCCTAATTTAGCCATTCAACATCTCATAACGCAATAATACTAAGTACCAGACGATCATACGGAGTAGTTGTAGTAGTAGATAATAAATATATAACCATGGTAGCAGCTACTAGATAATGTAGATGTAGTAGCTGTTACTAGATAAATGTAAATATAGTCATTCACGCAATCACAAAGATCCCCAAGAGGCATCATTAAACCAACACAAGTCAAAATTCGCGCTGTGTTAACTATGTAATAATAATGACCACCAGCTCCTCCCATTCATGTGAAAGAACCCCTATAACGCAAATGAAAGAAAAGCATACTACCATAACCGACTTTTTGTTTTTTTCGAGCCTGTACAATATTGACCGCACCATGCCTTGTCTGCTCCCGCCTTATCCACCCAATCCCGTCTTCGTTTCACACGTCCTTAACCGTAAGAAGAATCAAGAAGCTGAAATGCTGCCTGGCAAACGAAGGACGACGAGAAACTCCGCTCTTCGAGCATTGGAAGATGAAGCGGTGCCTAATTCACGTCTTTCTGCAACATCATCTTCCTGTCCTCCATTCAGACGCCTCTCTTGTCCATACTCGTCTTGGCTCTCAACTTCCATTATGCTTGCATCATCTGGAATATTAATCCCGACCACGCTTACATCATCTGGGACATCGATCTCAATTACACTCGCGTCGTCTCCGATATCAACCTCCACGACGCTTACGTTGTCGTCTTGATCCTTATTCTCGACCTCGGTTGAATCGTCGGAACTAATCTCGATTACGTTGTTGCGCATAGATATGGAGTCATCCGGGCTTGACAGCCTCCCGTAGCCTCCGGAAGATATTCCACAAGCAGGGGAGGACTGCGATGCGGCGGAAATGGAATCCTGGTTGGATCGCTTCGTCTAGTAAGCGATCGCTCTCTCTAGCTGATAGACCGCGGTTCTAGCACGTTCCCGCACGTCAAGGTCTCTATCATTGTGCTTCAGAAATTCCATCCTGTTATAGAACCCTAGTTTCTTTAGTTCTGCCGCCCTCATAGACCAGGCCTCGCCGCCACCGCCCTCGCCCTCGTCATCGTGACCTGTTAGGTTGATGATCAGGTGGCAGACGGCAACGCGTACTTCCTTGTCTCTGTTGCTGATTTGTTGACAGAGGAGCTTGAGCAAGTCTGTTTGCCTAACAACTAGCTGCCGATGTTGATTTGTGCTGGCAGCTATATGAACTAGGATATAAATGACTGGAATGATGATTTTGGCATGCGGGTGGATGAGTCTAGTCTCCTGCCCCGGCGTTGCAGTCCGTCGAGAGAAGGGATGGAGTACTTTGGCTCGTAGCTTTGAAGATAGTATATCAAAGAGGCGATCCTGTCCAATAGTGCTGAACAAGTAGTCAATCATCTCGGTGGTGTCATAAGGTGACTCCGCAGAGGCGCCTACTCCGAGCCCAACCAGGTTTCTGATGAGCTCTAAGCCTTGTTCTTGAACAGCCACTTCATCGCTCCGGGATCTCCTGAAAGAATTGAGCTCAGATTCACGTATGCCGGCGAGCTTGTCTTCAGCCTGACGCAGCTTGGTCGACCTCGAAGCATCTAGCTTCTGCATGTTGCCGTTCGCCGCAAACGTCCACCGCACCTGCTCATCAGACGGCGTCGAATCCATATCCTCATCGACATCGTCGCCCGGTGAGTGGATGGGCTGCGTGTTATACGCCGCAGAATCTTGGCCGTCGTCGTAAATGAGTTGCACCAACCACTCAGGCTCAAGCTGTTCCAAACAAGATCGCTTCAGGTCAGGGCTGACGGCGATTACAAAGTGCTTTAGGGCCCATAGGGCGTTGAGCCGCAGAGCGGGATTGTCAGAGTGAGCATGCTCGCAAAGTATCTTCATGACACCGTTTTCGGCCAGGAGCTGATGGCTGTTAGCTTTGCAATATTTCTTTTCTGATAGATGTGACAAACCTCGCGGACCGGACTGGCCTCTAAGACCAGGTTGCAAATAGCAGCTGTGGCTGCAATCTGGACATCAATATCTGGGTGCTTTAAGAATTTGAAGACGGGCATGGCGACGGAGTGATCAACCAAAGTCGTGCGTAGTATGCTAATGGATCGCGAAAGCATCCTGATAACATGGCAGGCCGCGACGATGACTGATAATGGATTGGCACCGTACGCTGATGAGACGCTGGGCTGCGCTTCAGGTTCTCCACTAGGCTTATCCTTGAGTCGATCCTTAATCTGTCTGGGCCGCTTGGGATACTCGTTGAGTGACTCCATCACATAAGGAATAAAGTCTTCATCGACCAAAGCTTTCCTGTAATCTTCCTTCCCAGAAGCGACAGCCCCGATGGCTTTCAGTGTTGATTCCCTGAGCCGCACACGATGAGAGAGAAGGGGGTCTTGACCAGCCTGGCCTAGTTGTGACGTTGAAGGACCTTCTTCCTCCATATCGGTATCCGGTTGCGGAGACCAGTATTTGGCTGCCTCTAGGATGGATACAGACCGATAGGCACGCCTCAGAAGCTTGGTCAAGGTCTTGACAGCACCACAATCGTAAGCAGCTTTTTGGAGCTGTTCGCTGTCAGTGATGAGGCGGGCCAACGTAGCTGGTGTCCTTTCCAAAATGAGATGCTGGGTTTCATCAAACGAGGTCTGCGACTCAGCATCATCTTTGTCATTCTTGGCAATCAAATCAATCAGCAGTGGCACTATGAGCATGCCAAGGCTAGTTTCTCTCCATCCTTTGCGCCCTAAGCCAGCTTTGAAGAGGGATGTGACCAAGGTGGCTGCCATGAGTCTCCCATAGCCGCTAAGAGTCCTGGCTTGCACAATCAACCAGGGAATAAAAGGACTCTCAATTTCCTCGGATGAGCTGCTGTCCAAGCTCGATTCCAGGGCAGCAGGAGAGACAAATCTGGGCCCAGGTGTTTGGCTGGGAGTTCGTGATTCTGGGTGGTCTGGTGTGTTGGCGGAAGAGTGGTGGTGGGAGTGTGGGGGGCTCCGAGTAACAGAGAAGGGAGGAGGCAACAAATAGTCCATGGCTGTCTGGTTCGGTGTTTTGGAGCCACCCAAGCTGTTGGCCTCGAATACGATGGAAGGGAAGACGGCGAGAATGGCGGGGGAGTTGATAAGTCGAATCGCCCTGTACTTTGAATCTCCGAGAATGGCCACCACGGCCCCGAGAATGGGGCCAATCTGGGTTCCATGGGGAGCTTCTTTGGGGAATGCCTCATATAGGCCATCGCTATAAGCTTGCGCCTCAGCTCCCGGCACAACATGACCCTGACTGACGGCAAAGCTGGCCAAGCGAGAAGCGAGCATGTCCAAAACGCCAGAGTGTAGCAGAGCCTGCTGATGCCGTTCATCCCTGCAAATGCGAGATATCAAGCTGGCGGCAAGCTCCACCTGGGTCTGCTGCAAGTAACTCGATGATGTGGTAGCAAGTATGAGACATAAGGACTCGAGGTGAAGCGGCGATGTAAATATCGTGTCAGCAAGAGCTAGGATATCGAGTGGGGATGACGGAGATGCCAGAGCGGCCGCGTTCGCAATGCCAGTGACGGCCTTAAGAGCGGCAACGACGATTTGCGGCGCGTTGGCATTGGGAGATGTGCATGCGAGAATCGCCGGAAGAGCTCGGGAGGCGTGGACGGACGGTAAGAAAGGAGGGCCACCTGCATTGATAGTATCACAAGTCAGCATCACTCCTTCAGGCGCAGGAAACAACAAATGAACAGCATAGCTTTGAATGCATACCCTTGGCGAAGCTTGTGATGATCTGCAAGGCTTGCAGCCTGACGTTGTCTTCGTCTGACAGGGGCCGCTGTCCCATTGCCTGTGGCCTAGCATCCTTGGTTGTAGCATTCGCCTTGGTGGCAGATCGAGCCGACGTCAGCGTCCTGACGACGGGCTCCAGCACGCCCTGGCTGACCCATGTCTCCTTCTTCTGGTGGTGCCCAACTATCTCGTTTTTGAGAGCCCGTAGCGCTGCCGACTGCTCGGGGCACGTTTTGGCGTTGCGCAGCTGAGTCAAGATCGGGGAGGTTTGGGGGCGCGCCATGGAGATGGGAGTGCCGGATACGCAAACGGTACTTGGTGTTGGTGGGATGTAGCGGAGAAAGCCGAGGGAAGCGTGCTGGGATCTTGCCCTGTCGATTAGTGGGATCGAGCCAAGATTGCCTGCTGATTTATATGCTCAGAGCACCGCATCAATATTCACAACAGAGAGCAACGACGAGGCAATCGATTGTAGGGCGAAGAATTCGGAAAAGCTCCGACAAGTGCGGCTGACGGAGCTGCGCAGCCTCGTAAGGCGGAGGAACAACAGCTTGAGCGAAACCGGGATTAAGCAAAGGCGTAGCAACGGTGCGCCCGATTGAAGAATTAATTGGAGAGTCTGAGGAGCAGAATGAGAGGATGAAGATAGCAATAGAGACACAAATGCGTAAACAAGCTTGCGATATCAATTCATGGATTATGTCAAAGTAAATGGACAGGCTTGGTGTCTTGCAGTCTGACGAGATGTCACGCCAAAGCAAGTCCGACGCCGTGGCACGTGCACCTTATCTTATCGGATGTACCAATGCTTTGTACTCCGGACTGCATTCAGAGTATCACGAACCACGACATTTTTTTGGAACTGCATACCAAGTATTCAGCGCCCCAACTTTGCTTATCACCATAGCTATAGCAGCAGATACTAAAAGAATTGGATATTTGCTATTCAAGTAAATGCTTATAGTAGTAAATAAACGGCTTTCTTTCACATCCTGGTTCGATAATGCCCAAACTCCATGCACACTGGTATAGATGTACCTACCTATGTAAAGTGCATGCAGCCAAAGAAAACAGATGGTATTCTCATTCAATTGTGTAGATAAAGAACCTCCAATCCTCACAAAGATGAAGGAGAGCACAATCTTAGAGGATTCTCGACAGATGATGGTTGGAACAACACAGCACGTTTTGAGAATGCATCAGTTAAAATACTTTGGCTGGCCCTTTGACTCTTGCTGACCACTCGTGACCAACAGCAGATTTCCTCTTATAACAAAGCAACCCCGCCTGGTAAAGCTGCGTCTTTAACGTCTCCACAAAAAGACGAGAACGGCATCGATCGTGACCAATTAGTGGATATGAAGAAAGCGGAGGACGAAGCGTGAAAAAGGCGAGAGAAAAATTCTAGAAAGATTTGGTTTGATGGGGCATTTCCTTTGGCACGGTAGAATTTGCCATCTACCAGCCCGCTGTGGATTGATCACCTTCGGAGCGTTTACCGATATTGTCAAACGCTCGTGGCTACTGACTAAGGTGTCAAGATCCGTGGAGTCGCTTTATACCGTGGACCATATAACCATTCAGTTGAATCGGTAATCTTCCGTAAATAAGGTACACCGACGCAAGGAACAAGTTACGTCATTCCGGCCATAAGTGACATGGCAATGACCCAATACCTTAGTTCTAGGTAGTAGTACAAGCATCTGTTCATGTACCTCTGTGGGTTACCAGCACTCGTCCCAAATGCTTCATTGTCAAGAGATCTTTTATATAAAATATGGAAGCCACCATAGAGCATCACTCGGCCAACTGCCTAACTCTATTAACAGTGAACCAATCCTACCTCCAGCCTCGCAGGTGTTTGTGCGGCCCGTCAGCCTCCTCTGAGCCTAGGCGGAAAATCACTGGCAAGCCTGAGCCTGATTGGGCAAGACACCAAAGCAGGACCCCGGATCATCCGCTCCGATAGCCGGCATCACGGTCCGAGTTTTTGTCCTCTTGACGCATTTCGTGCTCACCCAGATGCAGATTTTTGTGCGAGATATTCCCGCTTTTCGCCTTTTGACGCCAGCCCCCATCGTTAGCGGTTTGGGGGTTGAAAATGATGTGCTTCAATCTCCGTAGTGGCGCCGCAGGATTTTGCATAGCAGCGGCAGAGTGGCGGTGCTGCTCCGAAAGAGACCATCTCAGTCATGCTTCTTGTACCCCGTACCTCACGATAGTGGCATCCATTGTTCCCCATCCAAGTGCTGCTTCCAACGCCATATCCAGCACACCACTAGCCACAACAGTCTGTAGTCTAGCAATAGGGCAAAAGAGCTTTCCCCCCTGCTAGTACTGTAATACGTGCTACTTACCACAAATCAGAAATGAAAACTCCGGCTGATGTTAGACATGTCTGAAATGAGTGCCAGTCTTGGTCGCGGGCCAAGGTGGCTAGCGAATCACCGGGCTTCATCTCGCCACGAGCTCGCAACAACGGATGCTCATTGAACCACGCCTGCAGCAGGCATACGACAACTCATCAACTCGGTGTCCGTTTCATCAGATGTTTGCTTTGCCGGCGCGGTCTGGGGTTCAGTCTGGGGTATTGTGATCAGATGTACTCCGTAACGGAGCTTTATGTGCAAGCAGCCATCGTGATGGAGTCCAAGTCCACTTGTGATGAAACGGAGCGCCTTCCGACCAAGTGGACTTTGACCAAGCGGGACGGGACAAGAGTCAGGTCAAAGAGACGGTCAAGAAGAGGCTTTCTTTTTGCGTATCTACAGTAATTCTTGATACCTACATCTAATTTGTAACTGCAGCTAATGGACCCTGACTTTTTTACTGCCACGGGTTTACTTACACCAAGCGTTGCGGCCCTCTCAAAATGTTTTCAGGGCCTTGTCGATCACTATCAGAACAACAGCACAAGGCGAAGAAACGCCATTTCCGGACAGCAACTGAGTGTCCTCTGGGGGGGGGTTTTTTTTTTCGCGCCCCAGCCCCACTTGGAGCCGGAGGTACTTGTACCTGTGAGGGTCTTGGCCCAGGATACGCCAGATGCTACTGGCAATGGCTCAGTTGTGCGGACATGACCGATTAGGTCAATACCTTCGTGGTATTGCATGATCCATCTTGGCTTACTTTATTTAGCTTTGGGACTTGTAAATAGCAAGAAAAAAAAAGAGGGACATTGTTGGCAACGTTTTTCTCTCGCGGTGCCTCATCTTCTCCTCGTTCCAACTCAAACACTGACTGATGAGCCACTTACCTGCCATGTCTCTGTAAGCCAGCCACGGAAGAGTGGCGCTTGTACCTGGACTTTGACCAACCACTGCTGCGATTGTCAGGTACAAGGAGTCCCGCCAAGCTGCTGCGGAGAGTGCAGGTTCCTGATGATGGGGATCCGTCTCACTGCTGCTCAATCTGCTGTACAAGTACCAACGGACACACTGCAGCGTTGAAGAGGCAATACCTCGCAGCCAAGTACCACCACTTACAGCAGTTGTCTGCCAGCTGTTTACTTGGATTTTTCTCTTTTCCCTCATCCGCTACCACGAGCAGCATCCGCCGTTGCTTGGCAATCAAGCCAGCCTCATTATCATTAGAAGCGACAGCGAAGAGAAAGTTAAAAAGCAGCAACAACAGCATACATCAGCCAATCAGCCTACAACAGACCAGATTGACTGACCGACGGCACTGCATTCATCCCATCTCTGACGCTCTCACCTTTTCCCCCAACCCACCAAGTACCGATACCTCCACGCAACACAAACGCCGCTAACCCCCCTCCGTCTCCTCGCGTCCGTCCCGCCGATTCGAATCCTTGGTCTGGCTGACCATTTTAGACCTTGTGGCTCTGATAAACGTGGTTTGCCGGTCCTCGGTGAGCATTTCGGGTTCGCTCCAAAGCAAGGACAAGATCTGGTTGTTCCACGTTTTTCGAGATATTGTCTCACTGCATCGCCAGAAGGTAGCGCCTACCGCCGGCTGTTCCGACTTGGGACGGCTGATGGACATTTGATAACCGGCCGGCGTCTTTTTTCTTCTTGTCCTGTCCTGTCCTTTCCATCGCCTCTCGCAAACCTCAGCAATTGGCTTGTCCGGTCTCGCCTCCTCCACCTCGCTCGCGAAGAGGCAAAATATAAGACGACAGTAAAGACAATACAACAAAGCATACCGATCCAAGCAAGGAAACCCAAAGCTTGCGCTCCGATGATGCGCCGAAGGAGACCATGTTGAAGACATCCCCCATTCTCTCCCCCTCCAGCGCCTCTCCCTCCAGCTTCCGAAATGCCTCGAGATCCTCGCAAGATTCTGGCTCCTCTCATCCCTCGCAAGTGCCAGCTATAAGCCCCAAGCCGGCGTATCTGCGCCGCCGCCTCTCGTCGCAGTCGGTGGCAGTTTCAGTCTCGGCCTCGTCGTCGGCCCTGTCTCCTGGCCACTCTCGCCATACCGATGCTTCGAATAGCGATCTTCGATCTCCCTCTCGAGCTTCCTCGTCCTCGTCCCCGTCCCCCTCAGCGCTGCCTACGACGACGACCACTAAGATGATCGTGACGACGACGACCAATATGGGCCTCAACGACGATTCGCATGCTAGCAGGCCTTCGCCCGCCCAGGCTCAGCTCTACAATGCCCTGTCACCGAACAAGCGTCGACTCACCACTGCCTCAGTCACTCCGGAAGCTTCTTCAACACCTCCCGCAGTGGCTTCGAGCTCCGCTGCTGCCCCTCAGCCGACCGCTTCTCCCCAGACTTCGAAACGAGCCAGGCCCGAAGAACGACCTCCCATTATCTTGCCCCAGAAATATGAATTCTGTCCAGTGGAACACCTGGTCGAGCTGATCGCACACATGTTGGGAGAGTTGATTGCTACCAATGACGCCATTCGCATATCAAGCGGTGGTCTGACGCGGTTTCACTCAAGGTAAGCTTGCATGCCTCACTCTGTTAGGGGGTTTCTTATTCGTCCGTGCGTGTCTAACTCGGTATTCACCTACAGAACCCCCCCTGGCATCTCGGTCAGAGACTATCTCCATCGCCTTGCTCGGCATGCCACTCTCACACCACCCCTCCTCCTAGCAATGGTCTATTATATTGACCGACTCTGCGCCATGTACCAAGAATTCACCATAAACACACTCACCGTCCACCGATTCCTCATTACCGCTGCCACCGTTGCCGCCAAGGGCCTGTCCGACTCTTTTTGGAACAATACCACCTACGCACGGGTCGGCGGAGTGCGTGTGGCTGAGCTGAGGCTCCTCGAGCTCGAGTTTCTCTACAGAGTCGACTGGAGAATCGTGCCGAACCCGGAAATCCTGGTGGCTTACTATCAAGGCCTTGTGCAGAGAGCCCCCGGGTACGAGCTCGAATCAGATGGATCGACCGAGAACGAGGACGATGAGATTGACGATGACGATAATGAGGAAGACGTTGCGCAGCAGTAGGCATCGAAGGGGCCGCCAAATGGACACTTTTTATACCACCCCTCGAGAGCCAGGCCGATGCTGAGAAGCGGCCTTATACATCAATGATACCCATCTTTTACCCCCACAGCACCTTTATTCGTGTTGGCATATTCTTCTTTTCGTCAGCCGTCATCTCATATTGGTCTTTTTTTGCCTAATACCAAGCATCTCAGATCGCCATCTCCCTACTACTACATGCTTGCCTTGCGGGTCAACAGCCCCTTGGAAAGCAATCTGCTGCTCTATCTATCATACGTTTTGCTCGCATACACATCATTCGGATCATGGAAGGGGAAAAACATTGGGGAGAGGGGGCAACTGGCGTTATTTCTTACAGGTCTCTCAAACGGAGTATTATTGTTTTGTTTTTCGGCATTTCCTTTGTTACACTTTGCATAGTTGGATAGGAGGGCGGGCTGGCTTGGTGGATTTAGGATGAGGATAATGCATGCTCATGTATATAAATGAATCAAATATTTAAGTTACCATCTGACCTTGTGCTCGATACAAATGACATTGAACTGTGACTATGCACCAACTTGCAAGAAAAGAAGCCTTAATATAATGATAATAAAGGAGTGTTTGTCCAGCAACCCTGAAGTCAGATACTAAGGTCTTGGGTATGTTAACACATCTCATCTGTACATAGGCAAGACGGGTCCGTGTATACCAAGACTTGCTCTTAGGCTATTGCTATTTACATATAATAAAAGCCCTGTCTTGGCAGTTCCAAAAGTTGTCTTTAACATACTGTATATATAGTATATATAAAGAGGCTTCTATTAAATAGCAATAGCATGAGAGCAGGTCTTGGTGTACATGGGCCCATCCTGTTCATGTACAGATGAGGCACATCGATACACCCAGGGCCTTGGTATTCGACTTCTGGGCTGCTTATATAAGAAGTAAGGCTCCTTGATATCTGTTCTTTTAGAGAGAGACAGGGGTTACGTACCGAACGGGATAGACGAACTTGTCAATAAGTTTAAGAAGATATGGGATCAAGGCAGGCTTTTCTGGTCGAATTGATCGTGTTGAAAGTAGCAATGCTGGGAAGCAGTCTAATATAGAAGTGCGAGAGGGAAGAGTAGGGAACACATGCGAACAGGGACCCGAGCATTTTATAGTGAAAAATAAATGGGGGGCTACACAGATATATCACGAGTCAACACGCCGTTGAGTGCTGCCTAAAGCTGTTGCCAAGTTTCTTTGTTGTACAGTCTCCAGGGCTTGGTATCAGTGATACAAGGTTTCACGGTCTTTGTTCATGCCCCTCCCTGAGATGTAAGTTGCCTAGAGAATTCACAAATCAGCACGCCTTTGAACGTCACCTGCAACATATCTTTGCCACTGAGTTATTTTTGGTGCAGAACTGCAGCATTTTCTTTGTTCAGAAAGTCTCCTGGACTTGGCATCGATGACACAAGACCTCAAGGTTCTCATAGACCATCCCTTTGTTCACGCACCCCATGTTATATGTGTTCATTGTCTTGTGTTCATTACTCGCTCCTGAATTCCTGTATATAAATTCCACTTCCTCCCAGTTTGTTTCTTGAAAGACCTTGACAACTTTCCCAACAAACTCTCATTACCCAGAGTTGTCCACGACACGACGATTGTTGTGCTATAAGACATATTTATAAGGAGCACAAGTCTAGCAATCTTTGCACTGAAGAAAACTCTCTGAAAGTCAAACAACCTAAGAGAGACGGTCGATCAACTTTGGAACGTTGAGTGCCCAGCATGGAGCATGAGCCAAGTGCCCAAGGCGCTACGACCAGCGACAACCGACTTCACTCAACTAGGTCTGCGGGTGAATATCTCGTGTGTTCCTACGGATGCGCAATTATGTTCCACGTGGCCACTTCTTTAGCCAATTCTGAGCCCACTGAGCAAACCAAAAAGTATTCACATGAATTTATGGGTGGCGTAACTGACTACGAAATCTGGCTTATATTCGCGTGCGTATTCGACTTAATGTACTGGAATACAATCGGTCACCTTTTCAGACAACCCCGATGGGCGGACCAATATTTGCCTACAGTCGTATGGGCAACAGCCATCGCTGTTTTCCTGTGGGCGGATCTCATTGAAGGGGACCTCATTAAGATCCTTCAGGGTTTCCATTTGGTCGTCGATGTTTGCGCTTCAATTTGTTTCGTTATTGATAAATGTATAAACTACCTAACATCCAGGTGGTCTTCGTCAACTTTTCAACGAGTACCGAAAATGCATGTATAAGTAGGTATGTCTTTTGCTCCTTGTTTAAATACCATTGCTTTCGTCATTGGTTAGTGCTTGACATCATTAACCAACTCAACAGGCGCACTGAGACCTGGCAAGGATGATGCAGATTGCAGCTGAGATCTTAGGGGGGTCTCTCACAAATGCTAGTGGAATACGGTATTTGCTCATTTCGAGACGAAGAATTTGACAATTAGAACACTAACGGCGGGGCTATGAGCGCGCTGGGTGAGAAGAAGGGAAGTGCTACTGAATCCATAGCTCTAGGTTTACCATTTATGTCATATTGGGGCTTTTGCAAGTTATTTCAGAGTCACAATTTAATGTTGTTTATATCGAGCATAAGGTTTAAAGAGACGAAACTTGCCCCAAACTTATTCAAAATAACCGGGTGAATCAATTATCTTCTATTTAAGCCATGTGCTCGATACAAATAACATTAAATTGTAACTCCGAGATAATTTACAAAAGCACTAATATAACCATAACAAAAGAGTGTGTTTTTAGCATCTCAGTTGGATGCGTGTAGCTTGATATTCCCATCTTTAACCGGTGCTTGTCTCAATCTAACCGGCAAACCCATGTTAACTTACTGTAGTTTCCAAATGCAGAATCATTCTTCCTCCTCGCCTGCCTTTCTATCTCTTCGCGGATATCAGTCTGAGCTACCGGTGACTCTAGCTATTCGAGCCAGCCATGGTTGCGCGGACTGACTTTGATCCGACTTTTAGGTTTCGCCGTGTTCTATGTGGAATCAAGTTACTAAGATTCCAGGCCTGCGGTGCGTTCACGGTTCTTCAGTTTTACATACCACCTATAAATAGGCAAGATAGGCATATCAGCGCCTACACCAGAAGATAATTTCGTTCGAAGGTAACGGAATGTCTCTTCCGAAAAATATAGCGCTCCGGAGATAGGTAGTGGTGTATTCAAATGGGGTTTATCATATCCCAGCAGTTGCATTAAATACATGAAACAACACATCATGGAAAGGCAAAAGAATTTCCGTGGATAGTTACTGTAGTGTTTTGAATTATCAGTTAAGCAAAGCGAATAACTTCTTTACAGAATAGAATTATCTGCAGTGGGAAAAGGGGCCGCTCACCACAGTAGATGCTTGTATGAGTAGATGAGTTGAAGAAATGTAGCGAAGGCCCAAACGATCATCATTCTTGAAGCGAAGGCCAGTCAGCATATCGCGTGACAGATGGCAGGCTGAGACAAATGGACTGTACCCGTTCGTCACCAGTGGCCCCCACGAGTAGTAGTCTTGTTGGTACGCTAACAAGACGCTCAGAATGGCAATTAGAAGATTTGTCAGAGGAAGCAATTTCCACATGGCTTCTCAGCAAATGTATAGTATCACAATTAGAGTTTTGAGTTCTCGCGAGGATGAAAGCTACGTGGGGTGTGGATTCGCCAGAAGCTGTTGGGCGCAAGGAGATGTATTGTGTCTCGACCCGCTGAGGACTAAATGACAAAGGAATTAGAGAGATCCTCTTTCAGGAGTTCGCAATGAAGAAGTTGTATGGCTTAATCAATGGGTTGTTGGTCTCATTGGAGCAGTGATTCCTGTTGACGTCTGTTCTTTCATGGGGAGACAGTGCTGGGCACTGAATGCAATGAACGAACTTGCCAACCGGTTCAAGGTATCCAATTACGAAAGACGTTTCAAATTGATCAAATTGATCTCGATATACGGTTTATTCTCTTTCTTTCGGAGCAGACTGCTTTCTTCCCCAGGGTGAACTCAATAACTGATGCCGGAATCTCGCTGTCACGGATGTGTAAGGAGCAAGAGTAGGGGGGCTTTAGAATAGGCATTTTAAGCATTTTTAACAAAGAAATGGGAAGTAACACAGGGAAACTCCGAATCAACCTGCCGTTGAGTGTTGCCTGCAGCATTTCTTTGAGAGTCGAATTCGTTCGTTGCAGAATTGCAGCAATTTCTTTGTTGTCAAATCTCCAGGACTTGGCATCGCTTAACATGGCTCCAGGGTCTTTGTTCAGGCCATGAGGCATAGGTTGTACAGAGGATTTAACCAATCAACACGCCTTTGAATGCCGCTTGTAACATTTCTGTGGCTGAGTTCCTTTGTTGCAAAGCTGCAGCATTTTCTTTGTGGCAAATTCTCCTGGCCTCGGCCACACCAGGCTTCCATGTTTTTGTTCAGGCCTCGAGACACAGGTTTCACAGAGGCTAACGAATCAACAACGCCTTTGAAAGTCTTTGAAAGTCACATGCAGCATTTCTTTGTAGCGAAATCTCCAGGACTCGTCACCAGTCACACAAGCCTTTAAGGTTCTCATGTACCATCCCTTTGTCCGCGCAACGATTCTGCCTAGGTCTCTAGTCTCTATCCAACTACTCACGACTGAACTCCCATATAATCTTGATGCACCTCTTCTTCTTTCTTAACAGGAAGTTGGCAGCTCTTCTGAACAACTCGCGTTACTCAGAGCTCAACTTGCTCACAGAATAACGCTTATTCTGCTATTAAGACAAATCTAAGAATAGCACTATTCTAGCAGCTTCTGTCGACTCACAGCTGGTAAAGAAAAAAATCTAGACGTCGGTTGACGTAAGAAAGACAGGTTAGAACGCCCAAGATGGAGTACAAACTAAGTACGCAAGATGCTACAGCTAGCAACGACCGATTTCGCTCGATTAGAACTACATGTTATTATCTCGCAGCTGGATTTCTTTCCACTATTGCATTCTGCATGACTATTTCTCAGCTTACTGAGCAAGCCGTAGATGCATATTCTTGGAAGGCATATCGCGACTACATACCAGTGCGTTTATATTCATTCATCGAAGGCCTAGATGATTACGAAGTATACTTTCTATTGTGGGTGGCTACGATTTGGCTCTGCTTGCTATGTTTACGCGAACTTCTTGGAGAAACTCGATGCCATCCCGGATATGCACTTGCAATAGCAGTCGCAACAATCATCACTTTTGCCTTGTCGACGGACTTCATTCAGGGCGATCCCATCAAAATCAATCAATTCTTTATAATCATTATCTATGCTTATACTTTCATCGGTCACATCGTTGACATACACCTAAATTGGCACTCAAGGAGGGCGGTTAAAGAGGATTTGTTGGCTTCTGATAAGTGTTGAATATGTCTCAATAGGATGTCTGGACCTGGAACATTTGATCATCAGTCAATACCGTTTCTTTCGTCCTTGGTTAGAGTCTGCTATCATCAACATAACTGAATAGGCTCGCTCAAGCATGGCTAAGATGGTAACCATAGTTGCAAGCTATTATTTTCCACGTCATCCATTACTATAATTAGCTCCGAAATTGTGAATACCAGATCGTCCGTTTCTACTTCATTCAATGTTGGCCAGTAATGGTCAAACACTCGCCTAATATTTAGAAAGTAATATTCCGAGAAGATAGAAGTAAAATAAGTGATCATAAACTAAATTATCTTTTCTCCTCCTACATTACTGGTTGTCATAGATGATTGTCTTCACTGAGAATATACTTGCTTCTTATAGACTGATTTGCAATCATGTATCCGGTTTCCTGTTGCATCTTTTCGTTTCATACTGCAGGCATCACTCTATAAGCTGCATGGACGGGTGTTAGTACAGTATGTGACCAATCGTCACTCAACTACCCCAAATCTAAAACACACTAACATCCTTCAAGGGACGATATTCCTCAAGGTTTTATTCGATATCTCTTGAATTAAATTATTTACATTGTAAAACTAAGCCTCTGAGTTTATATGAAGCCGGTATCTGACATCCCTTAGACACCTATTAGTATTTCGTTAAAGAATGATTGACTTGGTCGAATACTTTGGCTCACCTGGTTAGTATTTCGTCCATGTGTATGCAGCTCATTGTCAATCTATCTCATAAAAGAAAACACAATATTTATGAAATCCTTCCAACTCCTTCCCAAGATGTCTCATCACTAATAAGAAGCCTTCATCTCTTTGTGTACCATGTATCCACTATATATACATCCACCCAGTGAACTGCTCAGAGTTGGCAGCGCTGGTTTGTCTTACAGGGCTTTTTTTTTCATCTATGAAGTAGACAGCTTCAGGGCAATAAGACAGGGCGCTGGGTTGAATTAGGATGACTGATTGACAATGACAGTAACAAACATGAGGACTTGGGGCAGTCGACCATGCTGGCCTAGCCCGCTCGTCGTGGCCCTGGGACTGGGCGAGGGAGCCCTTGCAGTTCAAGTCTTCGACGACCCTGATGCGCTGTCAAATAGATCATCGCAGCCGTGGTGGCTAGTGGAAGAAGTAAAACAGCTTCCGCGAGTGGTGACTGCAGCGCAAACACGAAGGCCAGCCATATATTCAGAGGATATAGGACCATTCGTCGTGGACTCCTATATGAAATGATAAGAAAATGCCTACGGTCACTTGACATGTAACATAAAACTAGGGCTTGAGTGGAAGGCTGACTTACTCCAAGAGGTATTGGTTGTGAATGACAGCGAGGGAGAGTCCAGTCAGTCCCCAGGACAGCAGGATTCTATCCTGAGATGAGCATAATGTGCCACAAGAGAGTTAGGGAATCACGCACCCAAAGGTCATCATTGGGGCCCAGGAGAATAGATGCTGTTGGCTCCCTGGTAGAAGGACCAGTACGGAGAGACACATGTTGGCTTGCAATAACCATCTCCACATTCTTGCTGGAGGAACCAGCACCATCCACCACCTCATTCAGGATGATCCCGTCCAGGAAAATCAGTGGGGATGGAGACAATGAGCCCTTCGATATCGCTATGGTGTACCCGTTGGCAACAATACCCGGACCCGTTGCAGTGGAATGGATGGAAAGCAAAAGTGTCGTCCAAAGGGCAGCAGATAACTCCTGGATAAATCCCAATGGCCTCTCAAAGCAGTGGCGCCGTCCAAGGGGCAGAAGATAGGTCCGAGGTGTATCCCTCCGAGCTCTTTCGAGGTGAATGACAAATGGAAAGCCTGAGGGATGGATCTTGAACAAAGAAAAAGAGGGGAATAGAACATGAGGGGAACACAGAATGGAGAGTGTAAGACTAGATATCCAGCAGTGCAGACTCTGCGTGGTAATTATATGCTGTTCTCCAAGGAATAAAAAGCAACCAATTAGCACACTAAGCGGAACAAAACTCACGAAGGGGATGGGGGATGGCCTCTCTGTATATTTCAACGCAATTTTCAAACCTATGTAGGGACTAAGGGGCGTGTTGAAGATCAAGAATTAAGGGCACTAGCACTACGGCAGCTGTCAGATGCATATCGAGAGGAGTACCACAGGGACATGCTTTGGTATTATGCCTCCAGAACCGGAATGAGAGATCATAATTCTTGAATGCGTTGTCTGCTTTGCTGGCAAGATGCAACTCAACGCTGCGCCTCGGTTGTTTATTTTCAATTTCAAGGCTTCTGAGCCTGTCGATTGACTATCATATGTCAGGGAGGATTCTGCTACGTGTACGCACTGATGTGTCAATACAGCGAGGCGGCCACTATCGTGAGTGCATATGGACGCCTTCGCAAGCTATGTTACGGAGTTCCAATCAGACCAAATTTTGGACTTCTATTTATCATATCCTAAGCTTCTCAAGCAATCGGAAACTGATAGCAAACGGAGGTGAGGCCTCTCGGCTGTGCTGCATTGCATATGTGACCGTTGGCTGCAAATTCGTGGTTACATGTGGTTGGTAGCAGTGATTTTCGGTGACACGCCTCATTAATCAGGAGTGATCCTCCAATCGGAACCAAGTAAGCAGTTGGCCGCAAAAGTTGGCCTCGCATCGGGTGGCGGCAAGGCTGTCTCCCGGATCTGGCTGTCGGCTGGGCTGTTGCGACCTGATCCCTTCCATTCTAATTCAGTCTTAGGAACCGAGCGCTTCAACAAGAAACGTATGTCTATAAAGCTAGGCAGCTGCCTATCTTCAAAGATACTGGTAATATTATCGATTGAATCAATCATGTTCTTGTAGAGAAAAACTTAAAACAAGAACGGAGGTTAGCTTCCCCAAGCTTCAGCGCAGCGCTTAATGTGTTGAGCCATATTGATGAATATGCAGCATTTCAGCTTCTACCAGATTGTGAATCTAGGTTTGATGCGAAACTACCTGAATGCAGACGGGAAAAAACGACATCATCGTTCACACATGGACCGTTGAGGAAACACCATGGACATACGAACTCTCTCAGCAAGATCTCGAGGCCGAGAGCGACCAATTCGCGATATATAAGTCTCTGGCTGCCTGCGTTTTTACAGCTGCGATGAATATTGTCACTGCTCAGCTGAGCAGGGAATCTGGAAACGAATCCTGTGGGAATATATATCCATATCCTGTAAGGCAATTGCCTCGATATTCACGTAACAATGACAGTTCTAACTGACGAGAGTATAGATGTGCGATTCACGGGCCTTGAAAGATTCCGTACGCTTACCTTTGTTCATCGGGCAGCCAACCTGGTGCGAAATATATCTCTTCCTAATAACAGTCATGACATGTCTGCACTGGGGTTGTATCTTCAGCCTCTTCAACCAACCTCGGTGGAAGACGCAATTTCTGCCTCATATCATCATGGCTACACTCATCACTCTTCTCCCTTTCGCAACGATCACTCGCGATCCAACAACTGTCTTCCTTCGGCTTCTACCCATAGTCACTGATATTTACACTTTCGCCACTGTCGCTATAGACTATGCTCGTGAAGGAAAACTTAGATTCAGGAGTTCTACCTAGGGACATGGTAGCGGAGGCGTTCCTGTATATATGCATATTGTCTTTGGTCTCAGCGTTGATCATCTTCAAGCCAAAACATTGACAACCCCCAAAAATCAATATGGGCGAGGATGCAAAGTTTGGAGTTGGGAAGGAAATTTTTTACTTGTACGGCTTTTCATGAAGTGTCAACAGTTATTCAGTGAAATCCGTACGGGTAAATTACATAGGTAGAAAGTAGATAGCTCATCAAGTTTTCCTTTTTCTAAAATGTTGGAGTAAGGTTCTCTGCATAATGGTCAGGCACTCGTCCGACATCTATAGGAAGTGGCATGGTAAATGTATATATTGTTGTGATCCGCCCGTTTACCACCTGAATGGATATCGTCGCATTTCATACCATGTCCTCTCACATGGGGAGTTAATTGTAAATGAAGAAGTAACAGAAATAATTGACACGCTATCCATGCTCAGTACTAAATACAATCAGGACGCCTCAACGGGCTATGTATGCAAGACTATATACAATTTGAAAGCCTTTTATATACTTTTGAACGTATTCTTGAAGAGAAAACAAACGGACCGGCCACATGATGAGCTACAGTCGAGCTGTGTATGCTTCATCTGACAGACAGACAAAAAAGTGTCGAAAAAGTAATCCCAAACGCCATTTATGCAAGTTAAAGGTTTGCTCTACCAAAGAAGACTTCGGGTAAAGTATCAGGCCTTTGGGAAACGTATAAGGTCTTTGGGTAACGTATAATAAAATAAAATAAAATAAAATCTTTGTGTTTTATGCGTATCTCTGCGCAGAAATGCTGTAATAGAACAAGCATCGCTATGCAAAAACGTATGTTGGTCGTTTCGAATCGCCGTATTCTATTATTCGGTTAAGAAGGTACGTATGGATAGGCGGTTCGATGTAGTTCGGCCGATGTGGGAGTATAACGCGCTAATAAAAACAGTATTAAAATGGTGATGCGGTTTGGTATCGTAGGAAAGATATGTAGAGTCGATGCGGTGCACTTGGTTGGTATTATGAGATACGTTGTTCTGATGATGGGCGGCCTGGCATCGTCACAGTATAGGAACTCGAGGTGTTCAGTTGGGGCACATCAAAGAGTACAAGCCGACGATGGGTGTTGTCACCAGTGACTGCGCCGGTAGAAGGCATTCGAAACTCGAGGCGAGGATTATGCAGACGTGTGAGTTTAGACGATCGATCCACAATCATCTCTCTAGTCGCACATTGAACGTTGAAGCAAGTTCGAACATTCGCTCGTCTTCATCAAGGTGCCATAATCAAGCCAGCCAGTATCATAAGACTCTTTTGAACTCGCAAACCTAAGCAGCCAGAGGCTATCATGGTCAACTTGGCAGTCGGCTCTGGCAGTCCTTCGGGCGCTGAAACTGGTTCGAGCGGCTTTTCATTTCCATCAAGGTGCCATAATCAAACCAACCAGGAGGAAACTACTCCTGGGTTGATATAAGACCTCGCATGGCAAAGTCCTCTGGCAGCAGCCGAGATTCTGTGGGCAGCCATGTTCGACAATGCTGACAGGCTTCGGTCTGGACTGATGGCTTTGGGGACAGCAATTATTCTTCCGGAGATGAACAATCCGATCGCATGCTGGCCAGGCCGTTTGTAAAACGTTTCTGTCAAGCCATGTGAAGCTGAGCTGGGAACATGTAAAGGGTGTGAATAAACACCAGAAAAATGTGAACGTATGGTAGAACATTCGTATCTCCAAATCGTCTGCATGCGACATGGATGAGAGCGACGCGCTGTAGCCAAGAATGCAAAGCGACGCAGACGTCGGATGTGAGCTGGACTTGGTGTTCGTGGCCCAGGAACCTATCATGACGCTGTTCGACCCAATCGTCGACTTTGCATCCGTAAGCTCGCATGGCACATGGTCTCGTAAACGTAAGATAATGTACATATCATGGGCGTTGCTGTGATGCAGGTAACGTTGAGGAGCTCTGTGTTGAACAAGAAGCCATGTGTTGACGTAAATGCGGCATCGACAGCATGCAAGCGAGTACGATCCGACGAGCTGCGGACAGTAACCGTAATCCTGAGGTTTGGGACGAGTCTCTGGTTGATTAATCAGGTTGAGGATAGTTGTTGGTAATAGTATAGGTAATAAAACAGCTGCCGCATGGCATTTGGTCGGGCCAATATAGCGAGATGATGATACAGGCGTCCCGCGGTGGAGGATACGTGCGGCGCCATATAATACCAGTATCGAGAGGCACCGGTCCAGATTTCTCTGTCCCGAATGTCATCATCCTCAATAGCCATTCGATAGCGACCGAGATCTCCAAGACACTATATCCAAGTATCTGCAAAGGCAGGGACAGTCTCATATAAGACTGCCATCATAGTATATGCAAGGTAGATGAACGTAAGCATGTGCTCCATCAAGTCAGGTAGGCGAAGGCGAAGTAGTTCAAGGAACGAGTGAATGCCATGCCGCCACATGCGCGCGGGCATAGCATATTTTGATGCCAGGCGCCGTAGTGCGGGGCTTGCTGCAGGATGCCGGCTTGCTAGGAAAAAGTCGTGCTGCTCATGAAGCAGAGTACTATGAAGAGCTATTAGTGCTGGCAGGTCGATGCTGTTGTTCAGCGCAAATCCCAGCCAGTTTTGAGGGATGAGTGCATCATCAACTTCGATGCCCTCAGGTTCATTTGGTGGGGACTGGGCGTTGTCAACCTCGATACATTTAGTTTCGACCATAACAAGTCCAGCGTATATGCTTTTGACTTGGGCGGCTAAAAGCTCCTGGTCAAAAAGAGGCGCTTCTTGGCCTTGCGTCGTCTTTTGCAATGCCATCTCGGCGTAGGCATCACACTCGCGATGTTGCTTTTCTTGCGTTTCTTCCTTGGGGGTCTTATAAGGAAGATGTGGAAATGCTTGGGCTTTTGTCAGATATTTTGCGCCGCTGGCAGCAAAAGCGCTCGGCGCATCCGTAGCCGTCGCGGCCCAGGAACTGGAATGGGAAGCCCCAAATCGTCGAGATCTGGATTTCTTCTTTGTGCTGCCATGAAAATCATGGCGGCTGTTGTGGCTAGCGGCAGAAGCAATATCACATCCGCAAGCGACGGCTGCAGCACCATCACAAACGGTAGCCACACTTGCAGCGGATACAGTATCGTCCGCTGAGGGTTCCTGCAAACGAGGATTAAGCACTGCATTTCCGCCTCCCATCGCCCGCCATAGGAATATTTTGCAGATAAACTCACTCTAGAAAATATCGCTTGTGAAGAAAGCCGAGGAAAATCCCCGTTACCCCCCAGGCGGCCAGAATTCTATCCACGTATAAGCCCATCGAGTTTGTCAAAAGCAGAAGCAATGAGGCGATGATGACTTACGCAAACGTCGCTGCCGGAGCCCAGGAAAAATGAGTCTGCTGGCTCCCCGGCAGAAGGACTAATGCTGAAAGAGAAATATTTATCTGCAGTAACCATTGTTTAAAGACCATCGCAGATATTGGTCAAGATGTCCGGATTGAATGCTACTTGGGAAATGGAACAAGAAAGACAAGGCAAGGTTACGGGAAAGGAGAAAGTTGATGAGAGAAATCACAAGAGGCAAAGCAGGCTCTGCTACTTTCCAAAGCAAATGATGAGACGGAATATGCAAGTTAGATGGAGGAGTTGCTATATGTGAGGTTAAGAGTCGATGTAAAACAAAAGCATTAGTGAGGAAGAGGGATGAGGATGAGAGACGAAACTCGAAAAGAGCTCGTTGAAGTGTGAGGAAAACGTGTTCGATATGACAAACGGAGGGAAAAGAAGGGTAAGAGGTTGATAGACAAGAGACTTAAAATGGATCAGGTATCGAAACGTAGAGGCTTTCATCGCCAACACAAGCCCCGACGGCGGAGAGATAGGAGGAGGGGGGGTGCAAGGGAGTCGGATTTCCTAAAGAGTTCGTCTTACATTAGCGTTGCCAGCCTCTCAGGGATGAGTTGGATGCACACCTTTAATACCAAGTCCGTAGCCTCTCGTCAACATGGTTCGCGCCCAGAATACAAAATGCAATGTTCAGGTAGCGCAAGGCAACCAGACGTAGCGCGGGGGCTGGGAGGCAAGGGGATTGCCTCACTCCCCCTAGTTGGATCCGATGATCCTCGTAGGCGGAAAATGAGGGGTATTCTTGAGATGCCCCGAAGAATCTTCTGCCTGTTTTTGCTTCGTAATGAGGCTCAGCGATGGAAGACACATGTTAGCTGATTCTCTCTTATTTCGCGACGTTGAGTGTGCGCTACCAAATCTTTGCGCAGTCTACTTACTTTCTGTCATCTTTGAATAAATGATTTCCAGCCTCGAAATATAACCATACACTTGAATACGTTTGTCAGGCCTATGTTGGAACGCCATGACACAGCAACCTCTTACCCATCGGCCACAAAGAATGACCAAAGCGTCGGGGCGGCACAAATCTACGCTGCGGCACAGCAGGAGGCAAATCATGATAGTCGCAGACATTCTACATGCAACACCCTGGCGGCATGGGGGTTGACGGCGGCGTTAAATATCATCCCAGAGCAGTTCGGCAAAGGATCTGAAAATAAGGGATGTTGGAGGATATATCCAGTAGGATAAGCAACCCCATACGTTCACGATATCTGCTCTGACATCTTGAGATGACGATAGACGTGTAATTCCGTGGCGGTGCGCAATCAGACGCACTTGTTTTGGTTCCAGGATAGACGATACTCTTGCGAGTTGTGTTTGTTTTTTATAGCGGCGACTACTTTCATCTACTGGAGTTGTGTTCTTCGTCTTTTCAGCCGGCCAAAGTGGAGGGACAAATATCTGTCGCAGACCTTGACGACGACATTCATCGCTCTCCTTCCATTTGCGGCGGTGATCCAAGACCCGGCCACAATCTTTCTTCGCGTTTTACCCACCGTCGTAGACGTGTGTGCTTCTGCATGCCTTGCCTTGGACTACTGTGGGCAATGACGACTTCGCATCGCGGTTGAGCTCTGTGGCTCGGAAAGGCTGGCAGCGAGTGATGGTGGATGTGATCGCAAGGAGTTCCGTGGTTCTGCATTTTTGGTTATTTTGACTTAATTAAGGATATATGTCAGTCATGTTCTTGTAATTTTGTGTAATCAGCTCTCAAAAGCACTCATGAGAGTATGTTCATTCCAGTAGCATCAACATCAATACATCTTCATACACGAATGTACTACATGAGTAGATGATTCGCTTTCCATGAGAGTGTGTTCATTCCGGTAGTATCAGCATCAATACCTCTTCATCAACGGATGTACTGCATTAGTAGATTATTCACTTTCCATGATTTGCATGGAGATTATGCGTCCGGTCTTCCATCCCACGCCGTAAAAGTAGTGTCACTTACTCTGAAACAGAGCGCTCACATCAATTACTCCAAAGAGGGCCTTTCTGCGCGTTGGCTCCAAGTCTACCAACGCTGGCCGATACTTGCCGGTCACAAGGCAGCTTCATGCCAGGCGGAAGATTTCGGTTTGCAGGGGTCTTCTTTCAAAAGGCCACGCTTGTCTGACAAAGGACCATCTCGGCAGTACTTACTGTTGCAAGAGGGTGTTCCACTTCGGTGAGACATGTTGGCCTGGTTAGAAATCATTGACTGATCGGGTTTACTTTTGTTGGTACTCAGATGCCAACAGGCTCCCCTGGGATAGATGGTTGACAGACAGCTCAAATCTGCCTTTTGGAAAAAAGGCAACCTTCCATGTCTGCGGGACACATTTGAAAGGAATCCTTGGGGCGTCGACTGATAACCAGTAAAACGACTTCGCTCACATGGTGCGACGGCGGTGGTGATGCTGGCACGTCATTTCACGCGCACTATTGGCTCTTGGTTAAGCCATATTCGCCATGGATACAGCCGCCTAGTCCAGCTGAGATGGTGTGTGCATGCAGCCACGCCACTTGGCAGGATGACGAGAAGAATGTCCGCGACCCTTTTGCCTCATGATCAGGATTTAAACGAGTAGCCCCGGTTTAGAAGCCTGCAGACACGGGACGTTGGCAGCTCCCGTTGGCGGATTGGCAGGATGTTGGAGCAAATCGTGATGGTAAACTGGCGATGAAGCTGTCAACCAGCCCTGAAAAGCTTAGGACGTCTGCATGCGCACCATTTTAGCTAGGAACACGGAGGGGGTTTGCTTTGAACGGTTGCCTTTTTCTTCTAAATGAGTTGCCTTATTTTAAATGTTCGCAGCTAGTAAAATATAAACAAAATGTGACAGAAATTCAAGGCATCCTTATCCATACAAGGTAAGTGAGATGGAATCTGTGTTTGAGGTTTGAGATGCGGTGCCTGTATGACGTCCCCCATTGTTGGGGCCCCAGCACGTGCTGCCGAAACCCACCGCTCCAAAGTACGTATTCGGCACGGAGCTTTAGCAGCACCAGCAGGTACCTTGCAATTGCTCCACCATTGCTTGCCTTATCGCAATCAAGGCCAGGTAACGACACTTGCTTGAACTCGTACTGAGCCAGACGCAACACCGCCTTCAACAACTTCTCTGCAAGTCTCCCGCAAAAGGACAGGCTCAGCCTTGTGTGGGCACTATGCGCGTCATTGCCCTCCTCTCGGCCCTGTGTGCCGCAGCTCTGGTCCAGGCCGATTTCCACACGGCGCAAATCTATGTCCAGCCCGTCGAAAACACCGAGTCGCCCAGCCTCCTCGCCGAAGTGGCATACGATCCTAGCATCAGCGGGTCTTCCTCCATCATCTCCTACGAAGCTCCTGAAATCCCGGAGTCTACACAGCTGGTCCGCGTCGGATTGTACGACGTCAAGTCTGCACGGTGGATATCTGGCACAACTGTCGCCTCGGTGGACAACTTTGGCAAGGGCTACTCGCCCAATTTAATACTCTCAGTCGATGAAAAGGGAGAGCTTCTCAGTGCTGCTCTCAAGGGCGTAAGAATCGATGCGGGTCAGACGAGAGACTTTGGCCCGCAGGCGGTGGTGCTGCCAGTGCTCAAGGGCAAGCAGCCAGAGCTGAACAAGCCAATTGTTCTATCGCCAGAGGGAAAGAAGGTTGAGGAGGTTGAGAAGACGCCCCTTCAGAAGTACGTTGTGCCTTGCATCCCCAGAATAGTAGCTTATGGTACTAACTGCACACAGATACTGGTGGGTGATTGCCATTATAGTGTTCCTGGCAGTGAGCGGAGGCGGCGGCGAGAAATAGAGCCGACAATTGACACATACATCAATCTGAATATACGCTTCCGTGATGGGATGACCGCTGGCAAGGGTTGAGCTATTGCAGTTGTTTTAGTGATCCCTGTCCTCTCACTACCATCCAGGTACATGACTATAATGCTTTTCTGTTGATACATAATACCCTAATTCAATCCGAGTACTATTGCCTGCCCATTGATCCATTTACACGTCTAGCCGGTAATTGCATTGCACTCTGGTTCATGCTTAAACGATCCAACAGCAATTATCCATCCATCTCCCTTGTTGCCTGTCCCTTGTCTCCCGATCTTGTCTGAGATGGAACCACGTGACTTGTAGGCACAAATCTCGATACGCGCTAATCCCTAAGTGGACTAGATGTGTTGTTGCGCACCCAACCTGCGTCTTTCAATTGGTGAGTTGCCTCCATGTTAAAAGAGCTCGAAGCACTAACCGATCCACCTCGAGCTCGCCCGCCCTACTTATACCTTACCAAAACACTGACCGTTCACTCTTCTCAGGAGCTCTTCATCCCTTGGTCATTTCCCAATCTTCCATCGTAACAAACCACTTTTCGCGTACTTACCTGCACCCAAAATGTCTGACGGAGTCACCAACCCTCACGGCGAGGATTCCTTTGCTGAGAGCAAGGGCAAGGGAAAGGCCGTTCAGGACGAAGTTCCTCACGACACCGCCATGGATGAGGATGACGATGAGGACGACGACGACGACGATGATGAAGATGAGGTAAGTTCATGTACCATCCACGTCCATATTGTGCCTGTCTGCAGTGCCAGGAAGCTAATTACGTTCACGGTAGAATGCTGAGCCAGGTAAATTTGCATCATCAGCTACTATTTCCCCCAACAGAGCTATGGGCCATCTAACCACTTTGAGCAGAAGAGGACGGCTTGGAAGAAATTGACCTGAACAACATTGTCGAGGGTGGCCGCCGCACTCGTGGTGCCCAGATTGACTACGCCAGGGCCGCTGAGCAGACCCCCATGGAGGACGACGACGAGGATGAGGATGACGAGGACTTCCAGCCTGCCCATGAGGACACCGAGATGGACGGTTAAGCAAGTGCACCCTTTTGACTTCCGATGCCATTGGATGACTGACAAGTCTATGATGTTAATGTTTATGGGTTCACCAAGGTTAAAAGCTCGGGTGATTGGGAGGGGAGCTGGGCATCTATCGAGGGGGGTCCCAGTATCTTAGCCGATGGGTCATGTAACGACAAAAAGGCTCTCTGTTTGCTATTTAGCTAGGCGTTAGTTGCCACCCTCTGTTGGGGGATAACAGAGACGTTGAAAATTGCACACGCCGCCATTGAGGCCGTACACGTACTGGCTGCCCGCATCGTGTTCTTGGAGCCTTGCTGTGTCCCGCCATTCCTCACGCATACCCTGGACAGATGCAGCTGAGTACCGTAGACCTGGGTTTACTATCTTATATCGAGATTACAGCCTCCAGACAAGCAGATGCTTCGTAGAGATTTAATCACTGCTGTGTATCGGGATTTGGATCATCCATCGGAAGTTCCTATTATTTGCACAATGATCCCCGTCCAAGACAAGCCACAACACGCTGGTTGGCTTTAGCCGCCACAATGGCTGGGTACGTACTCCCCCTAACCTCCAAAAAAGTTGCTAACGCCACTCTTAACAGATTATGGTCAAGACCACCTAAGCCATAAATCTGCTGCATGGAATATTCCAACTTCCTCCAAGGGGCATTTTCTTCTCGACAATAAAACGCCTTCTTCGTTTTCTTCATACAACACCCCTTTTAATTCGTCGGCTTCTTTGTTTCTTATTGTGTGGTTCTTGCTTATTCCATTCTCATCATGTCGCAAAGGTGAGTGACCTCAGATTCAACCTACCCTATTCGACCATTCCAGCCGCGGAGGCAACATTTGACGATGCGCGCGCTCGACGATTCCCACGTCGCGCCGTCGTTCTGGGAGGCAATCCGCGATGCCAGAGCACACGGCTAACCATTCTGCAACTGTAATACAGATTCGGAGCCTCGTCACTTCACCAGCGCGACTCCCGCAGCATGCTCTTTGCGGGATACAACGGCGGCGATCAGTCACAGCGAACGAGACCCAGTCCGTCTCCCTCGCCCAACGCCGGCGTAGGGGGAGGCTACGGCTACAGCAGCTATGGAGGATACTCTCCTTCAATGGGCAATGGCTACGGCGACGCCGGATCGCCCTCCAACTCCTACCGAACTGCGACGCCCAACAAGAAGGGGCAGTACAGCGACGCGGTGCTAAACGAGCTGGAGAGCCAGAACGACGAGCAGGTTTCGGGCATTCTGGGCAAAGTCAGGGTCCTCAAAGACGTAAGTCGGCGCACAACTCACGTCTCATTCGCGACAAACGGAAGCGAGATAAAAATAGGGGATGCATAAGAGTCCTGGCTAACTCAGAGCGCGCGCAAATACAGATGACGGCTGCCATCGGCGACGAAATCCGCGAATCCTCCGCCCTCGCCGAGAAGATGAACGACACCTTTGACTCGACGCGCATGCGCCTCCGCGGCACCATGAATCGCATGCTCATCATGGCCCAGCGCAGCGGCGTCAGCTGGAAGTGGTGGCTGCTCTTCTTCTTTGCCGTCGCCATGCTCTTCATATACGTCTGGCTGTTCTAAACGAACCCACCCGGAAGACACCTTGACTTATTATCTTTTTTCACTGGCCTTTCACGAAGAGATATGATAGAATGATGTTGATCTTTTCTTTCTGTTCGCTACGATGTATATTCCTTCATCATCCGGCTTTTTGCTTTTTCGGACTTATCCGAATTCTTTCTTTGCTATAACGACCGATAATTCTTGGCTGGTGGCTGCGGCGGAAACCATACGCGTTTTTGCTTCTTCTCTCTCGCCAAAAATATTTGTACAAGTTGCATCTTGGGCTGGCGTTTTGGGTGTTTGTTGTTCCTCAGTTACCTCATTTTCTCCCCCCAAATGGATACATGGGTTGCCCAGCTAGGGAGAAAAGAGGAAGAGGAGCTTGTCTTTGGCTGTGAAATAAAAGCGAGTGGTTGTTTTGTGTTTTACTCTTGATACAGGCAAAGGCTATTTATATAAATGTTTTAATATCATTATCAGGCTTACTACTAGCTGTTATTCTTCTTCTTCACATCTTGATCTGTCCCTTTATCAACGAACACTGCTTCGGTCATTTGCATTCCTTCTATGTGATATCAAAGGCATTATGCCACCAGTCTTCGTATACAGGCTGGTGCCTCATCTATTTCGTCCTTGAGAAAGGCTCTATAAAAACGGGGGGGTATCTAAGCTATGTTTCCTCTCCACACAACACCAAAATAAACCTACTTCCTCTGGCCTGGCCTTCTCCTCATCATCACCGCAGGGCTACTCTCCATCATCATGATGCTGCTCTCGTCCTGCGACAGCAGTGCACTCAGATCGATGCTTGGGCGGGGAATCGTGCGGAAGCCCATATGGCGCGGCAACGTGGGAGACGGAGGGGCTGCGAGGGGTGTAGCGCGCGCCGGCATGAAGCTGAGATCGTGTGTGTCGGTGGTATCACCTTCACCTTCTTCGTCCTCCTCTCTGGCTTCGTCCTCGTCCACATTCACGTCCACATCTTCGTCTTCATAGGTTTGCTCTCCAACTCGGGTGATGCTGCTGATATCGGCCTCAGAGTCGGTGTGCTCGTACCCGCCGTCCTCAGCCTCGGGGATATCCTCATCGAGATCGGCATCCATGTCACCAGCCATGCCATCGTCTAGATTCCCATCGTAGCCAAAGTCATCCTCGTCGAGAATCTGTTCTCGATCCTCGTCTTCCAATTCTTCACCATCGCCGTATACGCTGCCATCCGCTTCCGGGTCACCGCGGATAAGGGCTTCCCGGAACGCGTCGTCCGTCATTCTCATTCGGGCATGCTCCAATGCCTCTCGTAGAGCTTCTTCATCTGCCTCTGCTTCTCTTGCTGCCTCTTCGTCATCATCTTCATCTTCATTCTCCTCGTCTTCGTTTTCATCATCCTCGCTATCGTCGCTGCTTGGATCAAAGCCGTCGTCTGCATCTGGGATTTCGTCATCCAGATCTTGTGCCCCATCGAGCTGTACGTCATCCATCATGCCGTCATCCATCGTGCCACCACCCTCGGCTTCCGCCAGCTCCTGAGCAAGTTGCTCTCGTCGCATAGCTTCCTGGTGCTCTTCTTGTTCACGCTTCTCCTCCCGCATCTGGTGCAAGGTCTTAGGTACTCCAGGAGGTTTTAGCCAAGTGCTGCCAAAGTTCTGTACATTCATTCGGCGTCGCTGCATCTTATGCTCATCTGCGGCAAGGCGCGCAAGCTGCGTTCGCTCCAGCATCTGCCCGCGCTGACGCGAATGCGTCGGTCCATGGTGGCCATTATTCGGATCTGCATGTAGGCTATCGACAGGGCCTGGGGGGATGAAGGGATTCCTAGACGACGAGTACCACAGAGTGTGCGACTAAATCCCGAGTCAGCTAGTGGCTTTTGAGCATGGCTAATAGTCAAAGGCATTCTTACATCTCGCGGCGTAAAATCTGGGAGTGTCGCAAACATTGGAGAGCATGACCGCGTAGGTCCTGAAGCTGTCAATGTCAATGGTAGAGCTTGTGATGATGAGGTCTAAGAGGTGTGGGTTATTTGTTGATAAGACGGCTGGGCTGGGGACTGTTATTGGTCCAAGACCCGCACGGCGCTTATGGCGTCTATGGCTAGGCGCGCACGATAATCACCGGGCAACCAGCCTATGAGGATGAACTTGACGCCTACTACACAGCGTAAGGAGGGCTAACTTGATTCTCCGTATTGGAAGTCCTCTGATCTTGAATTCGGTAGCGCGTGTTGAGATGTGTAGGTAAGGTGTAATAATGGATTGATGAAATGTTTTGGTTATCTATTACAAAGCCGGAGGTAGGGCTTCTTATATATACACAATCTACGAGATTCGCTGAGACAAATCAGTCAGGAATACTCTGTAGTCAACAGTGCTATCTAGTGTAAGCTTTCTACGGGAGATAGTCAAACCTTACAATGTATCTCGCAGTCCTTTTTGACTCTTCACCACCGGCAAAGCAGAGCTTGTTTATACGGGCGCTCTTTGCTTTGTTTACCGCCAGCTATTTACCAAACAATTGCCCCAAAACCCTCATCGCCGCCATAGTTCAGTTTTACTTCGTAATATACTTTATATCGTCTTGTCCGCTCAAAGATATAACTTTCTCTGTCCTCTTCTCGAAATCAGTGGATGATTCTGGACAAGCCTTATACTTTGCCAATCCTGATCTGAGTTTTGCCCTTTCTCTTCCTGTTTGTTTATATAAATCGCCCCCTCCCCCGGAATTTCCTCTCTGGATTCACCCTTCTTCAAATCTCTTACCATATTTCTCTTCGCTTTCAAACCGTTCAAATCAACATCGATACTCCACCCGCCACCTTTGTCTTTGCTATTACCACTATTATTTATTCTCTTTTTGGTAATCACAACATATCCCATAGACCAACATGGCAGACGCGAGTTCACGAGCCTCCACACCTGTGGAAGATTCTTATTCTTCAATGCCTTCCACCCCTGTGGAAAATTCTTATTCTTCAATGCCCTCTACCCATGTGGAGGATTCTTCAATGCCCTCCACACCTATGGAATATTCTTCACGACCATCCACACCTGTGGAAGGTTCTTCACGATCCTCCACACCTGAGGAAGATTATTCAAAACCTCCCGCCCTGCCTGACCAGCTGATGCGGAAGTGCGCCGAATACCATGATCGGAAGACCCAGGGCGCCCCAAAGTCCGACTACATGGAGATTAGCGAGATTCTCGAGGAGCTTGAAGAGGATGATGCGCTGTACGTCGTTGGTTTGGTTCAAATGTATAAGGGCCCGAATACAAAGATCGAAAATGATTTATATGAAAGTAAGTTTCTGGCCTCTGCAATATTTACCCTGCCTTTTCTTATCTTGCCAAAATACCCTATTTCCTTTTCAACTTATCCAACCCCTATGTCAATGCTTTCCTTTGGAGCTATAATAACTGACTTGTTTGAAGCTGGCGAATTCGTTTTTGATATAAGTACTTTACCGGATTCGACATACACGCTAATCTGGAAATATCTGGTAAGTTTATTCCAATGAATCAACATTCATACTCAGTTCTAACTGCGGATTAAAACATAGTCCAGGAGGGGTCTTATTGACTAAGAACATAAACATTTTCCTTTTTTTTGTCACGGTAAGGAGCATCATGGGAAAATACGCACAAGGATCGATAAATGCGACGGAAGCTACGAAATCGATCATGTCTTTTTGTTCATTTGGTTATTTATTTGTTGACTTGTTTGTTCTCTAACGCAAACTACTCGACATCCTCTACTCAATCACTTTCTCGCATATCCTGCACTCAATAATGCCTATATTACCGCCACACGTTAAGTTGCCAATTTTGCCATACATCATCCCGCATCAGAAGTAATACAGAGTGCTAGCCAAATAGAATAGTAGTAGATAGTTCAAGAATTGGATATATGCATCTAATGTACGCATTTATTTACTGTCTAACTTATACCTACCTAGTAGTTAAGTGCTTGTAGTAGTAAATAAACGGCTTTCGTTCAAATCCGGTTTCGATGCTCGAACTCCACGCAGTCGCTAGGGTGATGAATAATCATTCCCAAAATCACTACGAGCACACATATCTACGCACAAGTTATTCTGTGTTTCGCCCCTAGAGTGTATTAACACGATTCGACAGATCATTTACGAGCAATACTACAAGAAGTAAACATTATAATGGGCTTTGTGTAGCTCCTCACCCGCCGTATTCGCCACAATCGGCAGCCACCCTCAAGCCATGCAGGCATTATGGCTGCTCAGCCAAAAAGGGATATCCATCGGAGGCTTTCTGAAGATGACTCAGATGTCAATCGGACGATGAGGCACAAACAATAAAAAGCCATTCAGGGTCTCTTCGTTCCTCTTGGCACGTTGAGAGACAAAATGCTCAGAGTCAGGGTGGATATCGGGAGTTTTCGGAATGCCAATGTACCCCCATCCTCATTTTCCCTACTGTGGAAAGCTGTAACATGGGGGGTAGTACTCATGCTCCGTCTTCGGTGAGCAACAGCGTATTGAACCGCGCCCTAGTTGTAACCATCGGGAGCTCGTCTGCAACGTCGTCGGCATAGTACCAAAAACAGGATGTTATATATGGATATAAAGTAGTAAAAGCCGAGTAATCATCCGTCCGAAAGTGAAGATGCCCTAATACCGGCCGGTTCTCTAACCTCCCCTTTTGTCAGCATCCTCAGCGAAATCAGGCACATGTCATCCTCTCCGTAGAGCTTTGCTTGTGTCCTCCGTAAACGGCTGCACAGAACTGTAAGCGGCAGATATTTCAACCCGGCTGTAAGGGTTGAAGAGCTGATGACAGGGTTCAACAGCTTCGAGTCGGTTCAAGCAGCAGCATAAAGACCGACTTCGGTCGAGTCAACCATCACATTGGCGTAATGTCGTAGCTGACTTCTTGATGCTCCGTCTCACGCAGCGCTGCCGTTGCCGAGAAGCTTCTCCCTGTTGGTATTTATAAGATTCTACTACGAGGTCCGAGGCCCTCACCAATCTGTGATGCATTCACCAGTGATCTGGAACAAGGCCACGCCACACACCCCCCCGGCCCCGCCATCTGGCTCGGGAAAATAGGCCCTGGTTAATTAGAAGTCGACGGCGGAAGGAATTGGCGCCGTTGTATTTTATCCTGACAAGAAGCATAATGCATGTACATACGGAGTGGATTTTGTAGTGGTTAAATTAGGACGTTCCAAATTGCCAGAAAATACAACAAATATTGCCTCAGATGGAAACAGCCCATTTGTTTGGGCTGGTAGGTAGCTCTGAGGCGAAAGATGGCGCACCCTGTGGCCGTTAGTCTGTGTGTTTCCTCAAAAGTATTTGTACCTTTTCTTGTCTTGGAGCTGTACGTCGTGGAAGTCGTAGTACAGTCCCATCATGGAGACGTAATTTCTGTGTGAACTCTGTAAGGGCACGGCTGGTAGCATCTTTGGGGTACCTGCTCGTAACGAGTACGTGCAAGTAGCAGGGCCATCACCTCATTTCGGATGTCACCATGCCTTGTGTGAGTGCAACCATGGACCATGGAGGACCCTCAAAACGAGACCATCTTCTTTTGTGGCGAGATGGCTCGTATCAGCACCAGGTAGCCCCAGGCTATTTACTGCCGCTATCTGTAGCGTTAAAGGTTCGGGCGACGGGCCGGCAATCTTGGTTGGCCTGAGATAAGGACAAGTAGCCAATGGCCGGGATGCTGATTGGCTGCAGGCGCCAGTTTTATGATGTCGATTTTTTGACTGAGCAACGCCGAAGTACCACCACGCGCAGATGGGCCGAGGAGGTACGGATACGTTGTGTCCCTTATAAACAGGCAATAATAACGGATCAAAGGGGGGTGGCATCGCAAAAGTAGGGCCACCAGAATCGTTGTTTCTCCTCTCTGTGCATGTAGCGGGTGTCGGGGCCTTGGGCGTTATTGGCCGAAGAGGTTTCCTAGAACGAGTCTTGTTCGAGATGGGTGCTCTCCCGTTTGGTCTCGTCGCTGTGAATACAAGCATGGCGCCGCTGGCGCGGGCAAAATCCATAAAAGCAATCTGCGGCCCAGCACCCCCGGCTGCTGTCTGCATCGTCCGCGCATGCCCAACCCCGGTTCTGCATCCTCATCTTGTCCATCTTGCAGCTGGACACTGCAACCGACCTTTCTGTTTAGGCATGTCGAGCAACAGTGAGTGGCCGTGGCACGTGTGGCTATGACGAGGAGAAGCAACACAGGCTGGTCGCCCATGTGCCAGGTCGCGAGGGCTGCCGTGTCTCCGAGATTGTGTACAGCTGTATCTCATTGTCCCTTGTCGCAGTTAGTCTCGCAATGGCGCCTTTTGGGTAAAACAAAACGGCGCTGAATTCGATTTCTCTGTCACCTTGGCTCCGGCTCTCCAGACGCCAAATGGCTTGGTGGCATTTTAGGGTCCCCCCGTCCTTCAAGACATGCCTCGCTGGCGTCGAAGCTTGAGCGCGACATCGGCCACGCAGGGGTCAGGATTTGGAAAAGGCTGGTCTTGATTGGCAGCTATGCTAAGCTCCAAGCCGTCAGCCACAGATCCTCGTGTGCATCGGTCGCAGGGCCTACCGGGTGTGTAGGGATAATCCTTGCACAATAGCAGAGATGCTGTGGGGTTTGATGGGATACCCTGCCGCATTCGGGCATTATTAGCTCCCAGATTTCTCTTACACAAAGCGTGTTGCAAACCGAATTTCTCTCGACGACTGGATAAGCCTGTCTCTAGTCATCGAGATAGGCTGAGATGAGCGTCAGCCGCCCGGAGCCAACCAGAGGGCTGGGAATTAGTCGTAGCCTATTACTGTGACAGCAGGCGATGAGGCGAAAATAAAGGAGGGGCATCTGCATGAGGTGGTGTCGCCGGCGGTTGCAAGAAGAAGCGACGGAATTGGAAAGCTGCTTGGCGTAGCTGAATTGTTGCTCGCAGCCATTGCATTGCCGACTAGAGAACTGACGGAAATTGCCATCCATGCGGCCATGTTGTCCTCAACATCGTGCGCTCCGCCGGACGAAAATTTTCAGTTTCTTGCAGGTAATATGAGGGTAATGTGAATACAGCTGTGAGTTTCCTGGGGGTAATGGGAAGGTTTTATGGGGGTAATAATATTGTTTTTGAGGGTAATCGATAGCCTAATTGGGAAAGTCTGGATAAGTCAGCGATGTTGCCTGAGGCCCATTACGTACAGCGCTCTGGCACAGGCCCGCGAGAGCTTCATCTAATTCCGACTACACGCCTTTTGGTCGGAGAGGACCGGGTCTGACAAACGAAATAGATGCTGAGCAATTGGCTCGCTGTTACAACCGAGGGTCGTCTCCCTCTTGCAGAGGTGGGAGGGATGACGTGCCTTGCCGGAGATCCATCAGATGCGTGTTTCGTCAACCAACACGGCAATACAGGCTTGCGCAGGCCGTACTCGTACAAACCTCCATGCCTGCGCTTGAACTACTGGTCTAGTATGGAAAAGTAAGGCCTCATCCAGGCAGAGCCCATGTCAGGACCCCGAGACTAGTGCGGCGTCTTCCACTTCAAGACAGCTTGGAACTGACATCAGTGAGACGAGAATTGCAGGCTGGAGGGGCCTTTGCCTCCGCGCATCGGCGCCGCCCATGTACGACGACGAATGAAACCTCCCATCCCGCGTCCCCATACTTTGCAAGTTGAGATTCGACGAAACATGTACGGAAATTGCCTTTGGCACACCCCCCGGAGCTTGCGGTGTTTTCTGACATGTGCTTCTGGCTGGGGCCATCAACGGAGGGGCAGATCGGTCCGCAGGAAATGCCTGGGAGTTCGTCTCTAGCCTGGAGGCGTTGCACCAGTCAGAGCGCCGCATTTCAGGCGTTTGGTGTTGCGCCATGCTCAACGCCCCCCACTGTCGGTTGCAACTTTAGACCAGTATCCTGGTAAAGTTGCGAGCCAGTGGACATTTTTTTTCTTTTCGTGGCCGACACTCTCTGCTCGGACCACTTTCTTGAGAGATCCATGGCTTGGCAGAAACATGCGCTTGAAGAGATGCTCTCTGATGGGGGCACGCCGGAGAACTGGAGACGGACGGGCGCCTCCGTCTCTATAATAAAAGCTGTCCTCTGCCCTCCCTCCCCCTCCGGCTCTGCTTCACTTTTTCTCCCTCTTTTTACCTTTACTCCCTCTTGCTACTCCCCTTCGTGGCTTCTTGTTCATATACCAGAGCGCAAAGCGCCTCCTTGATACCAAAAGAACATCATAAGCCTGTAAGTCATTCGAAGCTGACGGTTCTCACTCCCCTTCTCCCGCAAAATGATTTCGACCTGCCCCCGGTTTCCCGCTCCTTAGCCTCCTTACCCCAAAAGCAAGTGCGTGCAAAAAGCCAGAAACACACGGGATTCATATGGATGTCTGCCGGTGCCAACTCTATTTTCGAGATGGGGGAATCGAAAAGTCGCCGAGGTTATCAGGATTCTGGCGGCTTCCGCGGATAGCTCATAACCAACTTGCCACCTCCCACGATGATAGGCGCTGCTTGAACTCAATTGAGATCGAAGGCCACGACTGCCGAAGAGAGGAGAAAAAAAGCCGTGGAATGGGAGTTTGGACGATCTGAGGCAATTTGAGGGGGGCAAATATGCTCTCGTCCGTTGGCTCTTTTTACGCTCGTCCAGCTCTTGCCTTGCCCCGCGCTTGAAACTCTCTCATGGCTGAGTCTAAGCCTGGCGAATATGTGCTCCGTATGATGCCGCAAAGTGCAATATTATGCAATACTCTTTTCTTGTACGCTCAAAGCACAAAAGGAAGGGGGAACTGCAATATTGTCACCAGCCGCGCCAATTCGCCTCTCTCTGCCGATGACGGCGACGTGCAGCAATAATTGCTGTCGAGTGCAAGGGCTCTTAGACCGGCCAAAGACTCGGGCGCCAAGCGGACGCAAATGGCCTGTTTTTGTGGGCATGAGGGGCATCGTGGGGGAAATTCCCGACCACGAGCGTCATCGTCTCACATGCTGTTGGGCGCGCAAACGCTTAAAAATTGGAATTGGCAATGGAGGGTCGTCCGCTGGGGCTTAGGGCTGCGAGTGCTAAGTCACAGTGAGACAAGCCCCCCCTGCAGCATCCAGCTAGGGCCCCCACCCGCTGTTACCGGCTCTCGCCTCAGCGTTTGCAGCCCTGCCTCGTGCGACAAGCTTCCCGTCTGGTCTGGTCTTTTCTGGCTGGTGTGCACCTCATCGAGTGATGACAGTTCGGCAGCGGCGGAGACAGTCTGTCACTATCTTGGACCTTCCAACTCGACTCGTCTGATATTCTTTCCATCCCTAATTTCCCCGCACGCACATGCTTAATTTTCGCTTCTTCTATTACGCGGTCATCTCTCAGTTCTTTCTTCATCCCCGCCGATAGCTTGTGCAGATCATCCAAATATTAACTGAACCTTGTCGATAGGTCTGTGTTGAGCGCAGATATAATCTTCTGTCGTCACCATAGCTACGATTCGATAGCCGCGGCATAGCTTCTGCCAATTTGCGAACGCTTTTGCCTACGGACTCTCTTTCAATCGTACCAGACCAACAATTATCAACGGATCCTCGCCTAGCATGGGCTATCTCGAGGATTTCGACGACCGACAAATTGAAATTGACGCTGAAAAAGAGGAATACCACCCGTATGAGTATCAGGCGGCCAACAATGACTCATGGGCTGGTGCCCTACCCGTGAAGCAGGGTCTGTATGACCCTTCTTACGAAAAGGATGCCTGTGGTGTAGGCTTTGCTTGGTAAGTCACTCGAACAATTGCATAATATGGTGATACTGACTCGAAAATCATAGCCATATCAAGGGCAAGCCTAGCCACAAAATTGTCAGTGATGCACGAAACCTACTGTGCAACATGACCCATCGTGGTGCTGTGGGATCCGACGCCCGAGATGGTGACGGAGCTGGTGTTATGACATCCATCCCACACAAGTTCTTTATCAAGAACTTCGAGCGAGAGGAGAACATTAAACTGCCTCCTCTGGGTCAGTATGCTGTAGGAAACCTGTTCTTCAAGCCCGACGAAGAGACCTTTGAAGAGTCCAAGAGGCAACTGGAAGATGTTGCTGAATCGCTGGGTTTGCGGGTTTTGGGATGGCGACGGCCTCCCGTTGACTCCAGCTTGCTTGGTCCCGCCGCCAAGTCCCGCGAGCCCATTATTGCCCAGCCCTTCATTGTCCTTGCCTCCGCATACGGCACTGGCAATGCCCCAGAGGTCACTGACCCAGCCCAGTTCAACGAGCGACACTTTGAGCGACAGCTCTATGTGCTTCGAAAACGCGCTACTCACACCATTGGCCTTCACAACTGGTTCTACCTGTGCTCTCTATCAAACAAGAACATTGTTTACAAGGGACAGCTTGCCCCTGTGCAGGTGTACTCATACTATCACGATCTAGTTAACGCTGATTACGAAGCTCATTTCGCTCTTGTTCACTCCCGTTTCTCCACAAACACATTCCCGTCATGGGATCGTGCTCAGCCGCTGCGATGGGCTGCCCACAACGGTGAAATCAACACGCTGCGAGGAAACAAGAACTGGATGCGTGCTCGTGAGGGTGTGATGCAATCTGACATTTTCAAGGAGGAGTTGGAAATGATGTACCCCATTGTTGAGGATGGTGGATCCGATTCGGCCGCCTTTGACAACGTCCTCGAGCTGCTCACCATCAATGGCGTGCTCTCTCTGCCCGAAGCAGTCATGCTCATGGTTCCCGAAGCTTGGCAGGGCAATGACACAATGGACCCCAAGAAGGCCGCATTCTACGAATGGGCTGCTTGCCAAATGGAGCCTTGGGATGGCCCTGCTCTCTTCACCTTTGCCGATGGTCGTTACTGCGGTGCCAACCTGGACCGAAACGGTCTGCGACCTTGCCGATTTTACGTCATGGATGATGACCGAATCATTTGCGCCTCTGAAGTCGGTACCATTCCCGTTGAGCCCGAGTCTGTTGTCCAGAAGGGCAGACTGCAGCCCGGTAGGATGCTGCTGGTTGACACACAGGCTGGACGAATCATCGACGATGCAGAGCTCAAGGCTGCCGTTGCAAACAGATACGACTTCCGCTCATGGCTTGACAGCGAATTGATCACTATGCCCAAGGTTTTGGAGACCCTGGAGGCTAAGCTTGATCTGGCCCCCAAGCCCGATGCTTCTCGCTTCCAGGAAGACCCCTTGATGCTCTCTTTTGGTTACACTCATGAGCAGGTCAGCTTGCTTCTTGCCCCCATGGCTGCCGACGAGAAGGAGGCCCTGGGTTCCATGGGTAACGATGCTCCTCTGGCCTGCTTGACCGACTCCCCACGTCTCCTCTACGAATACTTCCGACAGCTCTTTGCGCAGGTTACCAACCCTCCCATTGACCCCATCAGAGAATCCATTGTCATGTCATTGGAGTGCTATGTTGGGCCTCAAGGTAACCTGTTGGAAATGGATGCTTCCCAATGTGGCCGCCTTCTCCTTCCTAGCCCCATTTTGTCTATTCCCGAGTTCAATGCTATCAAGAACATGTCATCCATCCACCCTGAGTGGACCGTCAAGACAATTGACTTGACTTACCCCAAGTCTGAGGGAGTTCAGGGTTACTTGAAGCACCTGGATGAGATTTGCAAGGAGGCTACGGCGGCTATTGAGGCGCGTGACCGTGTCATCGTTTTGTCCGACAGAGGAACCTCTGCTGATCGTATTGCTGTGTCTGCTTTGTTGGCATCCGGTATGGTCCACCACCACCTCGTCAGCAACAAATGGCGATCAATGGCCGCCTTGGTGGTCGAGACCGCTGAAGCCCGCGAGGTTCACCACATGTGTGTTTTGCTCGGCTACGGTGCAGATGCTATTAATCCTTACCTCGCCATGGAGTGCATCCTCAAGCTCAGCAGAGAGGGCCTTCTCAAGAAGAAGCTGTCCGACGACGACCTCATCCGCAACTACAAGCACTCTTGCGATGGTGGTATCCTCAAGGTCATGAGCAAGATGGGTATTTCTACTCTGGCTTCTTACAAGGGTGCTCAGATCTTCGAAGCTCTTGGCCTCGATGAGACGGTAGTTGAGAGATGCTTTAGGGGCACTGCTTCGCGTATTCAGGGTCTTACTTTTGAGCTCATCGCCGAAGACGCTTTCCGTTTCCACGAGCTCGGATTCCCTTCACGCTATACTGTTGGCATCAAAGCCCTCCCTGAATCCGGTGAATATCACTGGCGCGACGGTGGTGAGGCTCACGTCAACGACCCAACTGCTATTGCCAACCTCCAAGACGCAGTTCGCGCCAAGAATGACAAGTCCTACGAGGCCTACTCGCGAAGCGAGTACGAGCAGATCAAGTCTTGCACCCTGCGTGGTCTCTTGGACTTCAAGTTTGACGATTGCAATCCAGTCCCCATTGACCAGGTTGAACCTTGGACTGACATTGTCCGACGCTTCTGCACTGGTGCCATGTCATACGGTTCCATCTCGATGGAGTCCCACTCTACCCTCGCTGTCGCCATGAACCGATTGGGTGGCAAGTCCAATACCGGCGAAGGTGGCGAAGACCCCGAGCGATCAGAGCGCCAAGCTAACGGCGACACGATGCGCTCTGCTATCAAGCAGGTCGCTTCTGGACGATTTGGTGTCACGTCTGCTTATCTCGCTGACTCTGATGAGCTCCAGATCAAGATGGCACAGGGTGCCAAGCCCGGTGAGGGTGGTGAGCTTCCTGGACACAAGGTCTCCAAGTCCATCGCTCGTACTCGACACTCAACCCCCGGTGTCGGTCTCATCTCGCCTCCTCCTCACCACGATATTTACTCCATCGAAGATCTTAAGCAGCTGATCTACGACTTGAAGTGCTCGAGCCCTCGTTCTCGTGTGTCTGTCAAGCTTGTGTCTGAAGTCGGTGTGGGTATTGTCGCCTCTGGTGTGGCCAAGGCCAAGGCTGATCACATCTTGATCTCTGGACACGATGGTGGTACCGGTGCTTCCCGATGGACTGGTATCAAGTATGCCGGTCTCCCATGGGAGCTGGGTCTTGCAGAGACTCACCAAACTTTGGTTCTCAACGACTTGCGTGGCCGTGTCGTGGTGCAGACTGACGGCCAGCTCCGAACAGGCCGAGATGTTGCTATTGCGTGTCTGCTGGGTGCTGAAGAGTGGGGTTTCGCTACCGCTCCTCTGATTGCCATGGGCTGCATCATGATGCGCAAATGCCACCTGAACACCTGCCCTGTTGGTATCGCTACACAGGATCCCGAGCTTCGCAAGAAGTTTACTGGTACCCCTGAGCACGTCATCAACTTCTTCTACTATGTAGCAAACGAGCTCCGAGCCATCATGGCCAAGCTGGGTTTCCGAACTATTAACGAGATGGTTGGCCGTGTTGAAGTCCTCAAGATGCGAGACGATCTGCGTACCAAGAAGACTGCCAACATTGACCTGTCCCTGCTCCTGACCCCTGCCCACAGACTTCGACCCGGCGTTGCTACATTCAACGTCCGCAAGCAGGACCACAAGCTCTACGTTCGATTGGACAACAAGCTGATTTCCGAGGCCGAGTTGACTCTCGACAAGGGCCTTCCCTCTCGAATTGAGTGTGACATTGTCAACACCGATCGTGCTATGGGAACTTCGCTGTCCTACCAAATCTCGAAGAGATATGGCGGAGAGGGTCTGCCGCTCGACACCGTTCATGTCAATATCAAGGGATCTGCCGGTCAATCTTTCGGTGCTTTCCTCGCACCCGGTATTACTCTCGAACTGGAGGGTGACTCCAACGATTACGTCGGCAAGGGTCTGTCTGGAGGTCGTCTGATTGTCTACCCTCCTCGTTCTGCCGTGTTCAAGGCCGAAGAGAATATTCTGATCGGCAATGTCTGCCTGTACGGTGCGACAGCCGGAACATGCTTCTTCCGTGGTGTCGCTGCTGAGCGATTCGCTGTCCGTAACTCTGGTGCTACGGCTGTTGTCGAGGGTGTTGGTGACCACGGATGCGAGTACATGACTGGTGGACGAATTGTTATCCTGGGTAGCACTGGCCGTAACTTTGCTGCCGGTATGTCTGGTGGTATTGCATATGTGCTCGACATGAAGAAGGACTTCATTTCCAAGCTCAACACCGAAATGGTCGAGTACGGTCCTCTTGAGGATCCCACTGAGATTGCCTACGTTCGCGGTCTCATCGAAGACCACCACCACTACACTGGATCTGAGCGGGCCGCACGCATCCTTGTCGACTTCAACCGTGCTCTGCCTCGATTCGTCAAGGTTCTTCCTACAGATTACAAGCGCGTCCTGGAAGAAGAGGCCGCCAAGGCCGCTGAAGCCAAGCGTGCTGAATACAACCTTCCCGTGATTTCTAGTGTGCACGGCAAGAAGGATGACAAGGCCGCTAAGCTCCAGGACATGGAGGAGGCTATTGGAGATAGCTCTGCCGAGAAGAAGAAGCGAGCTCTGGTCCTCGACAAGACAAAGGGCTTCATGAAGTACGCTCGTCGTACCGAGAAGTACCGCTCTGTCGCTACCCGAACCAAGGATTGGGCCGAGATCAGCTCCCGTCTCGACGAGGACGAGCTCAAGTACCAGTCTGCTCGCTGCATGGACTGTGGTGTCCCCTTCTGTCAATCTGATACCGGTTGCCCCATCTCCAACATTATCCCCAAGTGGAACGAGCTTGTGTTCCAGAACCAGTGGAAGGATGCACTCAACCGTCTGCTCATGACTAACAACTTCCCCGAGTTCACTGGTCGTGTCTGCCCCGCCCCTTGCGAGGGAGCTTGCGTTTTGGGCATCAACAGCGACCCAGTTGGCATCAAGTCAATCGAATGTGCCATCATCGACCGTGGTTTCGAGATGGGCTGGATGGTTCCCCGAGTTCCAGAGGTCCGCACTGGCAAGAAAATTGCCATTATCGGATCTGGTCCCGCCGGTCTGGCTTGTGCTGATCAGCTCAACCGAGCTGGTCACAGCGTGACCCTGTACGAGCGCGCCGACCGCTTGGGTGGTCTCTTGATGTACGGAATCCCCAACATGAAGTTGGACAAGCGAATCGTGAAGCGCCGAACCGACTTCATGGCCGCTGAAGGCATCGAGTTCAAGACAGGCGTAGCCATCGGTGCGGAGGGCCAGCCTTCGCTTGCTGATCTCAAGGCCAGCAACGATGCTGTCGTCATTGCCACCGGTGCTACTGTTGCTCGTGACCTCCCTATCAAGGGACGCAACCTGGAGGGCATCCACTTTGCAATGGAGTTCCTTCACAAGAACACCAAGTCTCTCCTCGACTCTCAGCTTGCCGACAACTCCTACATCTCTGCCAAGGGCAAGCACGTTGTTGTCATTGGTGGTGGTGATACTGGTAACGACTGCATTGGTACTTCGGTCCGCCACGGCGCCAAGTCCGTCACCAACTTTGAGTTGCTGCCTCAGCCTCCTGATGAGCGTGCCGACGACAACCCTTGGCCCCAGTGGCCCCGTATCTACCGTGTCGACTACGGTCACACGGAGGTCCGCCAGCACGACGGCAAGGATCCTCGTGAGTACTGCATCATGTCCGAGGAGTTTATCGACGACGGCAGTGGCAAAGTCAAGGGCATCAACACTGTCCGCGTCGAGTGGACCAAGAACCCCAGCGGCGGTTGGGACATGAAGAAGGTTGAGGGCTCTGAGCAATTCTTCCCCGCTGACCTTGTCCTGCTGGCCATGGGCTTCTTGGGACCTGAGGCTCGCGTTCTCGGAGATGAGATTGAGAAAGACGCCCGCAAGAACGTCAAGACTGCTCCTGGCAAGTACAGCACCAACGTGGAGGGTGTCTTCGCTGCCGGTGATGCTCGTCGTGGCCAGTCTCTCATCGTTTGGGGTATCAACGAAGGCCGCATGGCAGCTCGTGAGGTGGACTTGTACCTGGAGGCCTGCACCAACTTGCCGGTGACGGGTGGTATTGTTAAGCGGACTGCGCAGGAGATTTTCACCAAGATTGCAGCGCAGTAGAAGGGCATGGAACGAGTTATGAAGCGTGGTGTTTTATTGAATATGTGCCATGTAGCTGGTAGCTTGCATATATGTTTTTCTTTTTCTTTTTCTAGTTTTCAGATATATATCTCTAGCAATGATACCACAACATTATTTCACGTCTATGCTGTGCCTCGGCTCTACTTCTTGTGATTGCATGTTGCTCAAGTAAACGCACATGTACTGTTCCTCTCACATGTTGTTTGCTGTATGAAGTAATAAACAGAAGACAAAGCCCAATTAACACTCTCAATTGATGATTCAACTCGGCACAATTGCTACCGGCAGGCTCAATTGATTTTTGTCATTGTTTCCGTTCGATTCATCATTGATGATTCTACCTCTTATTACGTTCTATCCATATTTTCTTCTCGCTCCGGTCCCATCGGTTCAAACGAAAGTACTTCCGGTAGCAAGCCAGAGACCGCACGTGCTGCTGAAAGAGTGATGATAGGCCTGCAACGGCAGTGCAAATGCACTAAAGAGCCCACTGAGGTCCCGTCAAAATGTAGGTACAAGTTCCATGTTCGCTTTTTTGCGCTTGGAACGGCACGGAGCCCAAGTGGGGTTGGCGGCTTTTCCTGCTTTGGTGCCCGGACAGTGAGGCTAGCGGTCTGTAGCATGAGATTAGTGCTGTGGATACAGTGGATGTTTAGGTGAAGCTCGCAGCTGGACAAGGACCGCCGTGGACAAGGCCTGGAAGCACGTGTGGCGGGATCTAGACGAGCTCCATGTTCTTCGTACGCGCTTTGTCTTGAAGGTTTTTTTTTTTTTTTGCCTTTGGACCATTCGAGGACAAACCTTGTTTCTCATCTTTCTCTCGCCCGCAATCTGCGTAGCTGCTTCAATCTCTTGTTGGCCTTCCTTTTCAATTCCTTCGTTTGCTATCCAGTCTTGCATTCCAGCTCGGTTAACAGCTAGGACCTTTTCACCGCTGCACCAGGCCAGGCAAAAATTCAACGTTGACCCATCCCATCAGGGAGGCGACGAATCGACGACTACATATTCCAATTCAGATCAATTGTTTGCCAACGGGATTGATCTTCCATAGAAGCCCTGCGAAATGCGTTTCGGAAAGACCCTTCGCGAGTCGATATACCCGCCATGGAAGGACAAGTATGTCGACTACGGCAAGCTCAAAAGCCTCCTTCGAGAGGATAAGAGGGATGACGAGACCGTGTGGACCGAGGAGGACGAGAGCCGTTTCTGCGACGAAATCTTCAATGTCCAGCTGGAAAAGGTCGCCCAGTTCCAACAGGAGCGCTTCGATGCCCTGAAGCAGAGAGTCGAGGCTGCTTTCGAGAAGCTCAAGGAACTAGCCCCCCCTCTCGAGTCCGGCGCCGAGGCCGGTGCTGCCGAGGGTAGCAGCAAGCCAGCAGGCCTCAGCCGCGAAGAGCTAACCCCGAAGCTCAAGGAGCTCGAGGGAGAGCTCGACGAGATCACCAATGAGGTCAAGGCCTTGAAGAAGTACAGCAACATCAACTATACCAGCTTCCTCAAGATCGTCAAGAAGCATGACCGAAAGAGGGGCGATCGCTACAAGGTGCGGCCGATGATGCAGCTCAGCTTGGCTCAGCGGCCCTTCAACTCGGAGCAGGGCTACTCGCCTCTCCTGAACAAGCTGTCTGTCATGTATTTTGCCATTCGACAGCAATTGGAGGAGGGTGATCAGGCGCCGGTCGATTTCGAGGCGTCGGCTGAGACGCACAACGGCGAGCGATACACAGCTCACAAGTGTAAGTGATGGACCTGCTGACTATATCTTGTCTTCTTTAAGCTATTATGAAAATCTATACCGATTCTAACTAACACGCAATTGGCAGTCTGGGTGCATCCCGACAACTTGTTGGAAGTCAAGACGCTGATCCTGCGTCGCCTCCCCGCCCTCGTCTACAGCGAACAATCCGCCAAGGAGCTTGACGGCTCTGACTCGCCTTCCATCACCTCCCTCTACTTCGACAACTCCAAGTTCGAAGTATACTCCGAGAAGGTCGAGCAACAGTCAGAAGTGACTTCTCTACGCTTGCGATGGTACGGCCAACTGAGCACCAAACCAGAAATCTTTGTTGAGCAAAAGTCGGCCGATGCCACGGGCAGGAGTGAAGAGCACAAGTTCACAATCAAGGACAAGTACATTAAGCAATTCCTCGACGGGGAGTATTCGACAGAAAAGGCGATACAAAAGATGGAGAGACAAGGCGCGACCCCAGAGCAGATTGAAGCTTTCAAGTCGACCGTTGCTAGGGTCCAGGAATTCCAACAGAGGAGGAAGCTGACACCAGTGCTGAGAGCCAACTATGTCCGTACCGCGTTCCAGAAGCCTGCCGATGACCGCGTTCGTATCTCCATCGACACTGACCTCGCCTTTATCCGTGAGGACACCTTGGACAAGAGCCGACCCTGCCGAGACCCCAATGAATGGCATCGAACTGATATCGACAACAGCAACATGAAGTACCCATTCCAAAACATCAACCAGAGCGAAGTATCCAAATTTCCTTATGCCGTGCTAGAGATCAAGTTGAAGGAGGACGGCAACCGCAAGCGGCCATCCTGGATCGAGGACCTGATGGGCTCTCACCTGGTACACCCAACTCCTCGCTTCTCCAAGTTTGTCCACGGAGTTGCTTCTCTGTTCGACGACTACGTGAACAACCTGCCTTTCTGGCTCGGTGATCTCGAAACTGATATCCGCAAGGACCCGCAAAAGGCGTTTGAGGAGGAGGAGCAGCGCCGGGCTCAGCGCGCCGATGACGCCATGGCCGTCGGAAGTCTCATTGGAACGGTGCCAAGCTCTTACAAGGTAGCTCAAAGCTCACCTGTTGGAAAATCATACCTTGCCGACCGCATGGCGGCCGATGCCACGGCGTACTTGTCCCGATCTCTACGACATAGGCAGCCTCCTCAAGGCCAAGAAGAAGAAGGAGAGGGCAGCTCCCAAGCACAATCAGGCTACGGGACTCTGTCAAACGTTCTCCCTGGCCTGTCTCTCTCCAAGTATGCCGTTGCCAAACGAGCTCAAGCTCGTCTCCCCGAGGGCGTAGTGGAACCTTCGCAGTGGATCAAGAACACGGGAGAGCTCAAGGTCGAGCCCAAGGTATGGCTGGCTAACGAGCGAACGTTTCTCAAATGGCAGCACATTGCTATCCTGCAAGGTACTCTGGCTCTGGCACTGTACTCGGCTGCTGGAGACAATGCGATTGCGCAGTGGATTGGAATTGCGTATATTGCCATTGCAGCATTTGCGGGTATCTGGGGCTACAGCATCCTGCGGTCTCGTCGAACCATGATTATGGAGAGGAGCGGCAAGGACTTTGATAACATGGTTGGGCCCATTATCATCAGCGTCGCCATGATGCTTGCGCTCATTGTCAATTTTATCCTTCAGGTAAGACTACGCTACGCTCACATATCGCATAGATGGGGTTTTGGATGGAAGCTAACACTATCTGCAGTATCAAAAGGCCTTTGCTAAGATGAAGAATGTTGACGCCGGTATGCCGATTACGGACGAGTTGATTTAAGGACATAGTGTATATGTATAGTGGATAATCTGATTTTGTATAACAGCGATGAGGCCGGGGGAACCCGAAGCCTGGTGTTGGAGAATTCTTGGGCAGATTGTCATTGTCAATGGTGTATGTATATGCCTGCCTGTACTTGGTATATCATCCTGTCGCGGGGGCGAGAAGTATGGATTCATATTGTATTATTTTGTTTTAGCGGTGGCGATGGACCTACGGGATGTTAACTAATCCATATCAAATATATTGTACAAAAGACGAGGCGCAGCGTCTAGTATTGATTCTTACTTGCGCTGCTCATGTTGGGCCGATGGAATGAGCTGGACTCAGCGGTATCCCGGCCTGTGCTCCGTGTGACCAGCGGTGTTCCGGAAGTGGCTTTGGGGTCTGTGATGGCGGTGGTGATTGGGCCTTGGAAGGGCCGGGGTGGAGGAGGAGGTGATCAGGGTAGCATTTCCACCGTTCTATTCCTTGTAAGACTCCGTATTTCATATGCAGCGTTTATGTGCAGCATGCATCATGCAGTTCGTGTGGTACCGAAGAGGCACGAGTATGGGGGCTATGCCGTTAGCATTTGCGCTCCGACAGAATGGCTAATTTACACTGATGATGCGGAAGTTGGAGAGTCTCAGCTGTGTACTCGTATTTTGCTTTCGGGGTTTGGTTTGACGCTGAACTGAATCAATGGAATGAGGGCCTATTGTCGCAGGGCATGGCACAGTACGTTTGTTTGTGCGCGTAGTGAAACAGGGCTCGATGAATAAATAAAATGCGTGCACGCGGGTGTTTCTACCACAAAGAAAAGACCCCTTTTCCTTTGTCTCAATATTTGTTCTACGGCAATTGCACCCTGTTATTGAACATCCTTTGCAAGCGCATTGTGAAGAGAAAACAATCGCGTGGCCTCGGAATTCATTTTGCCAGATGCTGGTTCACCGGTAGGCGCGGGCGGCTATTGTGGCATGTTATATGTGCGTCCTACCTCAACTCGTTTTTTTGCCCCCCCTTCCATTGTTTGACATTCAATTGCCTTAAAAGCATCTGCCTTTATTGTCACCTGTTTTCCCTCCTCCCTTCGCTCCCCCAACCACCGGGTTATTTGAGCTGCGACTGCATGTGCTGCAAGATTCAAAGGCATCACTGCGCCAACGTCTACGGTTTTCGTATGCCCAGCACGGTCCAACCTATCATGATTTCGCTACCGAGGGAAAGCTAAGAAAGGAAGCCCAAGCAAAGAGAAAAAGAGCTGGGCTGGCCATGCGCACCAACCTGGGGAGATTGACCGACTTTTCGTGAGATTTTTTGCTAAACAGCACCTTAAGAGAAGCGCCATTGGGGTAAAAAGGCTTAGCGGAAGTTGGACAGGTGGACTTTCGCATGAGGCAAAAGGGCGGGCAGCGATGGAGCAGAAAAAGGAAAAATCTAAGTTTTGGGGAGGGCTTCTGCGCGGGGAGA